CGTTTGGTTGTTACTCAGATAATAATAATGAACTACCTCGTTGCTTAAAGAAACCAATCGTGGTGAAAAAGGGATCATATTTGCAATTTAAAAGTGTATGTGAATATTATACCGATAAGCGTTTCCTTTCACACGATATTAAACAGAAGTGAAATTCAACTAATATGGGAACCAGTGATTAAGCTTGACTGTCCTTTTAGAGCCTTTTTATGAACCTGATGCCAGGAAAATGAAATGATCCAGTAAAAGAAACGAACAAATCTCCACCATGACAATGCGAGGACATCTGCGAAATTTTCCAGCATAAAGAAAAAAAAAATTTTATAACTTTAACTAACATTTTGCTTCTTCAGGACGAACATCATCTAAATGATATGGCGTTGTTCTAATAATGACACTGCACTCAATATAGCAGCCAGCTGCTCACATGCAGATCATGCCGATCTGTCAGTCATGCCCTTATAAGGCCAAGAACTCATTTCAAATGAGCCGTACTTTGGACTGACAAAATGTTACAAAGCACGTGATTCTTTTAAGGAGTTCTGCCTATAATTGGCTTGTCCAAACGGGAAATGTTTGGCAACCAAACATCATAAAACATCGCCCATCAAACACAAGAACAAAAGAAATGTTTTAAGTTGTTTGATCAAATGTTTGATGGTCTTCAAATTTTTTAAAACACGACCGAACACGATCATGGCCAAACGGTAAAATGTTTGGTCACCAAACATTTCCCATTTGGACAGGCCTTTAGACTTCGGACAAACTAATGCTTTGAATAGACATTTTAAACACAAAGCCATATTTTGATATTGTTTTGATTTCAAGTTTTGCTAAGAAAATCCGTATATTATGCATGAATAACTGTTATCTACTTTTATGGATGAATTTATGGATTTAGACTTGTACTAGTGTGAAAATATTGAAGAACTTTGATAATCTCAACAGCAATTTACTAAGGAGACGCTTTACTTAACACAAAAATTTTAAGAATGAAGCCATAAGCACTAATTAAGTGGAGGCTGGTCAAACTTACTCCAGTACTAGAGTGAGTCCCTAACCAGAGTTGTAAGCAAAAAAAGTTTAAATGTTAAGTTTTGATAGAACAGGTCAGTTCTTTATCTTTCGCCGGTTTTCGGCTTTCATTTGATTACGTAACAATATGTAACAAAGACGCTCAGTTCCTTTTTCTGTTGGCGAAGGCTCGCGTGTCAGCATGGATTTTATTAGTTTGTTTGCCTGAAGCATTTTTCATTACAGTGGCCGGCATTGCTTCACTGGTTAAAAGGAAAAACAACTGTTGCGCATGAGCAGATTTATTTTGTGTTACCCGAAAACTGTAAAAATCCTGCAGATCATTAGCTCTATCTTGATCTGCTATTTTTGACAGATCTTTTAACATAGACTTTGTGTTGACTTTACATTTAGTTTTGTGATTCTTTTTTTAATTATTTACTTATATAATATATTTATTTATAGTAACATATCTATTTATATATAGATATTACCGTAAGCACTGAGCGCTTGTCTCGAATTTAAGGTATAAGAACTATTTGTACGAAATGAAGTCTTCTATTCCATTCCTTTTTCTGCCTAGAGTGTTAAACTTAAACAAAATCCATAAGCACTGTAAACGTTATCAGAGGCAAAAATTGTTTTCAGCTTCGTGTTGGACATACAAAATTTTATGCAGACTTCTTATTTACCCGCTGAGCGAGATAACTTTTTGAGAGGCCAAATGTTGGCTTTTAACGCACGGGTTCCAAGGATGACTTTAAAAAACTCCTTACTAATTCGCAAAGAAACTACAAAATCTGTTTAAAAAATACCCCTGATTTTTTGGCTGCGACAAAAAGAAAGAACAGATCTTTAGGAGGAAAGAAAAAACAGATCTCTTCGAAAGGTTTTTGAAGCCCTATTTCATTGACTTGAAAATGATGTTATGCTTCATAAGAGACTGTAGGAAAACGAGGCTAGCGTGCACTGAACACGGGCCTCCACTTAGTTGATCGTAATGAGTAGGTGTTATTGATGACTTTACGCACTGATGGAGATTTCGAGCTTTGTTTCTAGTTACCTACTTTGTATTCAAGTCTGGGGCAAAATTTCTTAAGTGCTACTTGAAAGTTATAATTGCTGTGGACTGAGTTAATTGCCCATGCACCACACGTCTACGTATTTGTAGTGCATGAGACCAACCAAGATCACTTATCAGTTTGCTCGAACCGAAGGCTTAACGATTGCAAGCCATAAAACCAGTGAAGCAAATCCAAACACTATTATGAAAAACTCCTCGGGCACCAAAATGATTAAACAACACTGAGTCCGGTATGTCTTTGAATAAATAGCTGATTGTAGTTGGCTTATCTGAAAACCGCTGCGAGTGTTTTCATTACATAATCGATTACACAATAAAAAGTAAACCTGCACGTGAAAGAAAATAAAAAAAAAAAAGAGCTCATGAACTTACAGGGGCACTGTTACGAGTTATGGAAAAACCGAAAGACATATTTGCAGCAATGAAAACTTTACTAAAATGGTCCTGTTTTGATAAGAAGCACTTTATGAGAGGCAATGAAACTATTTACAGTTGTCTTGCGCCATAAACGAAGACGAGGGAAAGGGCTGGCAATTAATAGAGTTAACTTTATGAAGTTGTGCCATCATAGTTTGGACAATTTTTTTTAAAAAATGAAGTTGCAGGGGCGGAGGATGAACTTGAAGACTTCTGATCAGGTGCAATTTTTCAAGGGAGCCCACACAAGATTATGTACGATGGGCAGAGCTTGTTTGATCGGGAAAATTCAGAGAAGTTCAAGGAACTTAAATCGCCAGAACTGAAAAAAGTCTCTTGCACTTTTGAACTCTATCCACAAGGGTAAAGGAGAAAGTTCCCCTTTATTAATGCATTGACCAAGTTGATTATTTTGGACGTCTCACTAACAAGCGCATTAACCGGGCTTTGACTAAGCAACCCAAGTTTGCCTAGACTTTATGAGTTGGCGAGTCTAAGGGTGCAGAGAGAATTAGGTTTTGAAGGTTTTTAATTGAAACATGACAGGTTTGTTAAGAGGATGCCAGGGTGACGACGTCTTTTGTTGATGACGTCATCGTCCTTAAGTAAAAAGCGTTTGTTTTTTACCATATTACGGTCAGTTGGTACACTTATCTTGTCGAAAGGTCCGTAAAGGAATAATACATTTTTTATGACGCTGCTAAGCGGTTAAGGCTATTACACATGCTAACGGTGACCCTCAATCCTGCGTACGCAAAACCTCAGGTTTCCTCATCCGTGAACTTGCGGAGAAGAGGTAAGGGATTGCGGGTAAAAGATTGAAAACATGAGCATGGTGAATGATTGTACATTAAACTGCAGACACATCTGAAATCACTTCGTAAAAGAAAGAACACCTTTATTCTCTTCGCGATATCGGGAATACACTCTGGTCACTAATTTTCTCTGCTGTTTGCTATATTTAGAATAAATATTATTAGGGCTCTGTTGCTATCGAGTTAAATCTGTTAGGTTTATACCGTATCACTTATTTACTTGTTGCATGGAATAGCGATTTTAAGCTTTTTCAAGAAAACGAAAATCTGGAATTGTCCAGTGAGCCATCGCTAATAATTGCAGAAGCTAATTTTATTATATGACAGAAATTCTATTATCCATTGTAATTTTTTGGCAACACCTGGCGAGTATTTGTGTGAAGCCTATTGACAAGTTGCTAGAACACTCTGTCGTTCATTATTTTTGTTCCGGCCCCGTTACATTTGCCGAATTTTTTTTTCTTTTTTTTTGTTTTGTTTTAACGAATTCGATTTTACTGCAAGAAATCAGTATTCAGGCAGAGTGGCAAGCTTTAATGCGATGCGGCAAGAGAGATATACGCCTTTGGATTTCTGTTAATTTTGAGTGTAAAAAATTAAAAAAGTACACCCACCAAAACTATAATCGCTCGGATTAACCAATTTCGAGTAAACAAGTTTCGGAGTAGTTTCTAAAAAGGCAATAAAGACGGACAGTTCTTTGAATGAGTATCGGCAATGGAAGATTTACTTTGAAGACAGGGTTGTACTTGAGGGCTTAAAAACAGCTTCTCTTAACCAATATATGCCGCCGTTCCTAGGCACCCAAAAGCCGGCCATGTCAATAATTTCCGAAAGAGGAGGAATTTGAGCCTAAAATTGCCCAAATCAAGTCTACATGCAAATTTTTTTAATAGCCAATTCGGTGGGATAGTGTAGCAGCGACTTTTCAATATAGTTCGAATCTTACAGACAACTGCTTTTGAAGCAAAAGTTTACATTTACAATGAAACTGATAAGAAAATACAGTAGCCAACTAAATGCCTTAATAAAAGCATCAAGAAGATCGCTTCAAATATATGTACATCTAAGCAGGTATCTATTAATAATTGCTTTAATCTGTCAGTATTGATGCCCATTCGGTCAAATATATGAATGGTCGCATAATCACAGTGAACTGTCTTTTAGGTGGCATAAAATAATTCAGTAGCAAAAACTACCTTTTAGTTTCTGCATTCCAGGAATGTATGATGTGTGAGAATATAGGAGGTTATGCATGGCACCCAGAATAGGTCAATGTACATTTGTTTTGTTTTCTTTTATTGTAAAGGTTCGCTGAATCTGCGGGAACACGTGGAATGTTACGGTCGGAGGCCCATATTAATGAATGACGGTGTTCCAGTGGCCGGTCCTACGAACCCCTGAGGAGTTATTTTGTTTGCTTCACAACAGACAAAAGAGTTCACTCGTCCGTCAACTCACTTTAAGACCAACGAACAATCAAAACTGGAGCTCATTGCAACTGCGCCCCGGATCTAACCGGTACTCATCTAAAAGTAAGTCAAACCGGTTTACCTAGTTTTAATTATCTAAACCAACAATTTTTTCGTTGGTGTTCCTGACAAAGCTTCTTGTTTTTCAAACTTTAAAGATCAACTCAACAGCTTCCTGGTTAAGGATAGAGTGCTGAAATGGAGAGTGGTGACGTCGCGATCGATCTTTCAGGCGGCAATTACAGGCCGGGCGCCCCACACTCACCAACCATTGGTCGTGCATCTGACGTCGAAAAGCGAAATGGCCATGTGGTTAGTTTAAGCTAAACTTCGTTGTTCTTTGCCTTAAGAAGTTCTCGACTTCGATTTAAAGCATTTCGCTGAATTTAGTAGCATCACTCCTAAGTACACCATCAGTACTTTGCATTTTTCAGAAGTGCGGACCAATATCATAAGAAGGGTTTTCTGCCAAACAAATGTTACTGCGCGCGAAAGATTTGTGCCATAAACTAATTGTTAGTGTTGGAGAATAGATTTAAACGTTACGTAACAACTAGTGGTGCCAAAGTAGGCAAATTCGATTAATACACGATAACGCATATCGCGCGTCTACCGTTCCAATCCAGTTTAATATGGCCACCACTAATGTATAAACGTTTTTCTACTTTGCAAAATAGCAGGAAGGTGTACAGCGCTGTCTAGAACAACAGCTTTTTACTAGCCTTAAGAGTTAACCGGTTTACAAACGGTAGTAAGATCTAAAGATACACTGATAGTCTTACACCGAGGCTTAGGCGCAGGGAAGCTGTCGTATGCTTTTTCGTATGCTTATACTTTCAAGCGTTCCTTTTTATTCGTCAAGGCACAGAAATGATCAAAGTCGCCCTATCGCCGTTTCTTTAACGTCAACGGTTACGAACAAACCAAAATGAAACCTTTCAGCGAAAAGTTGTAGCTGGTCTCGCTAACTCGTTACTTCAGGTTTGCAAATTTGTCAAAGACTTTTCCAAACAAGACGCAAAAATCGAAAAGCGCATAAAAATATGCCTATATCTACCGTTTAAATACTAAAATACGTTCAACAATGCTATGTTTAAGTGGTTTTGAACTATATTCTCGTTGCGTGCCCCTGGTCTTTCCAAAAGCACCTCATAATCCATCCAAAAATTTTAGATCACGGAAACTGTCGGAACAGCACTTTTTGGGGGGCAAAGTCTGTTAAGCGATTTAATTGAAAAGAGATAAGTAAAACAGTCGATTGCCAGTTACAGAGGCATTGAGGCGAGACGCACGAATGAATAGTTCAACTGTTTAAGAACAGTTTACCCAGAAAAACAAATTTTTCAGTCACTTTGTTTTTGCAAACCTTCGATCTTTATTTCAACTCTGTGCGGAGTTGAAGCAGAGCGCAGTGTGGGGGCTCTATTACTAAAGCCGAAAACATTAACCAAGGTGTTTTATATGTTGAAGAGTACAGAATTGATTGCGCGAACAAATTTTGCGTGCCAGGTGCGACGAAAAAAAATGATTTCGGAAATAACGAATTGACGAGCAATTGATTGATTCAAACACAAACGGCGTCAAACGTTTGATCTTACTTTCGTTTTTCGAAGATTCTGGTTTCCCCAAGATCAAACTTCAGTTTTTGTTTACGTATGTCCACCGCGTGATCGCCGCTTTTTTTTAATTTTCACGTTAACTACACGTGATATTGACGAATGTTGCTATAGTTATGGTGTGCACACGCAACAGTAATCATCCTCACATTGTTCCCTACAGTGACAACCCCAAATAAGGGGTAACGTTGTTTGAAGTAGCTACGCAAACACTTTACCTGCTTTACTTACCTGCACAGGGAGCCCGAGCGCTTTACATGTATGTCTTATTCTTTCCAATGCAATGAAATCAAATTGTTTTACCAGGGTCTCTGTGTCTTTCTTTCGTCGTTCAAGCGCGTTAGCGGAAACTGCAATCAACATGAAAGTCTCAAGTTTTAAGTATCACCTGAAACCCGAGACTCGCTCCCCTGAAGAGAAACATCATATACTTGAAGCTCGAGACGTTAATGTCGGATCCAGATTCCGACCCGCTTGAATGGATGATATTTTGAATTTGAACGGAGAAACCGTCTTCGCTGTGATGCAAATCCCTTCCAAAAAGACCAAAGATAGACACAGATGCACGTGTAAATCCTTGCCATTTTGATGAATTCGAGTGAATAAGCTATAGAGCGCTTCTTGTACAGTTGTAAAAGCACAAGTCTTAGAATGAAACAGTTTTCATCCTATTCCTTGCGATCTTGTTCCTATTTATTTCTTTGACTGTTCTGTATCCTGTTCATCATTGAGCTAAGGAATTCTGCCCTTTGGCCGCTCCGAGGGAAGCGAAACAAACCTCTTTGTTAAAAATCCAAATTGATCTTGGCATTTTTAACATAATGAAGGTCATTTCGAGCTTTTGTTACTCAGAGAAAGCTCCACTCTTGCTCTACATTATGCCACTATATATAGCTAGCTAGCTGTTATGACTTGGTCGATTGAAATGCTAATTTTAAAAAGCTTCACGTTTTGCATCACACTGTTTGTTCTATAATGGATTTAAATATTACATGTCAATAGGAAGCCTGTTGTCTTCAAACGGGGATGAAGACAGAACTAACAGAAAAACAGAAGTAAGCTGATCGGAGATGCAGTCTGTTAGGCGATTTGGCAAAATGTCATTAACTGTGAAAAAACTTTTCTTGAGCTTAACAAAACATGAAATTCTGTTGTGGAAATGTTACGCAGAATCATTTACATAAACTCTCTTAAGCAGTACTGTCATATGCCTTTTTGTTTAAAGGATTTAACAAAGTGTAGTATCAAAATTTTCACTCATTTCCCTGGACGGAATGGTTTATTAGTCACTGTTAGAGCCTCTGGAAAAGGCTTGATTAACTGTCAACTTTTAAAACAAGTGATGACAAGTGATAAATCGAGTGACATTTTCCCCAGTACATAACCATTAAACCTTCCTCAGCCACCAACGAACAAAGAACAACCTTTTTGCGACACTGTTTTTTTCTTTTGCATTGGTATCTATTAACGTCACAGATAGCGAATCTTGGTAGCTCATGGTTATACAGCACCCAACGACTGTTTTCTGTAAAATATCTGTTCGAAGAAGCACATATTATCTAAAAAATTTTTATCGCTTAATAGAGGCTAAAAAAGTCTAGATGACTGTCCCATTCATCTCAGATTTTCGAAGCTTGTCAATTACCTTCTCTACGATTTTCGATAGTTGGGTTTTTCACATTTCGCGCCCCCGGTTTGGTCATTATGCGCAAAAAAATACCTCCCCTAAATTTTCGGCTTTGGGAATAGTGACCGAAAGAGGACTCAGAGAATGTTGAGGTTTCGTAAACCTTTAAATGGCATATAAGATTGTCGGGAAAATAATAAGAAACCGCTAATAAATTTGAGAAGGCTAAAGGTGCCTTAGGATGACCGAACTGATAAAAATTGTATAGAGCATCTTAGAATGTATTTGCAGAGTTTAAAAACACACTAGATAGCCTTAAATTCATTTGAGAACATTTTCAGGGAGAAAGCCGTCGTTGGGTGCCCCTGAGTAAAAAAACAGACGTAGATGACGATGGAAGTTAATGTTTTTGTTCGATTTGTTATAGGAAGTAAAGGACAGCGAGCCACCCCGCCGGCGACGTAGAAGAACTCCACTAGAGTGGTGCAAAAAATATTTCTGGGAAGGTTAGAGTCGAAATTCTTGTTACAATTTTGTTAAAATTATGAGCCACTACCTTTTGTTCCGCGAATCGCTGCTAGAACACCACTGAAGAGTTATAGTTCAAGTTTTGAAAAGTGGTAAGCTATGGGTAGCTAGGAGGTGTCAAGATTTTTTTCAACTTTTAAAAGTTAGCCCAAGGATACTCACTGAGCTCTTACACGTCCAGATCTAGTATCACGGAACAGTGGGGGAACTACGATTTGTTTGTTTGTTTATTTGTTTTATGAAAAGTTAGGTTATTTGCTACAAATGGTTGAATCATTTAAATACCTCGTTTTCTTTTAGGTCAAACACTGACCGCAGAGGGAAACGAAGCAATTGCAAACTTGGACCCCAACGCGCCATGGCATACGAAGCTTCTTGTCAAGTATCGTCGCTTCGTGGGTATCGGCATAGCGTCTGGCTTCTGCCACATTGTCTGGTGGACTCTTGCCATCAGATACAACTGGTTCGCTATCTTTCCTGATAATTACTTCATGACTTTAACGATGATTGTTGGCGGTACCGTCGCAGGTAATGTGATCCTTTAACGTAAGAGCCATTTCCAAACTAACGACTTAACTAAAGATTGGTCAAGTTGGGGGAATGGAACTATGCTCTGAGACACTGATTTTGTAACGGGCTCTGTGAAGGCAATATCATCAGACATTAATCACCAGCCTAGTATTTTTCCACGACAGAGTGAGCCTTTAAAATAGCGTTAGTTTCTTAGTAAGTTGCCCGTGTTCCCCTGCATCAACACCCAGCATCTGTTGAAAAAAGATTGTCTCCAGTGTTAGGTTATAAAGGTATTGTGATACAGAATCGATAATGTGGAACTTTTTCTTGCTACAGGAATGACCAGTGAAGGTGGAGGAGCGGTTGCTTTTCCTGTCTTAACCCTTGCTGTTGGCGAGAAACCTTCTATTGCACGCGATGTCGCACTGTTAGTGCAATCCTGTGGTATGTCAGCGGCCACGTTCACCATCTTCTTTATGCGTGTGCAGCTAGAGTGGCACTCCATAGTATTCTGTTTCCTTGGGGGAGTCTTTGGCGTAATACTTGGCCTGGAGTTTGTCGATCCTTATGTAAGTGCCGTCGTGAAGAAGATGATTTTCGTCTGCGTCTGGTTCACCTTTGCCTTCGCTCTGTTTCTTTTGAACCGCTACTACAAGCGAAAGACATATAAGACGATCCCCGATGTGAAGTTGTGGAAGATAATCACCCTTCTCGTCACTGGCTTCATTGGTGGAGTCTTCACTGCCGTTGTTGGTGGGGGAGTAGACATCTGCAGCTTCAGCGTCTTGACACTTCTATTCCGTGTCACTGAAAAGACAGCCACACCTACATCCGTGGTTATGATGGCATGGACCTCCTTGGTTGGAATCGGGTGGCGTCGTCTCGTTCAAGATACGGTGGATCTACAGGCATGGCACTACATCATTGTTACTGCCCCAGTTGTTATGCTTATGGCTCCCCTTGGCTCCCTCCTGGGAACTCACTTCCATCGCCAGGTTCTTGCTGCTTTGATCTACATCTTGGACACCATTTCTCTGGTGACTGCCTTTGCAATCCTACCGCTCTCTGGCGCTGTGATTGGCCTGTCCGTGGGAATGTTAGTCTTCGGGTTCGCCTTTTTCGGCTTTATCGCGTGGCTTGGCAATAAAATCATGGCAGATATTGAAGCGAAAGAGGAAGAGAAAAGGGTGGCAGAGAAAGAAAAAGAGGCTGCAAATAAGGGATTCGATAACGAAGCGTTCAAAGATAGTACCGCTTTGTAGACACAAGAAAGAATGAAGTGAATATACTTTAATGAATAAGCGAATTTCTTTTTTATTCTACCTACCTTTTTAATATGGGCTAGGTCATTGTTATAACGCTTTTAAAAATACTATTATTTCTACGACCTTTGTTGCATTTTAAGCCTACACTTGTAGAATGTCAATATATCTAACTCAAAGTGTCATAAGAACAAACGCAGTCGCAGTAGTAGGACTGAAAATTCCAGAAAGATACCATCTGAAGGCACTGTAGGTAGAGCTTTCCGCTCACGAGAGTGGCGTTAAGAGAGCCTCCACTGTAATTGAACATATAAAAATAATTTGTTTAGTATTACTTTTTGTGATATCATTTTAGAAAGCTTTTACGGCTTAGAGAGAAAACTGATTGAATTTACACTTCCGTATATTTATTTTGTTTCGTATTTAAAAGGCCCCTGGTCGTATAGTAATTTTGCAGTTGAGCTGATGTCAGAGATCTGCAGGACACTAAAAAAGAAAAAAAAACGAAAAAAAATTGCAAAACAATATGCGCTTAGCTGGAATATTGTAAAAAGTAGGGCCATACAAATATTATATAGCTGAATTTGATATATTTTATGAAAGTGAAGAATTGTTAATTGTGAGTTTCTCGCCTTATATTTGAGTATACTCTTACATCTTATTTTCTGATGATAAACCCAGTGTGGCTTTTTGGGCTCCTCGAGCACTTGTTGTGCACATCTTATCGATGTGCCATTTTAAAGTTATTAACCTTGGTTCACATTATACTAAACACAATGTAAACTGCTGACTAGAGATAATTTTTCCGTCTATTTTAGTTCTTGACGGTATTGCAATTTATATTTTTTGTAGTTAATGCTGTTTTTCGTTTTAGTGCTAACTGTATAAGGGTTGAAATCTTCAACGTAAGACAAACTTTGAATAAAGTTGGAATGTAAATAATCGTATAATATTAACAGATTATCTTTTACTTTGTTTAGTCTTCCTTTGAGCAGAAATATACATTTGTAACGTTTCGTAGTTGTTTTTCTGTACTTGAACACATCGCCATAATTGAATTGATTTTGACGCGTTGATGCAAGTTAACGAATGAAAAAAAAATATTTTGTGCTTTGTGCGGCAATACGCTTGATATATGCATATAGGGACTCAGGGAATATATAGGGGCCCAGAGAAGGATAGGCATTGAAGGGGGTCAGGAAGTCTACAATCCAGGATAGGGTATCTTCATATCAGAGAGGTCTTGAGAATAGGCATCGAAATTCGGAAGTCTGGAAAAGGGTGGGAAAATTTGGTTTCTTGTCAACCAAAATTCAAAGACATGGCCCGGGGAAGGGGTTTGAAGTCTTAAGTGAGAACTCGCCACCCCGTCCCCTCGGGTTCATGAGATCAGTCACTGGAACACGCATGTGCCATCAAGTGTTAAAATTCACATGTTCCCCTAGACGAAAAAAAAGGCATACAGAAGAAAGAACAAACATCTTACATGGATGATATTTTGCCCGTAAGGCGACGACCTTTGCAGAAAACCGCTTATTTTGTCTTCCACAGGTTTTACGTTCTATGACAAGATCGGCAGGAGACGAGAAATTTAAGAGAGCACTTTTAGCGTGTGTCGCAGGCGCCGGTTTATTTTTTAGGGCGAAGGAAGAAATCTCGAGGACGCGCTACGCAGGCTAGAGCACTTTAGGCGTGGAATATATTCCAATAAACTCCACCGCTGAAAAGGTTTTTGCGTTTGCCGGTTTTCCGTTTACTTGGATTATGTAATCATGGATATGTAACACCGACACCCTGCTGTCAGTACTTACTCTAGGTATACCGGTCGGTTTTGTTTAATCATTTTGAGGCCCGAAGCATTTTTCATTACGGAGGTTGGCCTTGCCTCACTGGCTATATTGAAGTTAGCCAGTGGGGCTTGACTTGTACGCTGTCGAGTAAAGGTAGTAAAGATGAAGTAAAGCTTCCTTGTTGTACACTCTTTTACATCTTCAGCTTATCCATTTGTCTAAGTCTCAGTAAAGTATAAGTGTAGGAACCGCTTAAGGATAAGTGTTATCTTTCCTGCAGTGGTATGGTGGTGATGACGATAATGGTTGACTCTGATAATGTTTACATTCATTTACAACCTGTTAGAGTTTTGCTTCAGTGCGGTTTAAGACAAATAAACCTTGCTGAGGCGCGGAGATGAATGATTCATCCACAAAGAAAACCTAAAGGACATTGTTATTCTTTGCTGATACAAATAGCGTAAGATTTGATTTTGTTCCTAAATCGTTTGTGGAAGTTGTCCTGCTTTAGACTAGAACTGAAGGAGCTTTTCAGTCCTAGACTGTCAAAGAAGTAAAACTTTCTTCGCCTACTACAACACTTGATCAGTATCAGTTGAATAGACAAGACAAGACATTTATTATCATAATATTGCCTGTGAAATTTCTTGGCAGGCAGTTAGCCAAAAACGCTAGTCGTTGCGTGCTAAAATAATTCTATTACAAGTCAGATATTACAGATAATAAGTAAAAAGCAAAGAAAAAGAAAAGAAGAATATGTGTAGTAAAGTCAAAAGCAAAAAAAGACAAATCTGTTTAAAGCAAGTTGTGAAAAGCCGGAAGCTAAAAATATTGGACTGATTGATCATGACAGATAGTTTCTTTGCGTGTGAAGACCCATCCACTTGGCTGTACCAAATTAAGCTAAAGAAGGCTGTGTCGAGGGCTTTGTCTAAAGTCCAGCACTACAGAATCACGTGCTTTGTGACGCACTTTCCCGGTTCAAACTCAACTCCCGCAAAATTCGCCAACGTTTGACAAATTCAACTAAGCTGAATAACAGTAGTAAAGTTTGACACGGCGAGCGGAGTTCATTTTTCAGTGACGTTTTTGGTGCTGCCGTCGTCGTCGTGGTTGCTTAAGGTCCCTAATCACGCACGGTTGGCTAATACGCGTGTGGTCAGCCGATGAATAAGGCACAGTGGGCTCTCTCCTCCGCCGAGATTCCTGCTGGGTATCCCAATAAAAATAGCAATAATGGAAAAAATAGAAAGCGCGCGGGGCACGATCCATTTCTTCCCATCGTGCCCAGCGCGCTCTCTTTTTTTTTTCTCTCCAACCTCCCTAGCCTGCGAGAGCGATCGGATTTTTCGGCTCAAGTTTCTAGTTTCACCCGCCGTTTTCCTCGGCGAGTGAAACTAGAAACTTGAGCCAAAAAAACCGGATGCTCTTGCAGGTAACAGCCTCCTTATAACACAAAGAGGCCTCGGCGGAGGAGAAAAGACAGCGGGAGCATTTTTTTTTTATGTTCAGTATTGATAATTACATAATAATTGGTAGAACTAAGGCACGTTATATATTTACGTTCGTAAGGGATGGACCATTTTATTTTTGAGGGGGGGGGTTGGGCAATTACCAAAAAAAAATTCCTGCATAGCAAAAGTCAAGAAAAAAAAAATCATGCACAGTGGGCCAGGGAAAAAAAAAATTCGAGCAAGCCTTTCTAGTGGTAGGATCTTGTTAGAGCAAATAAAAAGGTAATCTGTAATTTTTGTCAATTTTATTTCAACAGACCAAAAATGCTGTTAAACTGTTTGTAAAATAATTCACTTCTTTGTGTTTCATATCATAAATATCAAAAATACAACATTTCCATCCATCTCTTGTAGTAAAACATAAATTTGAACCATTTCACTGAATCTGGTATAATATAAAAATCATGTCTTAAAATATCATTTATATTTAAATATAACTTGCCGTTATAAAATAACTTTTAGCTATCTTCAACATATCTCACATATATTTATTAAATAACAATTACTGCAATGTCTTATAGTGTCTATGTTTCTGCCCCTTTTTCTGCTTCTACAGAAGCTTCTTAACAGACCAAAAATGCTGTTAAACTGTTTGTAAAATAATTCACCTCCTTGTGTTTCATATCATAAATATCAAAAATACAACATTTCCATCCATTTCTTGTAGTAAAACATAAATTTCAACCATTTCACTGAATCTGGTATTATTATAAAAATCATGTCTTAAAATATCATTTATATTTAAATATAACTTGTATTATAAAATGACTTTCAGCTATCTTCAACATATCTCATATATATTTATTAAATAACAAAAACTGTAATGTCTTATAGTGTCTATGTTTCTGCCCCTTGTTCTGCCGCTTCTTCCACTTCTGCCCCTTGTTCTGTCACTTCTTCTGCTTCTGCCCGTGCCCCTCCTTCTGCCATTGCTTCTGCTTCTGTCACTGTTTTTGCTTCTGCGCCTGCTTTACTCTTCTTTCTTTTTTTGTTTTTTTCATTTGATTTCTTGCGCTTCCTCAGCAGAGATACATGAGAAGCTGAAGAGCCAAACTTCTCTCTAGCTATCTGGACCATTTGGTTTGCCCTTTCCAAAATGGTGCCAATCTCTCCTTCAACACTTAGGATACTGGGCCTGAGCTTGGAATAAAATTCCCAAGTTTCAAGGAGGCCTATAACAGTGTGAACATAGAAATTAATAAACAGTACATGTAATTTTTAAGCAAATGAAATATCTTCGCAGTAATGTACCCAACTTAAAGCAGTTGAGAAAAGCAAGCCTGAAAAAAAATTATGGCTTGAACGGGATTCGAACCCATGACCTCTGCGATACCGGTGCAGTCGCTCTACCACTGAGCTATCAAGCCAAGGGGTTTGGCCATTTGTGAGTTCGTTATATACCCGTAGATGGAGAGGATATGAGATGAATATATAAAATTCATATATTTGACGTACTGCGGATAGCCGCGGTACAAAAACACGACTTTCATATAATTTCATATATACATCTCAGTACATGTACTATTGGAGTTGAAGACATTATTGTTAAAATGATTCCTGTGAATGCATGGATACATAAAAACTGATATTTTATATAACAAGTGTAGTCATGCTCACCTTCTTTGACAGGGGTGCCACACAATGCGATCTGCTCATCGCACTGTTGCCTTGCTTCCTTTGCCAAATTATGCGCCTTTTCTATGCCCTCGGTAAATTTGCACAGGGAATCGTACATATTCCGTGGGACTTCCTGCCCATCTTTAGCCTCCAAGCAGCTTTGAACTTGAGGGTAGCGCTCACACATCTGCTGATGTAGCCCCCAAACGCTTCGGCCTCTGTAATATGGGGTCCACTTTGGCCTGGAGAGAAAGCACTGCTTGAGGTACATGTACCATCTTGTATAGACATACCCTATGGAATGCTCATTTTTGGTCATACTAAATATGAAGACTAAAAAAAATGGAAAAAAAAAATTCGTGCACAACCTTTAGGTACTAAAAAAAATTCGTGCACAGCCCAAAGGCGAAAAAAAAAATTCTTACCAAGCAAAAATTGCCCAACCCCCCCTCAAAAATAAAATGGTCCATCCCTAATGGTTATCTTTATAGTGATTAAGTGTAGTGTACCACAAATTTAGAATGGTCAAAGAAATTGAATAGATTGATTGAAACGTCTGTCTTCAGGTAAACGTGTCAAAAGTGAAGCTTTCCTCACTGATTAGTCTTGAAAATAAGGCATTTTAAGGGACACTTTTAGCGTTAGCGGTTGTGTTTTCACTAGGGCGATTAACTAGCTGAACATTCTTTCTAGGATTTGTTTACAAACCGAGTTTTACTAGTTAAACGTGACAACTGTTTTCACTGTGGCAATCTACGCCACTAACTCAGAGAATTCAAATTGCAAAAGCGCGCCATAATAATAAATGAAAGGGGACGAAGTGCTTGTAATGACTTCTCGTGTGATTATTTTTGCTGTATTTTTTCGAAGGAGAAGGAGTTTTATTCAGCAAATGAGGCTTATGTCCTTACAAATGAGGAAGATGCGACGAAATCTTTTAATTCTGTCAATGCAACAACGAAACAATATTCAGTGCCATAACTGGGATAAGCGCAAGACTATGTGGGTTTATCCAAGACCACAATTCTGGTTTAAGGATCTGGCCGAAGAAATAGACAATGCAGTGGGGTCGGTGGGATTGTAAATCGAAAGAAATGACTGTTGGAATTGTCTGCCATGTTGAATTTCTCAAGCTCAACCAAGAAGCAATAGCCTCTGGAAAATAATATTACCGGATTATTTGGCAGGCGTCTGTCACTACGCGCGACCCGATTGGCTACAGCGTTTATCAGGACAAGTTATACCATCTCGCGAGGTAGTATAACTCTGCGTGAATTTCCGCTCGTAGAGGCGAGAAAATCCCTTGTTTTTGCTTGTGAAAACAGCTTGCATTTTTAACTAGCTAAAACCAAGACCAGGTGTTTTCACTGTATTTCCGGACTTTTCCGCCTTTATCTAGTTAAAATTGTCCTAGTGAAAACACAGCCAGCGTCACCGACTGTAAGGCCATCTCCCCAATTCACCCCATTTTTCATTGCCACTGGTCTCCCAAAACCCCCGGGGGGGGGGGGTACTTTAGGAATTTCTGGGTGGGGATGTGCCGCTGGAACCCTGGAACCCTTAACCTATACCAGAGCTAGTTCAGCTGAATTTTGCTACCCTATACTAGAGTAAACTCCCCAAATTCCCCTATCCTAGAGTAGCTGTTTACCTAGTCTAGATAAAATCTTCAACCAAATGATCAGTTTCCTGAAAAATGATACCCTATTCTAGACATTCTAGACCCAAACGCTCTGATTTATATACCCTATCCTAGAGTAAACTGCTTGAAAACCATACCCTTCACAGCGGCACATACCTATATAGCCCATATATGGCAGTACCCCCCCCGGGCCAAAAACCAGCTCCTACAACCACCGATTTAACTGTTTACTGACTTGGAACATTAGCAACAGAGTGGGTCATTGCTTACATGCAAACAGCACAAGTAAACGGCATTCCAGTGCGGCAACACACCAAAATTTAAAACAACCCCACATGCATACCAGATGATATCCCTGTGTCTTTGCAACAACATGACACCCAGCTAGATACAAAACCACCTCAATTTGAAGGAGACACTGAGCTTTGAGAGACCGTCAGGGATAAGCCCCGGTACAAAAATTCAGCAAATCCACAATCCAGCACAAATCATGCTCTTTACAACAACCCCACCCCCCTGGAATTTAACCAGGCTACCCCAAATACATACCAGATGATAACCCTGTGTCTGTGCAACAACATGACATCTCCCTGGAGATTAATTATATAGTTACTCCATGTTGCCCTGCCAAGCACCATTTTGAAACACGAGCCTTTGCAGTGCTAGTACCATGCATGGACCTACCCAGAGGTAACAACAAATAACAAATAAGAGAAAAAACAAATAATAGAAAAATTGTTACACTTGTATCTTACATCTTTCACAACTCCCATTTTTAGGGCAGTACCTGCGAGCTATCAATATATTGCGTTTGACTAATAAATGTATTCTCATACAGGAATTATCGAGGCGCTTTGCCCTGTCTTCTCTACAAAACTTAAACGCTAGCTTCAGTTGAGGCTAAGCATCACGTGTACGTCAAATTTGTACCACGTGACCAAGTTTCCCCTTAACTTACTGTTCATTAATTCTACACATAATTTAGCAGTTTCATGCAATTTTCTATCCATAAGAATTGTTTTAAGCTGTTTTTATCTGCTAATTTTCTGTTTTGAGAAATTGTCAACTTGAATCTGACGTTTGCCGTTTGCAATATACGTGAAGCTTAATGTCACTATTATTTGAAAAAGAATAGAGGTTCGCAGCATATTTAATTAAAAGGGTGAGTAAAGCCCTACATTTTGTAGTGTTTCGTTTTAGAAAACGCCAGTTTATTTTTGACTGTTTGAAGTCCACCGCATGGTTACCATGGTAGCACTGGCGCGTCAGTTTTAGATACGTTTCTGGGGAAACTGCCCACCTACCCCTCCCCTAAGCCAACATTAACACTTACTTCTCACTTAGGGCAAAATGTTGGCTGAGGGGATGGGTAGGTGGGCAGTTTCCTAGAAACGTATAATGATCCATTTTAGTAAAAGGCTGCGTCCCAACCTTGTCCCCAGGGTCTGACCCTGGGGACGAGGTTGGGCCGCGTCCATACTCTTCTGTCGCCAGATGGTGCTCTATATATCGACGCAAAATAGAGAGAGAAAAAAAAACGGTTGTGCACGACCACACTACTTCAAGTTCGAAAAATGAACGTTAGTAAACAGATCCTTCCCTTTGGTTTTTTGTTTTTGTTTTTGTCATTGTTACTGCCCCAGTTGTTATGCTTATGGCTCCCCTTGGCTCCCTCCTGGGAACTCACTTCCATCGCCAGGTTCTTGCTGCTTTGATCTACATCTTGGACACCATTTCTCTGGTGACTGCCTTTGCAATCCTACCGCTCTCTGGCGCTGTGATTGGCCTGTCCGTGGGAATGTTAGTCTTCGGGTTTGCCTTTTTCTCGGATTTTTCGGCTTGATCACGTGGCTTGGCAATAAAATCATGGCAGATATTGAAGCGAAAGAGGAAGAGAGAAGAGTGGCAGAGAAAGAAAAAGAGGCTGCAAATAAGGGATTCGATAACGAAGCGTTCAAAGATAGTACCGCTTTGTAGACACAAGAAAGAATGAAGTGAATATACTGTAATGGATAAGCGAATTTCTTTTTATTCTACCTACCTTTTTAATATGTGCTAGGTCATTGTTATAACGCTTTTAAAAATACTATTATTTCTGCGAGCTTTGTTGCATTTTAAGCCTACACTTGTAGAATGTTAATACATCTAACTCAAAGTGTCATAAGAACAAACGCAGTTCCAGAAGTAGGACTGAAAATTCCAGAAAGATGTCAAGATTTAATCTTAATTTCGGCACTTACCATCTGAAGGCACCGTAGGTAGAGCTTTTCGCTTACGAGGGTGGCGTTAAGAGAGGCTCCACTGTAATTGAACATATAAAAATAATTTGTTTAGTATTACGTTTTGTAGTATCATTTTAGAAAGCTTTTAGGGCTTAGAGAGAAAACTGATTGAATTTACACTTCCGTATATTTATTTTGTTTCGTATTTAATAGGCCCCTGGTCGTATAGTAATTTTGCAGTTGGGCTGATGTCAGAGAACTGCAGGACACTAAAAAAGAAAAAACAAACAAAGAAAATTGCAAAACAATATGCGCTCAGCTGGAATATTGTAAAAAGTAGGGCCATACAAATATTATGTAGCTGAATTTGATATATTTTATGAAAGTGAAGAATTGTTAATTGTGAGTTTCTCGCCTTATATTTGAGTATACTCTTACATCTTATTTTCTTATAATAAACCCAGTGTGGCTTTTTGGGCTCCTCGAGCACTTGTTGTGCACATCTTATCGATGTGCCATTTAAAAGTTATTAACCTTGGTTCACATTACACTAAACACAATGTAAACTGCTGACTAGAGATAATTTTTCCTTTTATTTCAGTTCTTGACGGTATTGCAATTTATATTTTTTGTAGTTAATGCTGTCTTTCTTTTTAGTGCTAACTGTATAAGAGTTGAAATCTTCAACATAAGACAAACTTTGAATAAAGTTGGAATGTAAATAATGCTATAAAATTAACAGATTGTCTTTTACTTTGTTTAGTCTCCCTTTGAGCAGAAATATACATTTCTAACGTTTCGTAGTTGCTTTTCTGTACTTGAACACATCGCGATAATTGAATTGATTTTGACGCGTTGATGGAAGTCAACGAATGAAAAAAAAAATCTTTTGTCCTTTGTGCGGCAATACACTTGGTATATGCATATAGGAACTCAAGGAACATATAGGGGCCCAGAGAAGGATAGGCATTGCATTGAAGGGGGTCAGGAGGATGAGGGGGTGTGCATTTCAAGTAGCGAAGTCTACAGTCCAGGATAGGGTATCTTCATATCAGAGAGGTCTTAAGAATAGGCATCGAAATTCGGAAGTCTGGAAAAGGCTGGGAAAATTTGGTTTCTTGTAAACCAAAATTCAAACACACGGCCCGAGGAAGGGGTTTGAAGTCTTAGGTGGACACTCGCCACCCCGTCCCCTCGAGTTCATGAGATCAGTCACTGGAACACGCATGTGCCATCAAGTGTTGAAATTTACATGTTCCCCTAAACGAAAAAAAATGCCTACCGAAAAAAGAACAAACATCTTACATGGATGATATTTTGCTCGTAAGGCGGCGAGCTTTGCAGAAAACCGCTTTTTTTTGTCTTCCACAAGTTTTACGTTCTATGACAAGATCGGCAGGAGACGAGAAATTTAAAGTGAGAGCACTTTTAGCGTGCGTAGCAGGCGCTGGTTTTTTTTTTTTAGGGCGAAGGAAGAAATCTCGAGGACGCGCTACGCAGGCTAGAGCACTTTAGGCGTGGAATATATTCCAATAAACTCCACCACTGAAAAGGTTTTTGCGTTTGCCGGTTTTCCGTTTACTTGGATTATGTAATCATGGATATGTAACACCGACACCCTGCTGTCAGTACTTACTCTAGGCATACCGGCCGGTTTTGTTTAATCATTTTGAGGCCCGAAGCATTTTTCATTACGGAGGTTGGCCTTGCCTCACTGGCTATATTGAAGTTAGCCAGTGGGGCTTGACTTGTACGCTGTCGAGTAAAGGTAGTAAAGATGAAGTAAAGCTTCCTTGTTGTACACTCTTTTACATCCTCAGCTTATCCATTTGTCTAAGACTCAGTAAAGTATCAGTATAGGAACCGCTTAAGGATAAGTGTTATCTTTCCTGCAGTGATGGTGGTGATGACGATAATGGTTGACTCTGATAATGTTTACATTCATTTACAACCTGTTAGAGTTTTGCTTCAGTGCGGTTTAAGACAAATAAACCTTGCTGAGGCGCGGAGATGAATGATTCATCCACAACGAAAACCTAAAGGACATTGTTATTCTTTGCTGATACAAATAGCGTAAGATTTGATTTTGTTCCTAAATCGTTTAATTTGTGGAAGTTGTCCTGCTTTAGACGAGAACTGAAGGAGCTTTTCAGTCCTGGACTGTCAAAGAAGCAAAACTTTCTCCGCCTACTACAACACTTGATCGGTATCAGTTGAATAGACAAGACAAGACATTTATTATCAATAATATAATATTGCCTGTGCAATTTCTTGGCAGGCAGTCAGCCAAAAACGCTAGTCGGGTCGTGGCGTGCCAAAATAATTCTATTACAAGTCAGATATTACAGATAATAAGTAAAAAGCAAAGAAAAAGAAAAGAAGAATATGTGTAGTAAAGTCAAAAGCAAAAAAAGACAAATCTGTTTAAAGCAAGTTGTGAAAAGCCGGAAGCTAAAAATATTGGACTGATTGATCATGACAGATAGTTTCTTTGCGTGTGAAGACCCATCCACTTGGCTGTATCAAATTAAGCTAAAGAAGGCTGTGTCGAGGGCTTTGTCTAAAGTCCAGCACTACAGAATCACGTGCTTTGTGACGCACTTTCCCGGTCCAAACTCAACTCCCGCAAAATTCGCCAACGTTTGGCAAATTCAACTAAGCTGAATAACAGTAGTAAAGTTTGACACGGCGAGCGGAGTTCATTTTTCAGTGACGTTTTTGGTGCTGCCGTCGTCGTCGTGGTTGCTTAAGGTCCCTAATCACGCACGGTTGGCGAATACGCGTGTGGTCAGCCGATGAATAATGCACAGTGGGCTCTCTCCTCCGCCGAGATTCCTGCTGGGTATCCCAATAAAAATAGCAATAATCGAAAAAATCGAAAGCGTGCGGGGCACGATCCATTTCTTCCCATCGTGCCCAGCGCGCTCTCTTTTTCTTTCTCTCCAACCTCCCTAGCCTGCGAGAGCGATCGGATTTTTCGGCTCAAGTTTCTAGTTTCACCCGCCGTTTTCCTCGGCGAGTGCCTGCGAGCCGATCGGATTTTTCGGGTAACAGTTTCTAGTTTAACACAACAATCGGAGGCCTCGGCGGAGGAGAAAACACAGCGGGAGCATTTTTTTTATGTTCAGTATTGATAATTACATAATAATTGGTAGAACTAAGGCACGTTATATATTTACGTTCGTAAAGGTTATCTTTATAGTGATTAAGTGTAGTGTACCACAAATTTAGAATGGTCAAAGAATTTGAATAGATTGATTGAAACGTCTGTCTTCAGTTAAACGTGTCAAAAGTGAAGCTTTCCTCACTGATTAGTCTTGAAAATAAGGCATTTTAAGGGACAGTTTTAGCGTTAGCGTTACCGACTGTAAGGCCATCTCCCCAATTCACCCCATTTTTCATTGCCACTGGTCTCCCAAAAACCAGCTCCTACAACCACCGATTTAACTGTGTACTGACTTGGAACATTAGCAACAGAGTGGGTCATTGCTTGCGTGCAAACAGCACAAGGAAACGGCATTCCAGTGCGGCAACACACCAAAATTTAAAACAACCCCACGCCCCTGGAATTTACCCTCGCTACCCCAAATGCATACCAGATGATAGCCCTGTGTCTGTGCAACGACATGACACCCAGCTAGATACAAAACCACCTCAATGTGAAGGAGACACTGAGCTTTGAGAGACCGTCAGGGATAAGCCCCGGTACAAAAATTCAGCAAATCCACAATCCAGCACAAATCATGCTCTTTAGAACAACCTCACCCCCCTGGAATTTAACCAGGCTACCCCAAATACATACCAGATGATAACCCTGTGTCTGTGCGACAACATGACATCTCCCTGGAGATTAATTATATAGTTACTCCATGTTGCCCTGCCAAGCACCATTTTGAAACACGAGCCTTTGCAGTGCTAGTACCATGCATGGACCTACCCAGAGGTAACAACAAATAACAAATAAGAGAAAAAACAAATAATAGAAAAATTGTTACACTTGAATGTTACATCTTTCACAACTCCCATTTTTGGGGCAGTACCTGTGAGATATCAATATATTGCGTTTGACTAATAAATGTATTCTCATACAGGAATTATCGAGGCGCTTTGCCCTGTCTTCTCTGCAAAACTTAAACGCTAGCTTCAGTTGAGGCTAAGCATCACGTTTACGTCAAATTTGTACCACGTGACCAAGTTTCCCCTTAACTTACTGTTCATTAATTCTACACATAATTTAGTAGTTTCATGCAATTTTCTATCCATAAGAATTGTTTTGAGCTGTTTTTATTTGCTCATGTTCTGTTTTGAGAAATTGTCAACTTGAATCTGACGTTTGCCGTTTGCAATATACGTGAAGCTTAATGTCACTATTATTTGAAAAAGCAAGAGAGGTTCGCAGCATATCTAATTGAAAGGATCAGTAAAGCTCTACATTTTGTAGTGTTTCGTTTTAGAAAACGCCAGTCTATTTTTGACTGTTAGAAGTCCACCGCATGGTTACCATGGTAGCTCTGGCACGTCAGTTTCAGATACTTTTCTGGAGAAACTGCCCACCTACCCCTCCCCTAAGCCAACGTTAACACTTACTTCTCACTTAGGGCAAAATGTTGGCTGAGGGGATGGGTAGGTGTTCAGTTTCCTAGAAACGTAAAATGATCCATTTTAGTAAACCAGGGTCTGACCCTGGAGACGAGATTGGGCCGCGTCCATAGTCTTCTGTCGCCAGATGGTGCTCTATATATCGACGCAAAATAGAGAGAGAAAAAAAACGGTTGTGCACGACCACACTACTTCAAGTTCGAAAAATGAACGTTAGTAAACGGATCTTTCCCTTTGGTTTTTTGTTTTTGTTTTTGTTTTTGCTTTCAAGTTTTGGTAAAGACAGTTAGCGAATATCCATTGACACTGTACTTCTGGAAGAACGGTTTAAAATTAGAAAACTTTCCAAGTTTCAGGCCGATTCGTTAAAGTGGGCCTTTGCAGATATTGCTGCACAAAGGCGTGAAATTATACAGGGACGCTTATGTGGTGGGGCCGCGAACTTGCGCCCCACCACATACACATACCACACAGACGTATGTAAAATTCGGTGACTTTGCGGAGCGATATCTCTCGTTAGTTTCCAACAAATCACGTTCAAAATTAGCAACTGTACTTATTGTAAGGCATTATTTTTTTTATTTTAGCCGTGTTGACGAATTTTTCACTTACTGGCCTCAGACAAAAAATATTCTTCATAATTTAAATGTCCTTCATATTTTAAGAGTTTAGAATATTTTTGCTTCATATTAATGTTTATATTTCAAAGCTCTGAAACCTTGTGCAAGAGCACGAACGCTTGTATTTCGATCTTGGGCTAACCCGGCACAACAAATTGTATTTAACATAAAAGACCATCTGGGTATAAAATTATATTAGTTGCCTCAGTTTTTAGTTGTTTCATCAAGTAATCCATTTAAATTTTATTAGGAAGGCTTCACATACATGAGAAAGTTATCCTTGTAATCGCTAACTAACAAAAATGGACGTTGTCAAGAAATATTTTTCTCGGCTAAGAGAACCGACAGAATATTTTAATCAAGGGGGTGTATTATATTTCTTTATTTTAATAATTAATGCAAATTTCGCAATCTTACTGTTACCAGACAGCTGGCCTTGAAACTTAAAAACTACCAGTTCCTGAAAAATCGAAAAATGTTTTTGAATATCGTTAAATTATTGCCTTACTTCTTTTATACCACTAAATGAGAAATTTCTGCAATTTGATTGGCTTAGAGCAGTGGTATTTCAGCTTAATTTGAAATACCTACATGTGAAAATTACAAACCTTTTTCGGGTAGTAGTATAAACAAATAATAGCATGATTTGTACGTGATATTTGGCATAAATACCACTCATGATATTTCAAAATTGCCTCAAATTTCACTCGCCTAACGGCTCGTGAAATTACGTATAACAATTTTGAAATATCACTCATGGTATTTATGCCAAATATTACTACTAATCATGCTATTACCTATACAAATTATTGAAAATTCTTGCAGTTTCTTGAACAAGTTAGTCGTCGTTGTTTTACGGTATAACAGGTTTATTTCTGCAAACAGAACTTTCTTTTTTTACTTTATTTCTCTCTCTCTCTCCTTTTTATTTTGTAAATTCAGTAGTTACCATAAAGGATAGACACAATTTGAACAAATCTCAAGCTTTGTAGCAATTTTTTTTGTGGAAAAGTAATTGCAGTTTGGTACAGGTCTTTTAAGTAAACTGGTGTTTGGAAAAAAATCAAGTATAACATAAAATATGCCACTATGAAAAATGAAGCTTACTTGCAGGAGGAAATTGCCGGAAAATACGCTTTTTATGTTGGAACTCTTTTTGGTTATTTTTATCAAGAATGCTTATTAGCGGAAGACAGGTTCAAAAAAGAGGATTTAGTTAAAAATGCTTTTTTTTCGCCAAAGTGTTAAATTGAAGTTTTTTTTTGTTGTTTTTCTTCCTATGAAAGCGCCATTCGGGCTTCTAAGGGTGCTGTGCCCTTTTTCATCAGCACTTTCTCGTAAAGTGCAAATTATCTTAGCCTTGCGGCAAAGCGCAATACTCCTTTTTTATCTTTGATGTAAATTTTTTCATTTAATTTTCCTATTCAACCTTATTTGTATTGTTATCTTTGTTTGCCGTAAACAGTTTTTGTCATATTTTATTACCTTAAGTTTGTTTTCATCTTTCCCCCGCCTCGATTAACCTTTTATGCTATTAGCGGTGGGAAAGTTTATTTTCTGATTTCTTGTACCTGTAACTAATTTACTGAGTTTGTATTTACTTTATATCTGAACTATGTGGAATAAGATTGTTGTTGGTGTAAGTGCTGTAAACGATGGTTCTAGGTTTGAACATGGAATCAATCCTGGCTATCTTAAGTGCTATTCCATTTCAGTCAAGCTTCCGTTCTATGCTTTCGTGTGGTACAACTGGTTTTTGCCCTCGATTAAATCTGGATGAAGTCCGTCGTAGTTTTATTGTATGCATTCTTATCAGCAACGTCATTAAGAACTATTGCTAATAATTTTAGCCACATTAAGCAGTAAAAAAGATAAGTTGATGTACAATTTAGCAGCAGGTCTTGTTTGATGGGATCTTTTCTTTTCTACCCATACCGCTGAGTAACAATGACGTACATGTACTGATTCGTTTTTTCCAGTATCTTAATTTGATTGACATCAATTTCCTGGTGATATCTCTTGTAACAATAACTTATTAATTAGAAAACTGAGTCCTGGCACCTTCACATTTCGCGAAATGAAATTTAAAAACACGAAACAAAAATAACTGAGATTTCGAAATCTGGTTAAAACAGCTTCTGAAAGCATAACTTTCTTTTCCCTTTTTCTTCCATTTTTTGCCATAAAGGATGAAAAACTTTGAAAAGATTTCAAACATTTGTATTAATTTTTTCCTGTGGAAAGGTAGCTCCAATTTGGAACGGTTTATATTAAATAAATATGGGTTTTTGGAAAACATCAAATTGACTTAAATTTGTCATGAAATGAAGCTTAATTGCATCCAAACAGCAGGAAAACTTTCCATTTTTATCAGTGCTAATTGGCGGAAAACAGGTCCAGGAAGGAGGATTTGGTTAAAAAGGCGGGTCTTTCGGCCCTCGCCATTGAAGTTTTGTTTTGCACATAGGTCTCTTTTCATTATCAAGAAAGCCGGAATGAAATGCTCTCCCTGTATGAACGGTATTTCTTTTTTATCTTGGCGCCTATGAAAGCTCTACACGTGATTATAGGGGTGCTGTGTCCTATTTTAGCAGCACTTTTCTGTAAAATGCTGTAAACGATGGTTGAAGTTTTGAACTTGGAAACAATCCTGGTTATCGTAACTGCTTTTCTATTTTCAAACTTCCGTGCTCTGCTTTCTTGTGGCTTAGTGTGTTGTATCTTATCAAGTGGTTTTACCCTTATAAAAGTCCGAATAAAGTCTGTCTTAGTTTTATTGCATGCGTTCTTATCAGCGACGTCATTACCAACTATTGTTTATTATTTTAGCTACATTAGACTAAGAAGTACTAAAAAGATTATTGAGTTGATGTACAATTTAATTGAAACTTTTGTAACTTACGTAGTAGCTGATCTGGTTTGATTAGATTGTTGGCTTTAATTTTCTACCCACGCCGCCGAGTAACAATGACGTACATGTCGTTGTTTTTTCCAGTATCTGAATTTGATTGACATCATTATATTTCTAGCGATGGCACCAAGTAACAATGCTCCTGGTTCTGGCACCTTCAAATTTTGCAAATTAAAATCAGAAAAAAAAACACGAAATCTAGCCGAGCCTACAAAATCCTATGGCCTTTGATTTTTGTGTCCCAAGATAAAATAGGCACAGATCGTGAATTCTTTTAAGACTAGAAAAAGGGATCAGAATAAAGCATTAAGTGATCATGGAGGATAGGAAAGCGTGAACGTTCCCAGACATGTACAGATGGTTTAACTGACCACAGGTACCCCAAGCTCAGGTAGTTGTTGCATAACAGAATAAGGAACTAACTACCGTGTCGTTATCTAGGGCACAAAAACAGCAATAAAAATACATCAAAACATGTACATTTTACCTTGTTTTCCAGCTTTATTCATGGTGTGTTCTTTTCTAGATCTTAACATACTTGGCCGTTTCAGCGCGATTCTAGCGAGTTTTTTTAAAAACAAAGATACAAGCCCTAAAAATATTTCTGTTACGCAACAACGGTCACTCGTAAACTTGGGGTACCTGTGGTCTTACTAATGAGAGCGCTAACACTACCAAATTTGAGATAAAGGTTACTTTGATAATGAACTATCCTTGTAACTGTCTGTTCAAATTTTTGTTTGCGATCAAACATAAAAGATTTAAACATTATAATAATCGTAAATTTTTTTTAATGGAATTAATTTCCCTCTGTTTTATGTAAAATCAGTAGAAGCTTTATAGCTTGAATTAATAACTGAAAGTGCTTTTTTGACAGTAAGTCTTAGAAACTGCTTCATCTTGGACCACAATCCGACAGAAACGTCCATCATGTCATCGAACACGAACAAGTCAGTGTTCAATTGTCCACAGATTCCACAATTCATATGGGACGTTCATGACACTATTTCTCCTTGGATATTTGCTGCTGTTGCATCTATAATCTCACCCGCTGCAGTTCTTTTGAACGGGTTAGTTATCATAGCAGTTATGAAAAGGAGAGAACTGCAGAAACTTTCCAATATTCTGCTGTCAAGTATGGCCGTTACGGACCTTCTTGTAGGTGCTATATCTATACCGTTATCTGCTGTAACTGGATTCTTGCTTCCCTATCACATTCTTGCTGCTCAAGATGTTTGCACGCTCGAAATGGCAACAGGCTGGTTCCCAATCACTCTGACATTTTGTTCCCTCTTCCATCTGGTGGTGATTGCATGGGAGAGATACGTGGCCATTCGAAAGTGGAGGGACTACAGAGTTATAGTGACTAAAGGCCGCTTGAAAAAGCTGGCTGCAATAGCTTGGATTTCTGGACCAGTATTCGTTTGTATCCCATCCACTATTTCCATAGCGGTCAGTGGACACATTACCATTGAAGTTCTCGCGGCTTTAATATGTTGTATGCTGGCACTCATCGTATATTTTTACGTCATGGTGTACCTTGGAGTACGCAAACAAAAGTTCAGTCAAATTTCCCAGGTCAGCGTGTTAGTGACAACGAAACTGGAAAACAGAGTTGCGAAGACCACTGCTTTGGTTACAGCTGCGTTGATCCTTTCCTTCGTTCCTGTTGTTTCTCTCACTTTACTGGGAGAGGTTTTTCCTGTACTTCATAGAATGTCCTCAGTGCGCGTAGGGGATACACTTATACTTTCAAATTCTTTAGTTAATCCACTCATTTACTGTTACAGAGACCGTCGTTTTAAGAAAGCTGTGCTCGAGATTTTGAAAATTAAAAAACCTAAACAAAAGAATGCAGTGGACAAAGTGCGATTCACCAAAAGAAAAGATGGACGTGGTCCAACAAAGGATAAGGCGCCGATTACACAAGAAGAAGATAAAAATATCTTGTTGAGAAGATCAACATCCTTGGATTTGATCCGGTTTTTTGATCGAGCTTATATCGAGCCTAATAAGATGTTGGTTAAGAGAACCCCGTCGGCTCCGTTGATCCATGTTGGTGGCATTTCGGGCGTAGTCTAGACTAATTAACGCTTCCACTACCATCGGCCATCGTGGTCCATGACGTCAAGAGCGCCATTTCAAGGTCCTCGAAACACGGTAAGAAGGGAGAACTTGATCCAGAACTGCTGCCACAAAGACCAAATCCTTTCAAAAAAACAAAAAACAAAAAACGGATCCTTAAGAACGATGACGACCTTGGAAAACAGGAGACAAGGGCAAATGTCGACCGAACAGACTATTTTGCACACGCGACTGAGATAATTTCAGTATAAGTAAAATCCTTTACATAATTATTATCAGGAGACGCGAAACTGGTCAGCCTTGGAAACGCTGGCTACTGTCTTCTCAGAGTAAAGTCGAGCTTAGCAGATATCTGCAGAGACTGCACTTTCTTGCTTTATTTTATTTACTGTCAACCTGGAAAATGTTCATGGAACAAAACAACATCAAACTTTATCAGATAATAACAATAATGATGATGATGATGATGATGATGATGATGATGATGATGATGATAATATATAGATTTTGCCAGGATTAAAAGGGAAGCTCTCGTTAATATCAATAGTTTACTAAACCAAATACAAAATCGTGTAACTGTAAGGGGCGAAGGCAACGAAAACAGCCAAAAAAAAAGCAGTAGGTCTAATTAGCAAAAAACACTTTGCACGTGCAGCACAATTTTTTTTAATTAGCAAAAAACAACTTTACAGGCTTATTTTGTACATTTCTTTGCCGTTGGTTTGCACGACTACAACGTGAAACTTCCAGAAACTTCCTAGTTACACGTTTTATGGAGGAAATGTTGTATGTGGTCCTGTTCACTTTCTTTTCGCTGCCGTTCATTTTCAGCTTGGTGGCAGCTAGCATTTCCCCTTTTTCTCGCAGCCGCTATAAAAGTGTTATGTTTTTCTTCCAACGAAATTGGTCTCCTTTGGTTTTTATCTTTCGCTCTAGCTCTTTGTCTGTTATCCACGTCAATGTAGACATTGAAATTTAGTCGAAAGAAAGAATCGGCTTTTGTTGTTGTTGTTTTTATCTCTAAGGGGTGGACGTACGGACTGATGTACCCCGTACGGAGGATTTTCTCAGAACCAAAATTTCTTGGATGCATAGATTTACCTAATTTTCTTACCCATGGTGCTCCGCTGCACGCGCTTCGCTAATACTGATGAGAATAATAATGATGATGATGATCAGAATAAAGAAAACAACAAACAACAAATAATCGAAAGCCTCGTTTAGCAGTTTTCGAGGCGGGCCTAAGGGAAAAAAAATATTCTAAAATATTCAGCCATTATTTAGTTTTTATAATTTATCTGTTATTAGTTACCTAGCATATTTGATTATGAGAGGGGGAAGTAGTGATATAATTTTTAGTATTCTAGATTCACCATATTCAACGCACATTGTCTAATTTGCGAAGATCAATAAGTCTTATTATCATTCGATGCAAATTTTTCTTCCTCTTCATTGGCCGAAAGACCACCAGGTGACCTGCAAATATCTGCCTACAAATAATGAACCAAAAACGAGAAGTCCAAAGACTACTGCAAAGCTGATTTTAAACAACGTGTATTGTTTTCTTATAACAATATTTCGGCTGGCCATACCAGCCTTCTTCAGGTTTACAGATGTTACTCAACTTATGTAGCAATCAATTATTGCGAAATTCTCCATCTATATAATATTGTGATTGCTGCATAAGTTTAGTAACATCTGTAAACCTGAAGAAGGCTGGTATGGCCAGCCGAAATATTGTTGTAAGAAAACAATACACGTTGTTATGAATCAGCTTTGCTGTAGTCTTTGGACTGCTAGTGTTTGGTTCTTTACATTTTGGCTGATTAGATCTCTTTTCTAGAGATCCAACGTTTACAACTCGCAGGGTCTTCCTCCACGGTTTTTGCAGTTAATTTAATCCTCTACAAATAATGGTCTGCTCATCCGCAATGTCGTCAACTGGTTTTGGCTTTGAGTTTGGCTTAGGAGTTCGGCTGCAAATAATATCCTGCTCATGCGTAAACGAAACCATGTTTTCTCCTTCTTGCGATCGTTCTTGCGTGAAAAAAAAGGCAGATCGCTTCGCTTCCCGCAGATATTCATTAAATAAAACTTTGGCAAATAATTGATCTGCTCGCCACTGACAAATCACGACATTTTACCCAATCAATTATTTTCCACAGATTAAAGCATTATTTTAAGGAGCACCTACTTTTCCTTATATGGTAAAAAGGTCGCAGGTATCATGCACACCCCCCTCCATACAATAGCGAGGCAAGGCGTTACAAGTACTTCATATAGTATTAGTTATGACGTAACGAAAATGGCTCTCGACCTCCCTGGGATCATAAATGACACCCACCCCCGCCGTGCATTGGACGACGACGACATTTGAAAGAAATAATTGTCTTGGGCACAGAGAACAAGCATACAAGCTAAAAGGTCTATTAATAATTATACACACTCGCCAAAATCAGTCCGGGCCACAACCAGATCTGGATATGTAATTTCCTGCAATGTGATTGGTCCAGACCGTAACCAAAACATTGATTTGACCGCGAAAGGACTAAGTTCGACAGAAATGTCGAAGAAAAGAGCGGTGTGGCTGGGATGTTCCTTAAAGAAAAGTAACAGCATGTAATACCAAACCGATTAATCGAGATGATTTTATGCTTCTTAGCGTTCGATTTACAAATATCAAGATGATAATGATCGAGGAAGGTTTCTGCAAAAACGCCTGGACTTCTGATATCAAGAGACCCGAAGCACCTCGACGACACCGATCGAAAGGGAAAAGTAGGGAATTTGAATACTTGCAATACTGATACATTTTAAGTGGAAAGGTATAAAGAAGTTGCGTTTGGAGTACTTTTTGCGAGCACCGCTTCGGCCTAGAGTACTGTGTTCTATGCTTCTTATGGAGCAATACCATACGCGCTAAAATCTAATTGCGATTGAAGGAGTGCTGCATATTAATTTTCAATATTTCAATTGTCAAACATCTTGGATTAATATGCGAAGGTAAAGAAATAAATAAAATTTCTGTAAATTGCACTCACGAAGGGTTGTAAACAGTCATCAATCAATGTCTGTCTTTTGGTGTTGCAAAACCCTATTGCGGATGAAAATATTAAAATACCATTCACCAGGTTCAGTGATGGACTTTATCGTGTTCTAATAGCAATAAAATTGGCTGGTAGGCCTACACGACTTTTACCTCATGCCAAAATGCTGCTCGTTCCAATTAAGCCCGGGGGGGGACTCCGCATATGAAAGGGGTGGGGATCCTCGTCGTCTCGCTTAGGGGTGTAAATTTCGGATTTTGGTCTCATTAAGGGTGTTCTGGGAAAAACGCTATTATATTTAGCCGTGAAGGTCTCGTTTAGGGTTGCACGTGAAAAAATATTTAAAAAATATATATCATGATATGTATATTTTCATTCGTTTTATTTACTCCATTCATATAATCCAAGTTTTATCATTTGTCTGTGTTTTAACATGGTCTCTTTTAGGGATCAAAAGAGGCTTGGGTCACGCCTAGATCGGTCTCCTTTAGGGGTTTACTTCAAAATTTCGACGAGCATTCCCAAAGATTCTGCTGAAGTGTTGTGTGAGCCGTACTGCACTCTCTTTAATTATATTCTGGACGTTGGAAAAATCCCTAAACAGTGGGAAAAGGGTGAAATAACTCCAGTGTATAAGAAAGACTGCAGCCTGTCCAAGGATAATTACACACCTCTCACCATTCTTCCATCTTTGTCAAAAGTCTTTGAAACGCTCGTTCATTCAAGAGTCAGTCCCCGGTTCAGAAATAATCTCCACAAGATCGTGTTCGCTTATAGAAAGCATCACGGTTGTGATACGGCCCTGCTCAGTCTTACGGAGGAATGGCGAAAGGAGCTGGACGATCGGAAAATAATTGGCCTTGTGTCTATGGACTTTTGGAAGGCCTTCGACTCTCTACCACACGATCTCATTGTGAAGAAGTTCAAAGAATATGGTGCTGACGAGAGAACTGCTAATATCATTGAGGATTATTTCTCTGATCGCCAACAACGAGTGAAAGTAGCTGGAGAATATTCGAGCTGGAATTATATCTCCAGAGGGATTGCCCAAGGATCAATCCTCGGGCCTTTGATATTTAATATTTTCATCAACGATCTCCTGTTCATCGTGAAAAGATGTAAACTCTCTAGCTACGCAGACGACACGCAAATTTTCTTTGCTCATAATGACTATAGAGAAGTTGAGAGTGCTATAAACTCTGATCTCCAGCTTGTTGATAAATGGTATGATGAGAACGGTCTGAAAAGGAACAATTCTAAGTATCAAGCTATTGTGATGGGAAAATCTGACGCCACACTTGATTTCAAGTGTGAAAATTCCAGTATCCCAGTGACTAAACAATTTGAGATGCTTGGCATAACGATAGATAACAAAATGAAGTTTGACAATCATGTTGCTAAAATATGTAGGAAAGTTTCACAGCAAATAGCTGTTCTTAAAAGAATGAAGAAAGGAAGGCGCGACCTATATTTAGCATTTATCCTTCCTCACTTCAATTATTGCAGTGAAACCTGGAATTTTTGTAGTAAAAGTGCTGCAGACAAATTGGAAAGGTTAAATGAGCGCGCGATCAGGTTTGTTTTCAGGGATAAATACACAAGCTACTCGGAACTTCTCAACGCATTAGGCCTCTCATCTTTAAAAGAACAAAGATTAATTAAAATCACACTGTCTATTTTTAATGCCGTCCACAATTCTTTAGCGCCCAAAAGTATACAAGACCTGATAGTTCATAGGAAGAACGTTAGCTACAATTTAAGAGGTGACTATATCCTCTCGCTACCCAAGCCAAAGTCTACCACATATGGCTTGAACTCAGTCCGTTATATTGGTCCGAAACTCTGGAATTCAATTCCGAACCTGTTTAGCCTGAATATAACGAATTTTAAGTCTTTTAAGAGATCCATTAGCCAAGTTGACCTAGTGCAATTTTTATAATTTCGACGCTTTTTTTTATTGAATTTAGTATTTATTTAGATATAAAATATACTTATTAAGATTTTATTGTTATAATTTTAATTATAGAATATTCCATATCTACAATAGTTTTTTAACTCTTAATTTTATTGTGTTTGTGGAATACCTGTAAATTGGCTGGCGTGCTTTCACAGACCCCGATTTCGGTTCCGTCTGTGAAAGCACACCATTATTGTAGCTAAGTGTATTTTCACAATAAACCCTTATTGTATTGTATTGTACTGTACCCTTTTCATATGCAGAGTCCCCCTCCCTCGGGCAATTAAGTTTTTTTCCTCTGCTGGGTAGATTATGATCTGGAAGAAATGATACAAAATTGTAAGAATTAAGTGCAGCTTAAACTGAAGCTGCATCAACTATGGAGAAATGCATTGTGACTCAGTAGACTCCAGCTTGGTGTTTTTCTATAAATGCGAGTCTTCTGACTGGAGCGCATATTCCCTTCCTTGATAATAGCTTTGAATAAGCTTAACAGTCAGTGTTTGAACTGTTTTGTTATTGCCACTTTGTGATCAGGCAAGTTCATGGTTACGGTTCTCCACGAACAAACCGGCGGCATCTTTTTGCCACAAAAACAAGGTGCTTTTGCTTTTCCATCCGACTGCAAGATAACATAAAATAAACATGGCGTTACAATGAAAACCTGCACGTGAACGGCGCAACTGACTGTTGCATCTTCCAAAGCACAGCACTATTTGAATTCGCTATGCACTACACCAAAAAGACCACCATCAAAAAGCAAATTTTATGTAGATTTTTTTCAAAAAATTTTTTTTCAAGGATCAGAAAATTGAAACTCACCTTCTTTTTTTTAGATGTTTTGCGCCTTGTCGGCATTTCTTTGAGCTGAAAAACTCTCGTGTTCGGTCGTTTTACCTCCCAAGAACGCACAACGTTCATCGGACGGCATTTTTTCTTCACACCCCTGATTTCTCATTGTCTAAAGTCACAGCTCTCAAAGTAGTATGGGGAAAAGACACTTCTAGGCGCGGCAAAGAGCCTGGAAGTGACCTTCCCTCATGTTTCTCGGCGTGGGCGCCATTTTGCAAATGTGGGTGACGTCATCATATATCCAGATCTGGTTGTGGCCCGGACTGATAAAGGAAACGTGTTCTGTGCTTCCCTTGGCGTACAAACTTTGTTAATAACGTATAAAGAAACTCGATAGTGCTCTATATATTGACGCAAAATAGAGAGAAAAAATAACGGTTGTGCACGACCACACTACTTCAAGTTCGAAAAATGAACGTTACTAAATAGATCCTTCCCTTTGGGTTTTTGTTTTTGTTTTTGTTTTCTCAAGTTTTGGTTAAGACCAGTTAGCGAATATCCATAGACAATGTACTGCTGGGAGAGAGGTTTAAAGTCAGGAAAGTTTCCAAGTTTTTTTTCAGGACGATACGGTTAAGCGAGCAAAGATATTGCTGCACAAAGTCGTGAAATTATACAGGCCTAGGACGTTTAGATAGTGGGGGGGGGGGCACGAACTTACCCCTCACCCCCACATAAACACACACCACACAAACGTATGTTATATTCGGTGACTTTGCAGAGCGACATCTTTCGTTAGTTTCCAACAAATCACGTTTAAAGTAAATTAGCATCTCTACTAATTTTAAAGCATTCTTTTTTACTTTAGCCGTGTTGACGAATTTTTCACCTACTTGCCTCAGACAAAAAATTTTGTTTATAATTCAAATGCTCTTTATATTGTAAGAGTTTAGAATATTTTTACTCCATATTAATGTTTATAGTTTAAAGCTCTGAAAGCTTGTGGAAGAGTACGAACGCTTGTATTTCGATCTTGGGCTAACCCGGTACAACAAATAGTATTTAAAATAAAGACCATCTGGGTATAAAATTATATTAGTTACCTCAGTTTTTAGTTTTCATCGAATAATCCATTTAAATTTTATTAGGAAGGCTTCACATACATAAGACAATTATCGTTGTAATCGCTGACTAGCAAAAATGGATGTTATCGCGAAATATTTTTCTCGGTTAAGAGAACCGATAGGATATTTTAATCAAGGGACTGTGTATTATATTTTCCATTTTCATAATTAATATAAATTTCGAAATCTTACTGTTACCAGACAGCTGGTCTTGAAAAGTCTGTGAAAAACTACCAGTTCCTGAAAAATTGAAAAATGGTTTTGAATATCGTTAAATTATTGCCTTTCTCCTTAAATTACTGAAAATTCGTCAAGTTTCTTGAACAAGTTAGTCATCGTTGTTTTACGGTAAACCAGCTTTATTTCTGCAAACAGAACTTTCTTTTCTTTATTTATTTCTTTCTCTCTCTCTTTTATTTTGTAAATTCAGTAGTTACCATAAAGGATAAACACAATTTGAATAAATTTCAAGCTTTGTAGCAATCTTTTTCTGGAAAAGTAATTCCAGTTTGGTACGGGTCTTTTAAGTAAAGGTGTTTGGAAAAAAATCAAATATATAGATAAAATATGCCACTATGAAAATGAAGCTTACTTTCAGAAGGAAATTGCAGGAAAATACGCCTTTTATGTTGGAACTCTTTTTGGTAATATTTATCAAGAATGCTTATTGGCGGAAGACAGGTTCAAAAAAGAGGATTTAGTTAATAGTGCGTTTTTTTTTTCGCCAAAGTGTTAAATTGAAACTTTTTTTACAAATATGTTATTTTTCCTATGAAAGCCCGATTCGGGCTTATAAAGGGTGCTGTGCCCTATTTCATCAGCACTTTCCTGTAAAGTGCAAATTATCTGTATTAATTGTTTTTATTCTACTTATTCATTTATCTTTGGATGTAAATTTTTTCATTTAATTTTCCTGTTTAACCTTATTTCTATTGTTATCTTAGTTTGCCTTAATCAGTGTTTGTCATATTTTCTTACCTTAGGTTTGTTTTCATCTTTCCCCCGCCTCGATTAGCCTTTTATGCTATTAGCGGTGGGAAAGTTTATTTTCTGATTTCTTGTACCTGTAACTAATCAACTGAGTTTGTATTTACTCTGTATCTGAACTATGTGGAATAAAATTGTTGTTGTTGTAAGTGCTGTAAACGATGGTTGTAGTTTTGAACTTGGAAACAATCGGGCTATCGTAACTGTTATTCCATTTTTAGGCTTCCGTGCTCTGCTTTCCTGTGGCACAGTTTGTTGTATCTTATCAAGTGGTTTTACCTTTGATTAAGTCGGGATGAAGTCCGTCGTAGTTTTATTGTACTCTTATCAGCAACTTCATTACAATCTATTGCTAATAATTTTAGCCACATTAAGAAATAAAAAAGATAAGTTGATGTACAGTTTAATTGAAACTTTTGTAACTTAGCAGCTGGTCTTGTTTGATTGGATTGTTGGCTTTAGTTTTCTACCCATACCGCTGAGTAACTATGACGTTCATGTATTTCTTTTATCCAGTATCTGAATTTGATTGACATCATTAATTTCCTGGTGATATCACTTATAACAATAACGCATTTATTAGCAAACTGAGTCCTGTCACCTTAACCACGTTTACATTTCGCAATATAAAATTTAAAAAAACGAAACGAAAATAGCTAAGGTTCAAACTCTATCTTGAACAACTTAGACTTGGTTAAAACAGCTTCTGCAAACATAACTCTCTTTTCACTTTTTCTTTCCTATTTTTATCATAAAGGATGAAAAAATTTGAAAAGATTTCAAACATTTGTATTAATTTTTTTCTGTGGAAATGTAACTCCAGTTTCGTACAGTTTATATTAAATAAATATGGGTTTTTGGAAAAGTAACATCAAATTGACTTAAATTTGTCATGAAATGAAGCTTAATTACATCCAAATAGCAGGAAAACTTTCCCTTTTTATCAATGCTAATTGGCGGAAAACAGGTCCAGAAAGGAGGATTTGGTTAAAAAGGCGGGTTTTTGGCCCTCGCCATTGAAGTTTTGTTTTGCAAATAGGTCTCTTTTCATTATCAAAAAAGCCGGAATGAAACGCTCTCCCTGTATGAACGGTATCTTGGCGCCTATGAAAGCTCTACACGTGATTATATGGGTGCTGTGTCCTATTTTAGCAGCACTTTCCTGTAAAGTGCTGTACACGATGGTTGAAGTTTTGAACTTGGAGACAATCCTGGTTATCGTAACTGCTTTTCTATTCTCAAGCTTCCGTGCTCTGCTTTCCTGTGGCTTAGTTTGTTGTATCTTATCAAGTGGTTTTACCTTTAATGAAGTCCGAATAAAGTCTGTCTTAGTTTTATTGTATGCATTCTTATCAGCAACGTCATTACGAACTATTGTTTATTATTTTAGCCACATTAGATTAAGAAGTACAAAAAAGATTATTGAGTTGATGTACAATTTAATTTAAACTTTTGTAACTTACTTAGCAGCAGATCTGGTTTGATTAGATTGTTCGCTTTAATTTTCTACCCACGCCGCCGAGTAACAATGACGTACATGTAGTTTTTTTTTCCAGTATCTGAATTTGATTGACATCATTGTATTTCTGGCGATAGCACCAAGTAACAATGCTCCTGGTTCTGACACCTTCAAATTTTGCAAATTAAAATCAGAAAAAAAAACACGAAATCTAGCCGAGGCTACAAAATCCTATGGCCTTTGATTTTTGTGTCCCAAGATAAAATAGGCACAGATCGTGAATTCTTTTAAGACTAGAAAAAGGGATCAGAATAAAGCATTAAGTGATCATGGAGGATAGGAAAGCGTGAACAGATGGTTTCACTGACCACAGGTACCCCAAGCTCAGGTAGTTGTTGCATAACAGAATAAGGAACTAAGTAGTCGTTATCTAGGGCACAAAAACAGCAATAAAAATACATCAAAACATGTACATTTTACCTCGTTTTCCAGCTTTATTCATGGTGTGTTCTTTTCTAGATCTTAACATACTTGGCCGTTTCAGCGCGATTCTAGCGAGTTTTTTTAAAAACAAAGATACAAGCCCTAAAAATATTTCTGTTACGCAACAACGGTCACTCGTAAACTTGGGGTACCTGTGGTCTTACTAATGAGAGCGCTAACACTACCAAATTTGAGATAAAGGTTACTTTGATAATGAACTATCCTTGTAACTGTCTGTTCAAATTTTTGTTTGCTATCAAACATAAAAGATTTAAACATTATAATAATCGTAATTTTTTTTTAATGGAATTAATTTCCATCTGTTTTATGTAAAATCAGTAGAAGCTTTATAGCTTGAATTAATAACTGAAAGTGCTTGTTTGACAGTAAATCTTAGAAACTGCTTCATCTTGGACCACAATCCGACAGAAACGTCCATCATGTCATCGAACACGAACAAGTCAGTGTTCATTTGTCCGCAGACTCCACAATTCATATTGGACGTTCATGACACCATTTCTCCTTGGATATTTGCTGCTGTTGCATCTATAATCTCACCCGCTGCAGTTCTTTTGAACGCGTTAGTTATCATAGCAGTTATGAAAAGGAGAGAACTGCAGAAACTTTCCAATATCCTGTTGTCAAGTCTGGCCGTTACGGACCTTCTTATTGGTGCCATATCTATACCGTTATCTGCTATAAATGGATTCTTGCTTCCCTATCAAATTCTTGCTGCTCAGCATATTTGCACGCTCGAAATGGCAACAGGCTGGTTCCCAATCACTCTGACATTTTGTTCCCTCTTCCATCTGGTGGTGATTGCATGGGAGAGATACGTGACCATTCAAAAGTGGAGGGACTACAGAGTTATAGTGACTAAAGGCCGCTTGAAAAAGCTGGCTGCAATAGCTTGGATTTCTGGACCAGTATTCGTTGCTAGCCCATCCACTATTTCCATAGCGGTCAGTGGACACATTACCATTGAAGTTCTCGCGGCTTTAATATGTTGTATGCTGGCACTCATCGTATATTTTTACGTCATGGTGTACCTTGGAGTACGCAAACAAAAGTTCAGTCGAATTTCCCAGGTCAGTGTGTTAGTGACAATGAAACTGGAAAACAGAGTTGCGAAGACCACTGCTTTGGTTACAGCTGCGTTGATCCTTTCCTTCGTTCCTGTTGTTTCTCTCACTTTACTGGGAGAGGTTTTTCCTGTACTTCATAGAGTGTCCTCAGTGCGCGTAGGGGAGACACTAATGTTTTCAAATTCTTTAGTTAATCCACTCATTTACTGTTACAGAGACTGCCGTTTTAAGAAAGCTGTGCTCGAGATTTTGAAAATTAAAAAACCTAAACAAAAGAATGCAGTGGACAAAGTGCGATTCACCAAAAGGAAAGATGGACGCGGTCCACCAAAGGATAAGGTGCCGATTACACAAGAAGAAGATAAAAATATCTTGTTGAGAAGATCAACATCCTTGGATTTGAGCCGGTTTTTTGATCGAGCTTATATCGAGCCTAATAAGATGTTGGTTAAGAGAACCGTGTCGGCTCCGTTGATCCATGTTGGTGGCATTTCGGGCGTAGTCTAGACTAATTAACGCTTCCACTACCATCGGCCATCGTGGTCCATGACTTCAAGAGCGCCATTTCTAGGTCCTCGAAACACGGTAAGAAGGGAGAACTTGATCCAGAACTGCTGCCACAAAGACCAAATCCTTCCAAAAAAACAAAAAAAACAAAAAACAAAAAACGGATCCTTAAGAACGATGACGACCTTGGAAAACAGGAGACAAGGGCAAATGTCGACCGAACAGACCATTTTGCACACGCGACTGAGATAATTTCAGTATAAGTAAAATCCTTTACATAATTATTATCAGGAGACGCGAGACTGGTCAGCCTTGGAAACGCTGGCTATAGTCTTCTCAGAGTAAAGTCGAGCTTAGCAGATATCTGCAGAGACTGCACTTTCTTGCTTTATTTTATTTACTGTCAACCTGGAAAATGTTCATGCAACAAAACAACATCAAACTTTATCAGATAATAACAATAATGATGATGATAATGATGATGATGATGATAACAATAATATATAGATTTTGCCAGGGTTAAAAGCGAAGCTCTCGTTAATATCAACAGTTTACTAAACCAAATACAAAATCGTGTAACGCCAAGGGGCGAAGGCAACGAAAACAGCCAAAAAAAAATCAGTAGGTCTAATTAGCAAAAAACATGCACTTTGCACGTGTAGCACAATTTTTTCTAATTAGCAAAAAACAACATTACAGGCTTATTTTGTACATTTATTTGCCGTTGTTTTGCACGACTACAACGTGAAACTTCCGGAAACTTCCTAGTTACACGTTTTATGGAGGAAATGTTGTATGTGGTCCTGTTCAATTTCTTTTCGCTGCCGTTCATTTTCAGCTTGGTGGCAGCTAGCATTTCCCCTTTTTCTCACAGCCGCTATAAAAGTGTTATGTTTTTCTTCCAACGAAATTGGTCTCCTTTGGTTTTATCTTTCGCTATAGCTCTTTGCCTGTTATCCAAGTCAATGTAGACATCGAAATTAAGTCGACAGAAAGAATCGGCTTTTGTTGTTGTTGTTTTTATCTCTAAGGGGTGGACGCACGGACTGACGGACCCCGTACGGACGATCTTCTCAGAACCACAATTTCTTGGATGCATAGATTTACCTAATTTTCTTACCCATGTTGCTCCGCTGCACGCGCTTCGCGCGCTCGAGAGCTCCGCTAATACTGATGAGGATAATGATGATGATGATCAGAATAATAAAAACAACAAACAACAAATTATCGAAAGCCTCGTTTACCAGTTTTCGAGGCGGGCCTAAGGGAAAAAAAAGAATATTCTGAGATATTCAGCCAGTACTTAGTGTTTTATAATTTAGATAATCTGTTATTAGTTACCTAGCATATTTGATTATGAGAGGGGAAAGTAGTGATATAATTTTTAGCATTCTAGATTGACCATATTTAACGCACATTGTCTAATTTGCGAAGACCAATAAGTCTTATTATCATTCGATGCAAATTTTTCTTCCTTTTCATTTGCCGAAAGACCACCATGTGACCTGCAAATATCTGCCTACAAATAATGAACCAAAAACGAGAAGTCCAAACACTACTGCAAAGCTGATTCATAACATCGTGTATTGTTTTCTTATAACAATATTTCGGCCGACCATACTAGCCTTCTTCAGGTTTACAGATGTTACTGAACTTATGTAGCAATCAATTATTGCGACATTCTCCATCTATATAATATTGTGATTGCTACATAAGTTCAGTAACATCTGTAAACCTGAAGAAGGCTGGTATGGCCGGCCGAAATTTTTTTATAAGAAAACAATACACGTTGTTATGAATGAGCTTTGCAGTAGTCTTTGGACTTCTCGTTTTTGGTTCTTTATATTTTGGCTGAGTAGATCTGTTTTCTAGAGATCCAACGTTTACAACTAGCAGGATCTTCGTCCACGGTTTTTGCAGTTAATTTAATCCTCTACAAATAATAGTCTGCTCATGCATGCGCAATGTCGTCCAACTGAGTTTGGCTTAAGAGTTTGGCTTAGGAGTTTGGCTGTAAGTTTGGCGTAAACGAAACCATGTTTTCTCCTTCTTGCGATCGTTCTTGCGTGAAAAAAAAAGGCAGATCAATTCGCTTCCCGCAGATATTCATTAAAACCAAACTTTGGCAAATAATTGATCTGCTCGCCACTGACAAATCACGACATTTTACCCAATTAATTATTTTCCATAGATTCAAGAATTATTTTAAGGAGCACCTACTTTTACTTATATGGTAAAAAGGTCTCAGGTATCATGCACACCCCCCTCTATACAATAGCGAGGCAAGGCGTTCCAAGTACCTCATATAGTATTAGTTATGACGTAATGAAAATAACTCTTGACCTCCCTGTGATCATACATAACACCCCTCCCCCCCCCCCCCCCCCCTGGCGGGGTAATGGGGGCACTCAACAAAGTTTTTATTCAAGGAGGCTCTGTCTAGGCTCGATTTCCATCGCTCCGGGAAGAAAACTCAATAAAACTCAATTAAAATTGGAATTTTGTTTCTCTAATTCAGACCACGTGATGTTCTCCAGGGAATTTGCCTTTTGTCTATTCATAGATTATGCATACATGTGCGGGTGGATTTACGTGCATAGGACGACATTTGAAAGAAATAATTCTCTTGGGTACAGCATACAAGCTAAAAGGTCAGTTGCATAATTTATGCATATTATTGCATACTTTATGTAATAATTATACACACTCGCCATAAAAGTCAAGGAAACGTGTTCTTTGCTTCCTTTGGAGTACAAACTTTGTTAATAACGTATAAATATTTAAAACTCGGCTCGGGAACCACACATGAAAGAAGAAATACACACTAAACTGAGGTTAGCTGATTTTTATTTAAATCATTGGTAGGTTACAGCATCTTACAGAAACAATCGCTTATCCCTACACAACACCGCAAACTGCTTCTTATAAGGCCCCTTCGTAAACGAAAAAATGCATCCGATTATACCCCCGTCCCCCCAGATACAAGCCCCTTTCCAATGTTATCATTATGAAGTATGGAAGCTTAATTATAATAATAACGAGTAGATGCAGAACGAATTTTGATAAGCATTGCTACAGCTTGTTTCGAAGGGCTTTTTATTCTTGTTATAAGCCTCCTCGGATACAAGCCCCTCCGTTTATAAACCTTCCTATTGCCTAAAGCGCGGCGCGCAGTCTACGGTCCGTTACGCAACAGTGACAAGTATTTCGGGCGTAAGCCCGGCACTAGTCCCCCTCGCAGTCGTTTATGTCTTGTCACGCAATGCTCCTCCCGAGGCACCTGAGTGAAAATCGACACTTGTCCTGTTTTAAACACCAGTTCGTCCTCCATTCTTAATGTCAGAGGCGAAATCCCTTACTATAAAATAGTTCGGATACATGCTAGAAAATCAAAAGTATATATTATAGCAGACCGCAAGCAGAATAACAAACAAACTAATAACTATAAACAAGAATTTAATTGCAAATTCTTGTCTTCGTTTCGCCAGTTGAGCCAAGAGAAGGCTTTGTCCTGCATTCACCCAAGGAAAGTCTTCCCGTGGAATTTCACATCCAAGAAACTTACACAAAGGTTCCCAGCCTTGTTTCAGGTTGTACACCAAAAGTCGCTCCTTTGGAATGACGGCCTGAACTCGTTCATTGTGCTCCCGATATTTTTTCCTAAACAAAGGGGCAGACTCTGTTTTTAAGCTACCCATCGCTGCAATATCCACAACATCGGCCAGCGTGTAATACATGGAGTGTCGAGACCATCTCTTGATAAACAGCTTAGTAAAGAATCCGCTCCCGTTTAAATTTCTCAACGTATCGTTTAATTTCGTGTAGCTTTTCAGCCAGACTTCCTCGCTGTCTCGAACAGTCAGAATCACCTTTGCGTCCGGGAAAGATTCTGACATTTCTTGAAACCAAAAGGCTGGTGGAAGGTCGGTTACTGCATCAACATCTTTATACATGGAGGCAAAATCAGGGTTTTTGCCTTTCAAGTAGATAGCAAGCCATTCTTGGCCATGGAACTCGGCATGGTCTTTGTAATCGTAGACTTTAAAACCCAGTATCTCTAAAGCCCTTGCCATGGATGTAGTTCCTGTTCTTGAAAGTCCTGCGCAAATGACTTTCATGCTTGCAGCCCGTTGTCAGTTTTGGATCAGAGAGGGGTGTTTCTGAAACGAACAGCGTCTCCGTTTTGGATCATTAAGTTGTCGGTATCGCAGCCGTTTTTTCACTCATCACGCAACGGAGGAGTGTTGCGTGACGACAGAGACAAAAACAAATGCTATCCTGGGGAGACAAAGGCCTGGTTCAGAGGCCGTACTATGAACTTTTCTTGTGACTTTAGAGCGACACTGGCGCGACATCTCATTCGATTCCGGACGGCGCATCGTGTGTCGAACCTAAGTTAACTTCGACAAAAGTACGACCGAGTCTGTCGAAATTAACGCTTTTGCCGCACAAACTAAAACTGCCGTACCAAATTGATTCAGACACCGTTCGAAATCAGTAAGGTCCAGTTAGTTTCGGCAAATGAGTGTAGCGGCGTCTGAACCGAGCCTAACACTGACTCGTCACCAGTCGTCTTCGCGCAACGCACAGGCGTTTTTGGCTTTACTCTATCTTTTGCTCTATCCTGAAATCTGATTGGTCAACAACAAGACAAAAGGGCTTATGTCGCAAAAATTGTTACTTTTCGCGCAGACTTGTACCCAGTCGCTATTTATGTGTTTTTGCAGGAGCCCATGGGTAATACCCTACTGATTGCACGCAATTTTTAGGTTACAATATTTGTAAATCCATGGTGTCATTTAAACGCACTCCTAATACTCTGAGTAGCGTAGGACATAGGGCGAGCACAAAGATCACCATACTCTTTCGGTGGTCGTTTTGAAGAGGTTACAAACAATGGAGAATTTTATAACCGTCACAAAAGGCGTTTATTTTAGAGGGGGCGTCATTCACGATATGGGTTTTTTGAAAACGTAGATTTTTTTCCTCCGTTTTCAAAACAATACGCGTACAGTGTGTAGCATATTCGAACCGTTTTCACCCGTCCAGACAAAAAACCTAAAACGGTTTCGCAATGCAGACCGGGATGGACTGGACTGCCTCTATGACATCATAGAATCCGAAACCTCCGCTTGCGTCCGTCCCCACGAATAAAGTAAGTCGGCGTTTTCGAAGACCTCCACTCAGGGGACCGTTTTCGTAAACCTTGTGTTGTTCGTTTTTGGAAGCAGCAAACGCGGTTTATATCTGGCCTCGGTTGTTCAAAAGATGGATAGCGCTATCCACCGGATAAATCACTATCCAGCGGATAAGTACTTGGGTAACCGATTACGTTATCCAGTGGATAGAGATTTATCTAACGGATAGCGCTATCCATCTTGGACGAAAGACGAAAAGGGAAGCAACAAATCTCCGTTTTGAAAAATGATCGGATACGTATGGACAGGGCGTACGCCTTAAAGGGGTCATTTGGGTCATTTGACGTTTTTAAATCGAGGCTAGTCACTCTTAGCCTGCGTTGCGGACTTGTCACTAGAGTCCTAGATAAAGAAGTAAAGAACTCGATATAGTCCACGTCTATATCGGGGATTTAGACAGTGTACGACGCATGCTAGTCAATCTTAGGTAAGGTAATTCAGTTTGGACGTGAAATCATAATACAAATTATATGTTCCCGAAAGTGGGAGAAGTCACGTTTCTTTTTATTGTATGTCATCATATATTTAAATATAAACAACTAATTCAGCCGGAACACTTTCTTAAAGGGTCATAGCCACCATGCGAGCAGAAGTTCGTTTTGCTTTCTTGAGTGAGGAAGAGAAGAGAAGACTCGTGTGGCTCTGCCTGAATCACGTCAAACCTGTGAGGTCGCCGCACGCCAAACTGGTCAAACTGGTTTCCTCGAGTGCGAGCATCCTTTTATTGACAAACCGATGCTCGGAACCAAGCCCCCTGTAGCGAGCACACGGCTATTATGCCTGGGTTCGAAACTATATCCTAGGTAGATTCCGCGCGTTCTCAACAAAGATCTTGCTCGATTCATTGTGAGTCTTTCTCGTGTGAGGCACTCTAGGCTGTGTTGACAGGCAGGGTGGCTCATAGCCTGCAAAGAGCAGATCAATGTGATTTTCTTAACTTGCACAGAGCTGAAAGTCAAAGTCTATTTCTCCAGAAGCTGGTTCAAAACCAACACAATATCGAACACGGGGAATGTTTTCATTTATGAGAGCCTCATCTTCAATTCGAGGCGGTGACTGAATGAAATATACGCCTTGTTTAGTATGACGAACCCAGCGCAACTTTGGCTGCAACTTGCCGTTCACTTCTTGATTCTATAAGAACGAAAATGACAAAGAAAATGACACGTTAAAGTTAAAGGAGTAGTGCCCACGAAATTTATCGAAATTCAAACAGTACAAACTTCCACCAAATTGAGTGAAAGACAAAAATAGCCGATCAAACATTAAAAGAAAGTATAAATAACAAGGCAAATACAAAAGAAGGCACAGATGGACAAAGCTGAAGAAGATTTACAAGTAACTTCTTTGCCAGCGCTACGTTCCATAGCGCGTGACAAAATGAACTGAACCTGAGTGTAAGAGTTGGGGGTCAGCAGGCAAAGCGTGCAGAATGGGGTCTTGCAGACAAATCACTTTACCGGGGTAGGTATGGTATTTTACAAATCTAATAGTGTTATTCACAAGACACAAACTTGAAAAACTCTGCAGAGACAAATGAAAAACGGCTCAGCATATAGCCAGATTCTAACATGAGCCGAATTTAGGGTATGTCTGTGAGTGTGTCTGGTGGGGAAAGGGAGTAGGTGTTAAGGTTAGGCTAGTAGATTAGAACAACGTCTTTACTCTTCACCAAACCGCAGGTAGATGCTGGAAGATATAAGGGCAGTGAGCCAGCTAACTATTTTTTAGAGTAGCGCAATTTGAATTTTTTGCCTTAAGAGTAGCATCAACTATCTAAGATATATAAGAATATGTCAAATTTATTTTTTTCTACAACGTGAAGTTAGCTTTCTTCGAAGCACCCCGTGGAAAATTCGGAACTGGCTACCCTCCCCTCGCTTCCCCTCTCCCGATACTAATGTCCTAGATCTGTCCTACTCTACTCGCTTAAACTTGAGTGACTAACTGGCGTGAAAAATGTTACCTTTTGTAATCCTGTTGTGACGGTTATGTCATCGGTGAGATGAAACTCCATCCATATTACAATACCGTGAAGAGTCCCGGAGCTGAAAAAAGGAGCCTTGTTAAGAATGAATGAATGAATGAATAAATAAATAAATAAATAAATAAGTAAATAAAAAATAAAGATTTAGCCGGTAGTAAATCCACTTTGTGGCTCTTAGTCTACTTGATTCCTGGTCGAATTGGAATTTGAAAAATGTTCGTTTTGGAGAAGAGGGGAATCGGAGTACCCGAAGAAAAGAGAAACAAATGTATACTACAATTAAACTATCACAAACTAAAACACCAGGTATTTAAGACATGTCACGGTAGTAAATAAATAAAAGAAGGGGGAATAGAGAAGCCTCACTAATAACCCTCTTGATAAGAGTAGAAGAAACCCATCCGATATGCGACGTTCCACTTTCAACGTTCGGCGCTACGCAGCTTCGCTCTGTTACAAAAATCGCGCCAAAATGACCGTTCCATATAACTGGCTTAACAAACAACAGGGTAGCGGACCAACAATAGAGTAAAGAATAGCGAAGCCCAGTCGTGGCCCAGCCAGGCGTTGCGTGACAGTGAAATAAAAACTGAGAACTGACAAATGGAACATTTCTTCCTCTGACTCGTCCCCAGTCGTCTTCGCCCCGCGCGCCACTAGGAAGAGAGAGTGAGAGACGACTGGAGACGAGTCAGCTTCTCCCCACATGTGCCATTCACAGAGTTACCTTAGTATTTTGATATCCCCCTCCGTCTTAATTTTTTCGGCGGGTACACTTCTCGTGAAGTCAAAAGTCATGATGGTGGAATCTTGAGTTAGCGCCCGGCAGGGGTACTCCCAAACATGATGAGGCTCCAGAGCTATTCCATGACTTTTTTCGTTATTAATACCTTCATTTTTTAGCTTTGAACCCTGTATTGAAACAAAAAAATCCGTTGATTTGAGATTAAATAACAACACATTTTGAGTTTTGAAAATACAGCCCAACGCGGCGGAGGGGAGGGGCGGGGCGGGGCGGACTTCCTATGATGGCCTGTACGGGGAGGCTCCGCCCGAAAGGGGTATCTTTTTCATGCTTCAGGTATATGAAAGGGTAGAGATTTTACTCGTTGAAGTATACAAATGGGTAGGGAAATCTGTCATTTGGGTCTGTGAAAGGGCCCAAAACATGATTACACATGAATTTTATGGCGTTATAAAGTCGAGAAAACGTTCTATTTTTGTGAGTGATTGCATTTACAGCAGTTACAAAGGATGTAAAGTTCTAAACAAGGTGTATGAAAGTGGTACAATTTGTGGATAGAAGGTAAACGAGAGGGGCACCTTTTTCGGGAAAAATGGTCTATAAAAGCGACATAGATTGGACCTCAGGCGGAGCCTCCCTGTATAAACATTTGTTGACCCGGCTGGGAGAGCCAAAGTTGGTCCGGTTAGGAGGGTGACCCTACCATTTAGAAGGCGTGACCCGGCAAAGCGGATCACTCTTCTAGCTGAAACAACGTTTTGTTTCTTATGTAAACGGCTCAGTAAGTTTTGTAAGGAAATGTCAAAAACTCTGGTGGGCGAGTGACCTTCTACCCGGGAAGAATTTTTCTCCATATCAAGCCACAAAAAGGTTCACACGTTGCTGCTCTTCAAAGTTTAAGAAAGGACCTTAAGAGGCACTCTCCCTAAAAGCGGTCCACTCGATTTCGCGACAAAAAATACTTTTGCTTTATTTTTTGTCGGTGAAGAGGCTTTAGTAGGTGTATACTAAAATCGCTATTTTTGTTTTCAAATTCTTATTCTTAGCTCTGCTACAAGCCAAAAACGAATTGAGTCTGTCTCGGCTTCTCAGAGAGTGTTTCGAAGACTAAAATTGATGGATTTTGAAAAGCGCGTTGCAAACAACCGAATGCCCGCAAAAAAAATCTGTTCGATTCAGTTTTTTTAGTTAACCTTCGATAGTTCACAGGCTAAATAAAAATATCTTTGATCAAAACGTGTTCAAGTTACAGTGGTTCAAGGAATACCTATTTTGCAGGCTTGATCGAAACCTTGAAAGTAAGGAAGATTTGAGGCAAAATATCTCAAAAGTTGCGGCCTAAATCTGGTTTAAAAATCATATCAAAGAAAAGTTTTAAGCTTATTTTTTTGGTTTATAGGCTCAGCCTTGCGGGTATCTTCTGGGATTGCAACCAACAGTAGATTATAATCTGTCATTTTGCGTATTTGCATAATTACAGGCCGTGTCAGATGTCATGATTGTACAGGTTAAAAGTTCCATAAAATTGCCTCTTTTGACACTTGAATTCGTCTCCGGCCTCTAAAAGAAAGTAATTAAGCTTCTTTAAGTACTTTTGAATCGAAAGAGATATACTAACAGGGATGGTCATGCATGTTACTGATTAATACGATCAACTGGCGGGCGCTATCGTCTTGTAACTACCTGCACTGAACAGTAAACAATGTTTTTAATAGAATTCTCTAGATCAGAAGTTGATCCAAGCTCTCTAAGTAATAAAACTAAATATCACTATCCCGGGATACAAAACATGCACAAGAAAGGCAACGTAGAATTTTAAGTTCTTTCCGCAATTTCAGAGTGAATTCCACCGCGGTGCATATAAAAGTCCATGAATTATTTTAATAATCATGCTGTTTAAAAACGTTTGACGCACAACAAAAACAATTAGTCATTTACCGTTTTATCTGTTCTCGGTAAATAAGACGCTTACCTTTACTTTAGATTCTTGATGGAAGAAGTCTATCCAGGCAGCTGAAGTTAGGCAGTTTCGTTTCAAAATCAAATCATAGCGTGATAGTGTCACGTAATGTTATGGTCACGTGGCTACGTAACCCGTCGGTGGCCAAAATCTTTGTGATAAACGAAATTTCTGTTTCTCTCCAGAAAAAAAAAAGTCCTAATTGAATGAGTTTTTCCTCCTTAAATTGCACAAAATGCGTATCACACCAAGAAATTTGTATTGGTAATGAATCATTTTCTACGGCATGGTACCACTGGCCTTATTAATCCTCGCCCAGGCGTTTTTTTTTTTTATCGCGCGACCCGATGAGGATAGCAGGCAACCTCTCCCTTGGAATCACTTTTTGACTCCCCCCAACTCCCGGTCAATCGAAAGTTCAAATCGATCACACAGCAAAATACGCCTTGCAGGCTATATCAATCCCTTCCTTTAAAACGTTTTCAAGAATCACGTTAGTATGCCAACGAGGTGTAAGGTTGGCTTTAGGTGCATTTCTTGAACCTTCTTTTATCCGTTCATTTCAAACCAGTTTCTTGTATTGACTATTTTGGCCTCTTATATGGTACAATTCTAACATTCACGTACAGTATAAAGATTAGAGAGGTGACCTACCAACCCTTTTGCCCCAACCTGCCTGGTCGCTAATTGTAATTGTTGCACATGTGAATTCATTTCTCGGGCTTGGCAAAGCATAATTTTTAGAGCAAAATTTGATTCCTGTTTTTTAAGTTTGTTGCTTGAAGAAGTGAAATCGCATGTGCAACAATTGAGATTAGGAACCTGGTGGGGTGGCCTGTGCTACCTGGTCTCTAATCCCTTATGCTGTCAACTTAGAATGTCCCATATAAGAGGCCAAAATAGTTAGTAGGACAAAAACGTTTCCAAAGAACGGATGTAATAGTCTTTAAAAATGCACCTACAGGGAGTCTTGTAGATTCCATGTAGAGTATTTTAATGTGACGTCTCGTTGACATCCGGGTTACGTGATTTTGACGTTCTAAAGGAGATAGGTCTGGCCGGGGGTTTTGGGTTTTCAGGTATCTGGGCTCAATTTTTTTCAGGTTTACGGAATTTTAGTGCGAAATAAAATAAATAGATAAATGATCTCTAATCCGGTTGACAAGGTCCAGACTCAAAACAGTTCGTTCGCACAAGGTTCGAGGCAGGGGGGGGTTGCCCAGGAAATTGGTGCAATGGACCTTGCGGCTATCTGCGTCGCTGTCTTACGTTACGTCCTAGAGTACAATGTTGCGTGGCTTGATGTAACGCCCTTCCTGCCCATCTGCCTAGTACAATAGAGCGGGTCCAAATGCGAGCTTTAAGGATAATATACCTTCGGAAGCTTTACAGTTTCCTAGAGTCGTTAGAGTTGAGGACAGGCGCAGTGGGCTCTGTATGAGCATTATAAACAAAGGCAGGACCTTGTCAGAACACATAGCCTGCGTAGCACGCCCTTGAAGGTAGTGGGTGCAAAAAAGAACGGGCGCGCAAGAGAGACACGCGGAAACACCCGTTCTTTCTTGCGTCCACTACTTTCAAGGGCCTGCTACGCAGGCTAAGAACACTATAGAAATGGCGTCTCTGGGGGAGCATGCCGCCTTACCCCGCCCGTAGCGGCTCGCTCCTTGTCTTTGGACGCTGATACTAGATTCTGAGATAAATAAAAAAGCCGGGTTGGACGGTCTGTCTCAGTCCTGAAATACCTTATTTAGGTAAATAGTATTCTTTTTCAAGGTAATTTCAGGCATTCGGTATCAAACGTTTTACAAATCTTTAGCTATATTGGTATCTTATGAGGACAAAAGCGGGTATATTGGTATCCCACCGTCCCCCACCCTCACCCCTCCTATGCGGGCCGGGCCTAAAAAAAAATGGAAGGGCGGAGTCCATGCCGTGAAAATAATGATTCATTACCAATACAAATTTCTTGGTGTAATATGCATTTTGTGCAACTTAAAGACTCATTCAATTAGGGCTTTTTTTTTTCGGGAGAGAAGCAGAAATTTCGTTTATCACAAAAATTTTGGAGCACGACGGGTTACGTAGCCACGTGACCATAACATTACGTGACACTATCACGCTATGATTTGATTTTGAAACGAAACTGCCTAACTTCAGCTGCCTGGATAGACTTCTTCCATCAAGAATCTAAAGTAAAGGTAAGCGTCTTATTTACCGAGAACAGATAAAACGGTAAATGACTAATTGTTTTTGTTGTGCGTCAAACGTTTTTAAACAGCCTGATTATTACAATAATTTATGAACTTTTATATGCACCGCGGTGAAATTCACTCTGAAATTGCGGAAAGAACTTAAAATTCTACGTTGCCTTTCTTGTACATGTTTTGTATCCCGGGGTAGTGATATTTAGTTTCATTCCTTAGAGAGCTTGGATCAACTTCTGATCTAGAGAATTCTATTAAAAACATTGTTTACTGTTCAGTGCAGGTAGTTACAAGACGATGGCGCCCGCCAGTTGATCGTGGTAATCAGTAACATGCATGACCATCCCTGTTAGTATATCTCATTCGATTCAAAAGTACTTAAAGAAGCTTAATTACTTTCTTTTAGAGGCCGGAGATGAATTCAAGTGTCAAAAGAGGCAATTTTATGGAACTTTTAACCTGTCCAATCATGACATCTGACACGGCCTGTAATTATGCAAATACGCAAAATGGCAGATTATAACCTACTGTTGGTTGCAATCCCAGAAGATACCCGCAAGTCCGAGCCTATAAACCAAAAAAATAAGCTTAAAACTTTACTTTGATATGATTTTTGAACCAGATTTAGGCCGCAACTTTTGAGATATTTTGCCTCAAATCTTCCTTACTTTCAAGGTTTCGATCAAGCCTGCAAAATAGGTATTCTTTGAACCACTGTAACTTGAACACGTTTTGATCAAAGATATTTTTATTTAGCCTGTGAACTATCGAAGGTTAACTAAAAAAACTGAATTGAACAGATTTTTTTTGCGGGCATTCGGTTGTTTGCAACGCGCTTTTCAAAATCCATCTATTTTAGTCTTCGAAACACTCTCTGAGAAGCCGAGACGGACTCAATTCGTTTTTGGCTTGTAGCAGAGCTAAGAATAAGCATTTGAAAACAAAAATAGCGATTTTAGTATACACCTACTAAAGCCTCTTCACCGACAAAAAATAAAGCAAAAGTATTTTTTGTCGCGAAATCGAGTGGACCGCTTTTAGGGAGACTGCCTCTTAATGTCTGGAGGAAGTTTTTTGCCGTGTCTTTAATTGCTATAACAGAAATGTATAGAACGCAAAGAGGAGACCATTAATTAAACGATATCAGCCATGAAACGTACCAACTGCGTCATATAAATCGTGAACTACACCCATGCAGAGTAGCAAAAAATTGTTTTAATCCATTCACTACCTCAATAAGTTTGTCAAACAAAGACACATCAAATCCTTCCACTGTATTCACTGGAGCATGGAACTTCCAAAGATCTTCAAAGTCCACTGAAAATTGACCAGACCATAATAACAGTCATAATCAATTTTCATAATTATAATAATTATTAAATTTTAAATAATTTATTTATTATAATTATCACATATTGCATAATATATCGCAATTATTATCATTGCTTTTATCATTACCACAATAACTATCATAACGAGTATCACTATTACATGTATATGCAATTCATTAAATACCTGCTAATGCCTTTAGCGTTGCTCCGCGAGGCAGTATCTTCACCCCTGGTCTGGTTATTTGAGCAACACTCGATGCGGCATACCAGAAGTATAAGTTATGCCATGGAAACAATGCGCTAGTAAAGAATGGTTCACCCAAAATGACATCAACCTACAAACATGACACGATGTTATGAGGACTTCACGCTATTTGCTATCATTTTGAAAAGCAAGAATATATCTTCTGATCAATTGAATTCTAAAAATAACGGTCCAGTTTTGTTAAGACTATATTCAGGCATTGAAACTGTATGGTTCAAGGGTTCAAGGTACTGAGTAATGGCTTCAGCCTAAAATTGACCTAAAACAGGAATATCCTTGGCGTGACTTAGCCCCTGTGACACAGTGTGGATAGGACATGTGACAGGTGTCTTTTAAGGTCTAAAATGAATGGCTACCTAGACTTAGAAAAAGCACCAGACAAAACCAACAGAAACATTGTTCCAGTCCCAACAACAGCAGCTACAGTTAAAGTCTAAGGCCGGCTTTTGCAACGGAGACTAACTCAGGTTCACCGCAGTTTAAGAAATCATTGCACCTCCAAATCTCTTTCTAAGAGGGTTGTTAAAAGAAGATAAGTACCTTTCTAGTCTAGTACGCTATATGCTTTAAAGAAACTGTTCATGATAAAGGGATAAATGCATTGAGCAAAATGGAATCAAAACCTATCGAACACTATCAGGGTTCTCATTAATTTTTCAAGTAGACAGCTAGGATGTTAAAGTAGGCGGCTTGGTAACGGAGTGCTGTAGGCAATTTCAGGCTTTCACTCTCTAACTTTACTCTATTTGCCCAAAAAGTAGACGGCTCAAACCTCCAAGTAGCCGGTTTTTTAGCCGGCTGCCGGCACTTAATGAGAATCCTGACTATGCGTGAAATATGGAACTCATGTGGAGCAAAATGGGGAAGACATCTCTCTACCTGATCAGTGGATAAGTCTTTAGCTTGGAGGTTTGCTGCTTCTTTGTCCAGAACTTCAATTGTTTCACCTAGTCCATTCAAATTTATTAACTGTAAGAAAATAAACAGTTTAAAAAAACAAATCGACCAAGAGGCTGATGGAAGTTGAGCTAAAACAAATATCCATTGATATGGAAGAAATAATCACAGAGAGTGACTATCAACTGGGCATGCTGAATACGAACAACTGATAAATGTTAAACGTCTTAGTAAGGTGGAAGATAGAGAGTACAGAGTTAAGACCCCCCCCCCCCCCACCCCCAATTTGTTTTTTGGCACTGTACACCGAAACAATCGTTGGTTAGACGTATATATTCCCTAGTTAATGCGAGTAAGCTTTGTGTTGTGATGTGGATTAACTGCTGAATGTCCTTTTAACTCTTTTATTACGTTATTTGATGATCAAACCTCCTGTACAACGAGAAAGTGCCAATGGAGGGTGGAAGGGGCGAGGGGGTGGTCAGACAAAACTTCTGACGAATCAGGAGGGTGTGAGAGCTAAACTGTTAGGTGGGGTATTACCCAATATTTCTTCATATGACGCTCATTGTGCAGCGTCCCCTTCCCAAAATAATTGCACAGACCCTACAGGCTAGCAATAAATGGCGTATACAATACACACCTTCCTAAGAAACTTCTGATAAAGCACAGAGGACTCCACTGCGATAACCTGAAAAGATAATATAATGATCGAGTTTGTATTCTAAGACGCCGTTGCAAATCCATAACAGTTCAAGAAAAAGGCACGAAATACCGTAAACCGCCAGGTGCGCCAAAACCTCTGTCCGATTGTCCGGGACAGGTAGAAATTTAGTTCGAACATGTAAACCTTTGACATGACTTGTCCGTGGGACAAGCAGATTTTTAATTAGAAAAAGTTCGGGAACAGTTGAAAATTGACTTCAAATTACTGTAGAATCAAAATTTACCTTACAGTCATAAAAGCAAACCTCATACTTGACAAAATAAGGTTAAGTATTCCTTTTAACTTTGCAATACCGCCACCATTTCATTTGTTTTTACGAGCTCCATTTGGCTTAGGAACCTGGCAAAACGTTTTGGATAAGAACTCTTGGGTACTGGACAAGTAAATTTAATATAGTGCTTGTCCGAGGGACAAGTGGATAAGAAAATTTTTCTCTTACTCTGAACCAGAGTAGAAAACGCTTCCAAACAAGCTATCACAGTGCTGGTCAAAATACGCTTTGCTTTTACTGTTACCCATTTCTGTAAATACGGGCCTGAATAGTCATCTTTCTTTTTACCAGGTGAACGTTTAAACATGTTGCGCAAAGTGAACGCGTTCCTTTTGAGGGCGAGGTCGTCTTCGTTGAAATTGGAACATAAAGATGACTGCAATTGCGTTGGGCCTGTTCTTTGCATGAAACCTACCTTATCAAAGCCAGCTTTTGCAGCCAACAGCGGGAGTAATGACCCGTCACTTATGCTTAGGCATCGTGAGTTTCCTTCTGCAACAAGCTTCAACCAAACAAAACAAAAAAGATCAGTTTCGGAATTTTCTTTTTTCCTTCGAAAAAGTTGTAACATAGCCTCCCACGCAGGCGTTTTTAGGGGAGCTCGTTTTTCATCCCTCCCCACAAACGCCTGCTCAACCGAAGACAACATTCCTTTCCCATTGTTTTATTTGCGTGGTAAGTGACCAATCAACAATTGTGCAATAAAGTGTTGACAGGCTAAACACGACTGAACGTGACCCTAGAGTTACCGTTTTCCTTCTTTTCTTTCCTTTGCTAAGGTTATGCAGTGCACGGAGTATTCTAAAATTTGACTAAATCTTATTTTTGCCGCTCTAAATCTAACATTTATTAGAGGTCAGAAAGATTTCCCAGTGTTTCATGCAGATCGAGTAATTATCAGATTACCTTGCGGTCAAGGTCAACTTTCCAGAATTTGGAAAGTACAATGTGATTGGCTAAGCTTGAAAAAGGAATGTTGTTCTTGGTTGAGCAGGCGTTTGTGGGGAGGGATGAAAAACGAGCTCCCCTAAAAACGCCTGCGTGGGAGGCTAGTTATAACACGGCCTTCAGCGTTTTGCTATTTACTGCCGGAAGTCTTTTTCACCATAAAATGTTCCTGATAAAAGATGTTGTCAACTAATATTGTCGCGCAGTATGGAAAAATGGGGGTAGTATGGATTGCCCGCAGCAAGAGACTTCACCTTTGTGCATGTCATCATCATCGTCCTTCGACCACCTGAGTGGACGGGACATTGATGGAGCTTTCGTCCTAAACACCACGGTTCGCCATCGCTGTACTCAGGCCCTTGGAGTCAAGTCCTGAAACCCTAGTAATCACTTCCAAGTATGTTAGCTTACGTGACTGCACTCTATCCACTGGGCGTCAGAGGATGAGAGATGAGATTATCTCTTTACCTGCCCGATAGCAATGACCAGCAAACTGGAGACGCTTTTGTTTGAGTCTCAAAGATAGAGATTTTAGTCCCCCCAGTTCGTGTAATGTTATGCCTCTTACTGCTCGCAGCTTTTCGGGAAATTACGCCACGTTCGGAGAGAAACTAGGTGGTTGCCACGCTTGACTGTTACACAGCCGTTTTTAGTGTCGTCACACAACGCTCCTCCCCACAGTGAAACGGCTGTGTAACAGACTACTGCCACGCAGGCTCTGGTATGTGTAAATTTACCTGTTTCAGTGCTTGCCTGAATGCTCGACTTCTTTGCCTGTCATTCAACATGGCAAATCTATGTCGACTCCAAGTGACATGGGCACCGCACGTGCACAAAGGACGATCAACCGTTGCTGCAATTCTAAAGGGATTAAAAAAATATTGAACAAAGACAATATATAACTTCATATGTATAGCCATGCAAGCCTCTTTTAAAGTTTTCGAAAAATATTAGATGTTGAAACCCACACCACAAACAGTTTACTACATTCGGCAAGTCTAAAAGGTCGTTTCGCCCGAAGGTCGACTCGCGCGATAGCTGTTCGCCCAGAGTAAGTCGATTCCCCCGAAGTGTATTTGTTGTTCTCTAAGGCTGAAACAAGGAATATGCATGGAAAGAGAGTGACTGCACATGTGGAATCCAAGGTTAACTAAAACAACACCTCAGAGAAGTATGTTCACCATGTTGTAGAGTGTTGTACGTCATCGGGCGAAAAGACTTAATTCCTGGCGAAAGCCGTCAGATCAGGCGAAACGACCGCAATTCGCTTGAAGACGTACGCTACGAATATTCAAAATGAAACAATTAACGTTTTTCATCGAACTAATTTATTCTTGTTTTTTACCATGTTACAATGTTCCCAACAAAAACTTAGCTCCACAGTTCGATACACTGTCATCCTCGGACACCCAGGGGCAGTCAGTCGGGTTGGGGGAAAGGGTTCGACGAAAGTTTTTAAGTAAGGGCGAAAGAGCCCCTAGGTACCGACTCTCACCGAGTTATTTCCAAAAATTCAAGCGGATGCCGGCTCCTGATTGGGCCCAAAAAAAGCTTTGTATTATTGTGCCCAATCGGCGAACAGTTTCTCCTCAGTTCTTCGCGTGAGTTCGTACTTGACGGCTATTGTCTTGCCACACTTGCCCGGTTCGTTCACAAAGCTTATGCGAGCAAAGGAGACTTTTATTTTCTACTTTCCTAAGCAGAAACGAAGGAACTACCGATGAGTCGAAAAAACGTTTGGGATGGTATCAGCAGGAGCAATTCCATTTGCCCCGAGAATATTCTGTTTTTGACTCATCACAATGTATCGTAAATAATAGGAAGTTAACAATGCGGAGGCGACGAGAAAGTCAAAGAAGCAATAGCTTGACAAGGCAAAACAACAACTTTGCGCGTGCATCACACTTCTTTGTACATTTCTTTGCCGTCAACTGCACGACTACCCACGAAAATACCTAATTTCATGTTTTGTGAAGGACGTAAACAAGCAATCACAAAATTCATTTTCTTCATGAACTTGGATATGGCTGATAAAAATTCAGCTCCAGAAGAGTTCACATGCATTTGACAAAGTAAGCGAGTTGGAATAATCACGATAGAAACTGAAAAAATGAGAATTCCCTTTTCCATGCGACGTTTTCGTGGTTGTCAGCCGTCTTTAAAAATCCCCTAATTGATTACGGAAGACGTGACCGATGCAAGCGTGAATACCTGTTGTATGCTCAAGCTTGTATTTTTGGAAAAGCGTCCTTAGTTTTCAGGCAGACAGTATTTTGAAATCAGATGGGGATTTTATATAAACCTGAAAGTTTCCTGACTGCGTGCATTTCTTTGGTACATGAGCCAGCCAAGCCGTGATCGAAATAATAGCCGTCGCGTACGAACTCACGAAAAAATCACAGGAGAAACTGTTCGCCGATTGGGCACAATAATACAAAGCATTTTTTGTGCCCAGTCAGGAGCCGGCATCCGCTTGAATTTTTGGAAATAGCTCGGTGAGAGTCGGTACCCAGGGGCTCTTTCGCCCGTACTTGAAAACTTTCGTCGCGCCCTTTCTCCCGACCCGACTGACTGCCCCTGGGTCTCCGAGGATGATACACTGTATGAACCTCACAGAACGAGAAATCCGTTGACTCCCTCTGAGAAAGGGCAGATGGTTTTGAATCCTTTTACGTTGGCAAATCAACATTATGATCAACAGTTACACAGTTTATAGAGCAAAATACTTTTCATTTAGTGTACTTTACCGATTCTGTGGTGTGACGTCGAACCATATGCTGTAGTCATCATGGCAACACTGAATATTTACTTTATCGCCTGTCAGTAAGATACAAAAAAATGTCCAAAAGTTAAGAGTAGTTGTGAAAAATTCTCTCGCTATTTTTGAAAATATATTGAACAAATTTGGCGCTTTGAATTTTTTTAAATTAAAATTAGGGATTCTACCTGTCAACATGGTTAATTCTAACGGAACAGATCACAAAAAAATGGGCGTTGCGCCTTTGTAAATATTTAGACTTTAACGATCATTTTAAAACTAATAATTTGATGAATGTGAAAATCATATTTTTTGTAACTTGTAGGCAATTGCAGAAAGATAAGCTAGTTTTTTTTGGACCTAACTGCTAAGATAACTCACTTTGCCAGAACTGTGAGACTAACTGAACAGCTCATTTTGTACCCCGTTAAAGTGTTGTAACAAAGTTACCTGCTTGTATAAGCAAGGGTCGTTTTAAGAAATAAACTGCTTGCATCCAATGGTCCCGCCACTGTGTAAAGAAATAAATATTGAAAGTTGACATTAATACGAAGCTCATAGAATCAAGTGCTGTTTTCAGTGATAATTTGACCTGGCTTCATTGGTTTATTTCTTTCATTTCATTTATTTCTCCAATCTAGTATGATATACAAGCCACAGATTGTAGCAATAGAATGACTATTTATGGGTTGCGTTTTTTTAACGTTTTTTCACGTCAACACGAGTGCACATTTTCACCGATATCTGAGCCTGCGAGATGGTGGCGTCATAACCGCGATAAAACGTCTAAGGCGATGAAAGTTTAAGGTATTTCCAATAACCTTTAGCTTACTTTAACTTTTTAAAGGTTTCTAAAAAAGTTCTGGTGTTATTGTCGCCACCATTTTTCAGCATGAATCTACTCCCGCGCGAAGCATTTTCAACGAGAAAAAAGAAGCTCAAAATCTTTGCCCATGTTTGCACTTACTGATGAATGAAATCCCAAAAGTCAAAACATTTGAGATATTTGACCAATCAGTGCATGATACCATTGTCAGCATCAAAGGCATGCCCCAAGCTCTGCCGCCCTTTTGCCCTTTCCATCGCTGATTTTTTGGCATCGAATGACATGTATTGCCCTTTTTCCCCACCAAGAGCATGGTCGGTCCCTGGTCCCAGCCCTGTGAAAGTACCGCTGAAGAGGTTTCATTTGAATGGTAAAACCATACGTTTTCATCCACAAACTCAAATGTCAGAACAAGTTTGCACAGCATAATGAAGTAAATAATCACAGGTACATGTGAAAGTACTGCTGAAGATTTTTCATTTGCATGGTGACTTCATAAGACTTCATCCATCAACTAAAAGGTTTAGAGCTTAAATACCACATAATTTTTGAAAAATGGCTCAGCTAGTGCAGAAAATTAATGAAACAATTCTAACAGAGTTCTGACTGACAAAATTCAAACCTGTCTGTTGTCGCCATCAGGATGTGCCCAGCGCGGTGCTGTCGTAAGGGTAATCTCGCCATCAACATCCATATCTAATGTCCACCACATTACCACACCATGAGCAATACCAGAGTGTTCAACAGACGCCTGAACACTATAACAGGACTCTGTTTTATCACTGTCCGATTTGTCTTTGGTGTCTGGTATAGAAACCTTGTTGATACAATCTGACTTTGTAGACGCGCTGTTGTTACAGAAGTCAAACCTGAGATTAGGAAAGGATAGAGTGCACATTGAAACATGGTATTTCAACTGAAAGTGAATCTTCTAACAGGAAATTAACGCTCCATGAAATTTTGAGGTATTGGAAATTAATGCGACTTAATGGAAAACGACTTTCGCGACGTTTACAAAGAAACAAAACTTGTTGAGACAACAGGACCAAAGTTAATCGTATAACTCCAAATGGAAACTTTGATCGTGGTACTTTCCCTAAACGCAGAAGCAAGGGATCACGCGAAGAAATCTCCCCACTTCGAGGGATCTTCACAGTTTTACTGATACTGGCGGATCTCCACCTGGAATTAAAACGTTCCTCTTTCTTGTCAAGAATATCAAAAGTGTTTCGAGAATTTGGGGCCAAATTATGGAAATTAAGCTCACGGAAAATAACGCTCCACTTAATTTATGGCGCGGAAATTAAGTTTTATCTAAATTAACGCGAATTTTGGAAATTTACGTTAATTTCATGAGGCGTAGCCTGGTTACAGCCGACCCACGTATCGCGTAAACCATAACTTAATATAAACAGAAGGTTTAGAGTGTCTGCGCACGCGACGAAGGCTAATAAAGCGCTAATTTCCTACAACAAGGTACGTAGCTATAAATATGAGAATACTAAGTAAAAGAAATTTTATGAGAGATTGATCAGGGTGGCAAAGGGGAGGGGGTCCTATCACGCATCAAGCTGATATGCTGATTTTATTTAAGCTATCACGCATCACAGACAAATAAAACAAAATATTAACTACATTTACAAGTATCCTATTATCATTTGATCTGAGGAAATCTGAGGTCTGAGGAACGCGAAAAGAGGGCAAGAACTTGGTGTCATACCTACCTATTTTTAATGTCTCTGCTTCTAGTTTCAAATGATATCAACCATCACAGAAATTTCAAAAGAAAATCACGCGACAGGCGTTCTGAAAATAGTAAATCACACATCACACGCATCACGCTACTATGCACAGTCACGCCTCACGCGGCTAATTTGGGCCCGATCACGCATCACGCTGATAATTTGGGTCCCATAACGCGTTACGGAAAACCCCTTTTACCCTGATTGATATTTCCAGTGATGGGGGAGGGGGTGGGGGGTGATGGTCTCAGACTGCTAAGAAAGATAGTTCGATGTGACTATCAGTATTAACTGTTGCTTCAAAACTCTTGTTGCCACTCCTGTCCCTTTTTGCCGTTCTCGTTGCCGTCACCATCGTCATTGCTTAAGCTCATTATTGTTGTGATCCAAACATTTTGCTACCATGGTAACGTGACGTCACACGTCTCTTTTCTATTGTACATGTTTTTGACTGAAATGACACCTCTTAGAAAATAATCATTTAGATAATTATAATGTGCTGTGCTACTATGTGCTGTAGCTCAGGTGAGAGGATAAGTATAAATTATTATGCTAATAGGAAAAACTACATTCAAAGATACAAAGTACAAAAATTCATTTTTAACCTTAAAACTGGAACAGGGGCTGACAGAATGTTGATTTCCTTATCAGAGAGTTCATCAACATGCAGATCAAAAGCACTTGCTGTTCCACGACACTGTTCCATTTCAGTTGGCAAAATGAGATCTTGATTCTCAGATATCTGGGGGAAAAAAACATCAAACATATTGTTTTTGTGCAAATAACACCACATGTGGCTTAAACTGATCTACATAAAATTGTACATCTCTCTGTAGCTATGAGGCAAATGTTACAGCTTAAACATGCCAACTGGAAGGTTAGAACAATATTCATAATAAGAATTCCTACTATTGTAGTATATAGAGGTGATTTTCCATGGCCAAAAACTTCTGTAATCATTCTTCACAATGAAAACAACATCCTGTACAAAAGAGTATCAGTGGTCATCAGCTGGCAAGTGATCGGGTGAGACAACACCTAGACAATTGAAAGGAGTGTGGTGGATTTTCAAACCCAAATTAAAACTTCTTGAAATTAAAACTGTTATCATGAACATAACAAACTTTAAGTTTAATTTAAATTAAAAATAGTAAATCATTTTCATTGTCAGAACAACCACTTACTGCCTTCACAAAACTAAGTTATGGGAAGCAAGATTTTGCAAAGGCAGAGGGTCATAAGACAAAGAATGGAGAGGGGGATACGCATCCCCAAAAGGGAGGTGGGAGGGTAAAAATTTGTACCCTGGCTAAGAAGGGCAAAAGAGAGAGAAATCACGCGATAGATGGCTTAAATAGCAAAAGGACTCCCCCGAGACTTCCACACCGTTGCAATACAATTCCCTTCCACCTACTGGGGTCAAACAAAAGGTATATTTATAAAGTAAAGGTAGTTACATGTTTAGGGTTCAGCTGATGCATATTCCAAAGAGCTTCACTACCAAAGACTTGAACATAAACTGAAGCTGCTGCAGGAACACTCACAAATCCTGGCTGCAAAAAAGTAAAATAATATCAAGTTCCATCAAGACAATTTCAGATTGAAATGACGTTGCCTTCTGCCATTATGAATGATTATGCCTTATTGAGGTTCTTGAAAGAGAAGGGGGGAATGTGGAGTAGGGGGGTTTAAATCCCATTTTTTACGTACTACATTGTAACACACAATTTGCCTGACTTCTTTTTCTATTGACAAAAACAAAACCAATAACTTAAGTGACTTAATTTTCCAAGCCTGATGGTGAATGTTTTTTAGATCTCAGTGTCTCAGTTACAGTTCACTTCAAATCCCATTTTTTCCCATTCAAAATTGTGCAATTCCCATTCCCATTCCCAAACTCCTTCAGGGCCTCCCTTTTAACATTGCCAATGCCTCGCATGCTCATGCATGCAGTAAGTAACACAACAAGTGTTTCAACATTTTGTCACTTTTCCTTTACAACAACTGAAGGTGAGTGCATAGGGTCTGGTTCCTGTAGTAAGGTCAAGTGGAACTTAGCCACATCTAAAACTTTTACAGGTGATGTACATGAAAATACTAATTTTAACCTTACAATAGATCTTTTTTGATATCCAGTGTTTCACTTTGGGTGTGTTCCTTTCGTCATAAAAGTGAATTTTGATCCACTCTGTACTTCTGTAAGACTTTGTATAATATCCCATGCCACACCCATGTTCTTTGGACCATGGATCAATTTGTGATTATGTGTGGATGCAGGTGGGGGAGGGGGGAGGAGGGTGAGGGACAGATCTATTCTCCAGAGGTGGCAATTCTGCTTTAGAGGTGGGGACATCCAATTTTCCAACAAGCATTAATTTTTTGTTCCTTTCACATCTAAAAGAAGTCCCAGGCCTTGTTGAGCCTTTTGGTATGTTATGACCCCTCTATAAAGGGCCTGATTATATGAAGCAAGCAATACAATGTAAATAGTTAATAAGGAAATACATGCTTTACCAACCTCAAGCAGACGATTGCAAGCATCCCTGAGGGTTGGCAATGCTCCTTCACCAATGAGTTCTGTGTCCCATAATTCTGTCACCAGTAAATTAGCTTTAACTGGGCTACCTACATCTGTTATTTTTTAAATAAAGCAAAGTAAATCAAGCTGTAGAACTGGTGTGAGGTCAAACATAAAGCAGGCTCAGCTTATTACATGTAAATCATTACTTTGAAACACAGTATATACCATATACATGTAAGTGAGCTCAAATTCTAAAAATGACAATATGGTATTCACAGTGTTTAATGTGTCCCTGTATAGTGCATTCATCCTAAATTTTAACTACAATTTGGAAAAAGAAAGTAAAAATAACCACACAAGACTCTGCCTGCTCATCCTCTTCTTAATTCTCACTATTTACTGGTTACAACCACACCTAATATTCTATACACTACTACTGTAGGTTCTACCTTTCTCCAAATCTAACTTAGTTGATCGTTTTCCAACAACAGAGATCTTGTCACCAAATCCATTCTTTTTCACAATATCACTGGCAACACTGGCGATTGGTTTAAATGCCTGTGTCGAGAACAATGAAATTTTCTTGTGAGAATTATTCAAACAACATGCGTCAATCAAGTAATATAAAAAACCGGTCGCTTAAGCCTGCAATGATAAAAAATAATAATATTAATAATCTACTTGCATTGTAACAAAGGCCAATAAAATATATTCATTATGCCCTCAGAAACAGCACAAAAAGAAAACACAAAGTACAAAGTACAGCCATCAAGAAACATGGAATGAGAAATTCAACTTTTTTAAACTCTCTTCTAACCTCTATAGTGTTGTTGTCAGTATGTTAGTGAACTGGAACTTTATCTTTAAACTACATTTAAGAAAAAGAAGATGATGTTAATTTATGCCTAACCTCACACGCAGTGGCTCTATCTGCTCCACTCTGCACAGCCATCATAGCCAGAAGTCCAGTCCCTGTTCCAATATCCAGCATATGTACTTTCTTTCTAGATACTTTAAGATTTTTCACAGCCTGTATAGTGGCCTGATAGTACTTTTTGTTCTATAAAACAAAAATTGAAAAATGTAGGGTGTTGGTAATGAAAATAAGGAATATATGAGCTGCCGAAATTACAACAGACCATGCTTCATTTTATAACATTTTTGCCCAATAAAGAAGATACAACTGAACTTGAAAACCTATTTCAATATTTTAATAGCCAATGTTTTTAGGAGGTCATCTCCAACTGGAGAGTTCTATGACAACCACAGAGTGATGGTACATGTAAATCGCAAAAGAAGGCCTAGCCTAGCAGGGCAGGGTAATGGCAGTAAAAACGTTATTTCTTAGTTATTTTAAGACCGAATTAGTTTAGCCCTGGGGATCAAGTTGGTGATCTCCTGTTCCATAGACCAGGCTCTTTCTGTTCCAAATGTGGACAATACTATCTGTCGGATAAATCTCTTTTCTATGGATACCAGCTACAATCTTGGACAAAAATGTTACGAAAAATGCATGTAACTTGTGTGTCTAATTTTAGAATACTTCCCTCTAAAGCCCAGTTCACTCAAGATAATTCTCCCTCCCACTCAAAAAAACAAAGTTGAAGTGTGGCCGGAACATTTTTGCTCCCGGCTAAATAACATTGACCAGAGAGAGGTGAGGGGAGGGGTCACCATGGTGCCAAATTTGCAGGGTGGGTCTCCTGTGAGTAGGAAAGTGCAAAATTCTTAACACTTTTTGTCCAAGATTGAAGGATTCCCTGGTATACTGTACTTATCCACAGGGTAGTGATTTATCTGGGCCCTGCAGTTGTTCAAAAGGTGGATAAACCTAGCCACTGGATAATTCTCTATGCAATTTATAAAGCAATTGGTTTACTTGATACAGCATACTTGCACCTGGGTCCTCTGGAGAGGGGTTTATCTGGCCAATTGCTCTATCCAAAGTTTGAACAACTGTAGCCAGGTTGATAGCACTATTATTCAACATTTCAATGTTCAGCCAGGGTCAGCATGCAATCTGTCATGGTTGAAGGAAGGTCAAGGGGATATTCTCTTTTTATATTGGTACTATTTATAAGGATGAAATAATTATATTGCCTTTCTGAGATCACAAAATCTCGTATGGGCAAAGAACATAATATAATATAATATAATATATAATATATTATATCCCCAGTCAGTAAATGTCTGTGAAGCACCCCAATATATACAATGTATCCTTGTTCGCTAATTCTTGGCCCCCAACAGTCTAAAGGTTTTATCCAAAATGAATTTCAAATTTCCTTTCAACCTGACTGGCAAATTGACAATGGCTTTTTTAACAGGCCAATCATTGTGTGTACTCAAATCCTGGTACACAGGTGGGGGCCGAGAACAAGGATTTTGGCGCTTTTTTGCAGACGGCATGAGGAGCTTTGCTCAAGAAAAAAAATCTCAGCAGGCGCCGGAAATTGATGCCCTGGTACGCGATAGAAAGGTGTTTGCTTGGTGTCATAAAATTAATTAAGACCGGAACATAATAAGTAAACCAGACACCAAGTATCCGCGAGAGACGCGTCATTTGAGCGCGAGGCGAGGCGAGGAGCCAGCATCCCACGCAACCGTTTTATTGCGGCGTGACCTTTCTGTTTAAAATGAAAAAGATTTTGATCATTCGAAATGTATCTTAAAAATAAAAGCTCGCGTCATCTACCCGTAGAAAGTGATTTACATCATAAACAAATCCAGATCGGACTGCCGGTGATTTGGACGGGGCACGCCAGGCTTAAAAGACATTACCTTAAAGCATTTTATATTTCCTTTGTCACTTTGAGAAAATTTTTGAAGGGGCGACCCCTACTTCATGTGGAAATGTGTGACAAAGTGCCACAAAAACTTGTTTCCAGTGCCGCTCAAATGAATGGACGGCAGCGTACATGTGCGATTTTTTTTGTTTTTGAGGGTCAGGCAGCGATCATGCGATGTAACCGAGTTAAATTCTTACTAATTAATTAATATTCTACCTTAGACTTTCAAAGTTCAAAAGCGCTGTGGTTTTGATTTCGAAACCATTTGAAGTGAAGGCGACCGTCGACGGTATGAGTCTTCATTTCCCATTTCGAGTCTGTTGAGGGTTACAACCCCCAAAAGCATTGGCATGCACTCAAAAAAGAAATATGTGGAGTCCGGCCGATGGGTTTCTCCAAAAATGAAATATTTAGGAGATTTCCTGACGAAAGACGTGGCAACGCGGGAACTTGAACCCACCAAATCGGCCTATGCCGAAGTGGAATTCAACATGATGCCAGCTACTGTGTACGTCGCTTCCACGTTCGTTTGATCACTGATCTTCTTCGCCAGAATATCATTCCACCGGATGGCCTTGTAAATTCTGTTACGGACCTAAGTTACATATTAGTGATATTAGACTTGAGGTAAGTTTGTGTTTAGTCAAATTATTCCCAATACAGTGAGGTATTTCTGTTTTCTGGTCACTTCAATTTAAAGAAAACATTTAGCTTTATTATTCTGTTTCTCTTCGGTAGTCAGTTTATTTATGGGCTTTTGTTGTCTAATGGCAAAATCTTATTTTTATCATAATTATTTTGTACTAACTGGTTTTGTTTCTCTTGGGTGGTCAGTTCATTTATGGGCTGTTGTTATCTGATGACAAAACCTAATTTTTATCATTATTAGTTTAAACTAACTGGTACTGTTTCTCTTGGGTAGTCTGATGACAAGACCTAATTTTCATCACAGTTTTCATTTTGTACTAACTGGTTCTGTTTCTCCTGGGTAGTCAGTTCATTTATGGGCTGTTGTTATCTGATGACAGGACCTAATTTTCATCACAGTTTTCATTTTGTACTAACTGGTTCTGTTTCTCTTGGGTAGTCAGTTCATTTGCGGACTGTTGTTATCTGATGACAGGACCTAATTTTCATCATTTTCATTTTGTACTAACTGGTTCTGTTTCTTTTGGGTAGTCAGTTCACTTATGGGCTGTTGTTATCTGATGACAGGACCTAATTTTCATCACAGTTTTCATTTTGTACTAACTGGTTCTGTTTCTCTTGGGTAGTCAGTTCATTTACGGACTGTTGTTATCTGATGGCAGGACCTAATTTTCATCATTTTCATTTTGTACTAACTGGTTCTGTTTCTCTTGGGTAGTCAGTTCATTTGTGGACTGTTGTTATCTGATGAGAGAACCTAATTTTCATCATAGTTTTCATTTTGTACTTTCTGGTTCTGTTTCTCTTGGGTAGTCAGCTCATTTATGGGCTGTTGTTATCTGATGACAGAACCTAATTTTCATCACAGTTTTCATTTTGTACTAACTGGTTCTGTTTCTCTTGGGTAGTCAGTTCATTTGTGGACGGTTGTTATCTGATGACAGGACCTAATTTTCATCATTTTCATTTTGTACTAACTGGTTCTGTTTCGGATTATTATTATTATTGTTTATTGCTATTATTATCAACATCTTTATTGAGTGATTTAAAACTATTTTTCTTTGACACAGGGCTATAATTTGCAGCAGGTGATGGAGTGTACACTGATTTGCTTTAGTTTTCTTTCAGAAATTCACATAGAATTTACTTTAGTTACAATTATTGCTTGGGCAATGAGATAAACTTTCAGCGACACACTGTGACAAAATTGTTTTAACCAAAATCATGATAACAAATAATTATATGTATGTTATAAAAACAAAAATTATCTTGCCGCTTGTTACCGAGCTATCCGTACTGTAAAACATCAAATGAAAAGTTATAACACTCATATGTCTATTAGTTCTTACAAATGATTTTGTCAATGAAAATCGACGACAAAAAATTCCCTTCTCTGGCTTAATTAAGAAGCTTGGGTTGCAAAAAAAAGTGTGTTTGTAAAACACAACCGAGTCAATTATCGTACGTTAAATAAATCAAAGCATTACTTTTAGCAAAATAGAATCTTAGGGTTAACTTCCCGAGATTACTTCAAACCCTCTGGTTGCCTTCCCTTCGCCGTGCCCTGTGAGCTTTGCGTTAGATCTCACGGTTTATTATTATAGAATCAAGTCAGTCTCAAGTCGCTATTAAAATGAAGCTGTTATAAGTCGGTTGTAGTCACTGATGTCCAAGAATTCCAAATGTTCCTGTTTCGGGAATCGTAGTTTCTCTGGGATTAAATCATTCTCGTTGAGTAAATATTAATTTATCACAGGTAAGTAAATGTATTTAATTTATCACATCGAACCTCGTTGCTGACGCCGTTTTGTGTAATGTTCCTGCCGACTACACAGTAATAGACAGAAGATAGTATACTGTTTGATCGACATAATTGCAAATAATTTCATTCCTCCCGTAAGAATATATAGATTTAGGCGGTCATTAAAATGTTTCTCGGGTGGTAAACCTTAGCTTCTCGTTATATTTTCTAAGTCGGCAAAGGGTTTATGTTTCATTTTCAATTTCTCTTTAGTAACAGATATAAACCCCGCTCTCGTTAAGGTTTGGTTCTTGGTCTTCGATTATCCCATTCGAGTGATAGTTATTTCTCTTGCTATCGCCTTCTATAATTATGGTTGTGTGATCAATAAAGAGCGGGGTTTTTTTACAGTAGAGCTATGCCTTGAATACTATTTCGCGTGAGAAGTAACAGTTGACGTGTGTCTCCACGCGAGTAAAGCCAACAAATGCGCGCCCGTATCTGGAAAACCTTTTTATTATGTCAAGAAATGACTTATTTACACGTCTCGTGATTCCCACGCCGGGTGTTATCGGATGCCGGCAAGTGCGAAAAAAGTAATTACCGAGGATTCCAAAGTAACACCTCAGTCGTATGAAGGCGCGAATTGTGATCTCCCGTTTCAGTTAATCATAAGCCATGGGTAGATTCAATCTACCCTTAGCCTAATTTGCATAATTTTTTTTGGTGAGCAAAGCCCGTCATGTTAACCAGAAGTTCATGATCAGTTCCATCTGTGGTACAGGTTATGAGCATAGAGCAAAGAAGATCTGTTGAAGGGTATGAAGACAGGTGATTATTATTCTTGTATGCAAATGAGAATCTCAATCACTTTTCTTCCTTCCTTCCTTCCTTTCATTCATTCATTAACTCACTCATTCATTCATAATTATCTTTAATATTCTACATACTATTAATTAATTAGCTGCATTCACACATGCATCAGTTCTAATCTCTCATTAAAATACATCAACCCTAAACTTGAAAATAATCTAATACAGAATGGCAGCCAGATCAGATGAATCAAATAACTGAGAACTTTCCATTGCATATCCTGTCGCTTTAATCATTAGACTATATGAGTGAGAAATTGACATACACTGTATCATGTCATATGTTTAAATTTGCAAATACACTTTGGCAAACGATCGCAGATCATTAATGATTTCCTACCCTTTCATCATCGTGAAGCATGTCTGTATAAGCTGACCTGTGAGTGGAATAAAAAGTCGCAAAGTAAAATTAGGCAAATGGTAATACAAACACCACGTGAATACTTCAAATCGAGTGATCACCTCGCTATTTCGTCTCGCATGTCATAATCTTCATCTTCGACAACCCACTCCATTTTGCCTGTCGTTGGACTAAATCTCTGTGAAAACATTTCCTTTCTCGAGATGCGAGAGAAATGAAAAAATCTTTTGTTCAAGAGACAAACTTTGCTCATAAGGACATCCACCAAGAGGCTGAATGCGTGACACCGACCGTGACACTACCACAATCGCACCGAGAGAGCCTGGGCTAGATAGATATGGAATATGGACCTTATGTATGTCACACGACAAGTGACAGTCATTGCGCCTGGTCATTTTTGAAGTTTCCTGCAAAGAAAATGTGAAGCAAATGGCGACTCCATCAGATGAAGCCGCATTGCTAGAGTTGTGTCGCAAGAGAGTCAAAAGTTTTGCCGAATCCATGTACAACACCAACACATATTTTTCAGGAAAGGAAAATCCTGCCTTCAGAAGAGCGGCTGTTTTAGTCCCAATTTTCGTTAAAGAAGGAGCCCTTCACGTTCTCCTTACTCTACGATCAGAGGAGCTTCCTACATTCAAAGGACAGGTAGCTTTTCCTGGTGGGAAACAAGAAGATGGTGACAAAGATGTTGTAGAAACAGCTTTGAGAGAAGCTAAAGAAGAAGTAGGCTTATCTCCAGAGATTGTGGAAGTGGTGGCTGTATTATGTCCTTTAGTGACGAGAAACAAGAAACTGCATGCATACGTCTATCCTGTCATTGGTATCATAAAGTCAAGCTTTGAACTGGTGGTTAACACTTCGGAGGTGCAGACCACATTCGACGTACCCTTGAATTTTTTTCTTCATAAGGAAACACACAGAGAAGGAACAATGATTTTTAAGGGAAAAGAAATATCCATCACCTTTTTTGACTATGAAACAAATGCTAAAGATCAAACGGAGCCTGTGACTTTTGTTATTTGGGGTTTAACAGCTTCAGTTTGTTTAAAAGTCTCTGTAGCAGCTTTAAATAAGCTACCTGAGTATCATCTTGATGAATACTATTCAGATTTGGAAAAATATATTAAGCAGGTGAATTCTCAACAGGACAAAACTAAGTGTTTGAGTAAGGTATAGGTCAATTTAGACCGTCTAAACACTCTTTCTTTTTTATAAGAATATATTTTATAAGAATATCGAGACCGAAATTTGCGAAATTTTAAGAATGTTTTGCATAAACCTGAGGCTGAAATTTGTGAAAAGAATATAATTTCATGCGTAGAAAATCTATTATATACAATACAATAATTATATGTTTTTACTTATATAAAATTATTCCTTTCTCCAAACAGCAAAACAAGTCAACAAAAGAAACACTCTTCAATAGCGATAGCCAATTGTTCAATGATGAGCGGTACATGTAATGTATTTGTGCAGTTCAAAATATGTACAATGCAAAAGACATGAACTAAGAATAGAGAATATTAAGAATATTACAAGAGTATTTTCAGCCTAAAATTGGCAGAAAAATAGGAATTTTCAGCCTGGGCCGGAAAAACAATATTCTACTTGTAAAAAAGAAAGAGTGTATCAGCACTGGGAAAAAAAAACTTGAATTCGAGCTTGTCTTTTGGTCAAGCAGCTTTCATATTTTTGCCGATAAGTTTTCTGGACCCTTGTCCATTAAGCAAGTATAAGCTTTAAAAGTTACTTACCCAGCAAAGAAATGCAGTTGTCTCGGACTACTGGACTGGACTTTTTCCCATCCCTGTATATGGACCAGCCAGATCATTATACGTTTCTGGGAAACTGCCCACCTACACCTCCCCTAAGACAATATTTTGCCCTAAGTGAGAAATAAGTGTTAATGTTGGCTGAGGAGAGAGGTAAGTGGGCAGTTTCCCAGAAACGTATAATGATCCGACCAGCCTCAGGGGTACTTCCTCAGTGGTTATAACTTGAGTTTCAGCTTGTCCTGTGGATAATCAGCCCTTACATTTTATTTCCCAGGGCCATTTCTTTCTTGTCTTAGTAAAGATTTATTTACAAAATGATTTGCCTTGACCCAAGCCCATTTTACTTACCAAGCAACAAATCTTCTCATCCAAGGTGACCAGACTGGACTTTTATTGAGGAAAATTATTTTTTCTTATTTTTGGATATTTCAAGGATAGATGTTTGAACTTATAGCCTGCTGTCAGTTAATATTTGCAACAAAACATATCTTATGATGGGCTGAAGATCTCTTGAGTAAAAGACATGCTGGGGAAATTTTGAAGTTGCTTTAAAGCATAACAGTGCAAAAGAGTTTTCTAGGTATAATAAGCCCTTTAAGCTATTTTCAGCTTCACCTTTAACCTGTGAGTTTAGGTGTATTGGATAAATACAAGTGTATCTTAAAAAATGGAAGTGAATAGTATAATTTTTACATTTAGAAGGATGCCTCAATAATAACTGCAAGGATATCACTAAGATTTCAAGTTTCCAGGTATATACATAAGTAGGTGGGGAATTAAACACTACATGAAGGACGACATGTTGGTTTTATTTTCCTTCAGTTTTCCTGTGAAAGTAGCCATGGGTCACACTCATAGTAGCTTGGGATTATCTCCAGTCCCAGTCCCTTGAGGACGTGATAGTTCCGTTGTCTTTAATTGCAAGTGGTTTCTATAGTTATGAAAACTGAAATTGCAATAAAGTGGTGTACGTTGTTCTTGAATAATTTGTCTGTGCCATCATAACAGAGAGTCAGGTTGTTTGAAGTCCTTTGAAAATATTCCTTCTAAAATAAATTATGCAAACATTTCCTCAGTTGGGGATTTTGCATCATAATTTGAATATTCCTTTTTTACCAAGAAGATTTTACTTCAATCAATATTATGTTTTTTTGAGCAAAAAGGAATTAATAGTACACACCCTCAAATATTGGCTATCTGATGTTAACAACAGTGGTAAATCAGGGCAAACAATAGGCATAATCTCATAAGTTATCACTTTTTACTGGGTAATCTTATGAGAGTTCTAAGGAAAATCTCACAGAAACTTCTTTATCGGTCTCTAAATATTATATAAAAGCTGGTGAAAATTCAAAATGCTACAGCATTAACTGATTTTGGTCTTATATAATTTTTGCCATTAATTAATATATCATCATTTTTTTTCTACTGATAAATTAATGCAGTCTACTCCCCGCCCCCATAACCCTCCATAATATTATTAATGTGGAGGTCATATTGCATGTTTTATTCAGATATTTATCTATTTTTTACAATAAAATCATATGAAATCCAACAAAATAATAAAAGATGTAAAGGGAAAGGGAAATAACAAAATTAAGATTATCACTTCAAACAAAAAAATCTGCTTTAGGAATGTTGGTCAGTCCCAGCTATGACAGCTATAGTAGAATCATTTTACACGCTTTTTTGCCATCGGAGGATGAGAAAGTTCTTGGTGAGTAGGGATTTAAAAATGGGAAGATTTGGGGTTAAAAAAGTGACAGAAAGTGACTGATCATAAAAACAGATTTGTGCAAACGTGACTAAGACGAGGGTCTGTAATTGGCCACAGAATAGCCTAAAGTAGAGTAGGGGTTCCAAGAAACCAGTGGCACTTATCTGAGCCAAAATTTTCCCAAGCACCCCCACCCACTGGGATCAGTGAGTACATCTGCTGCAGGGTTGGATGAAATTAATTGCACTAGTATTGAAAACACAAAAATGGCCAAAAATTTAGACAAAACAGAGAAGAATCCTTTAAAATTCAAGTAACAGCTGACATTCAGTTGGACACACTGGAGCCCAAGTGGCATTATTACCAGAATCTGGTAGGAGGAGACCTAGGCCCTAGTCATTCTCAGGGGCACGTGACGTCACTACGAACTCTTTCGTGCTCGAGTACTTTGATCTTGAGCAACCGAGTCTTGCACTGGAAGGTTTCCTTTTTTACCTTTTCCTGTTTTGAATCACCTTTATTCACTTTAGCATAACTACAAATCGCCGCAAAACAAAATGCCGTTAGTTTTTCTCGAACAGTTGCCGCTTCCTTCGCTTAAGTCATACGTTGCCGTGAGTGTATTGGTGTTTGTGTCCGCCATTCTCTATGCGTTGAATGTGACTATCGGTTCTGAAGAAAGCAATGTCTCAGTATACGATTTCATGTCTCAGGATAACTTTTGCTTCTGGGTAAGTAGATACTACGATGGTTCAACACAGGAATACTTCGTTACTGAAAATGACCGGTGGTTTGATTATATGCTAGCATATTCATTTTCCTTTTCAGTCGAACTTGAATATGGCCTACTGTTGTTTATTTTTGTTTGGGAAAATCATTCAGAGAGTCGTGTTCGGCGATCTTCGAGCCAGTGAACTACAGGTGAGTCTAAAAGTTGGACAGTTTGTAGCAGCCTCTACACAAGCATATTTTCCATGGTTTAATTGGCTTCTATTTATTACAACGGAAAACAATAATTGATGCAGTGGTGTTGATCATGCAAATGAATCAAAAAGCCAACGTAGCATGTCATTATTGTTTTACATTGTGTGCCATCATTTTGTCTTGTTACTCCTGTGGTGAAATTTAAACTTAGGACCTTCATTCACCAGTCAAGATATTTAAACCTATTTGCCCAAATTCGCCGTACAGTACAGACTCTTTTGGCTAGGAAACTGTCGGCCGCATGATTATACGTTGTGTAAACTGCTAGTATTTACACGTTGATTCATCAATTTATTACTCCTACTGTTTCTTGTCATTGTAGGGTATAAAATATTAAAAACTGTTATTAAGCTTATTGGACTTACACCAACAACATCTCATCAAACTTTTTAAGTATTCAAAGTTGTGTTGGGTACTTCAATTTCAATCCTTGGGCGCTATTTTTTTTCGTCTGTTTCCTGCTCATTATCGTTCATTGGACATCAGCTTATTATCATTTTAAAGGAAATTTTGTTAACATGTGCAAATCATTTACTGCAAGAATCTTAAAAAAATCCCTACACAGATGACAATATATTTTTCAGTGATATTTGTTGAAATGAGTTTCAACTAGAAGAGTACGGACCTGAGTTTTTTGAAGGGACACCGTCAACTATGGGTCCGCACTGACCTGAAACACTACTTTTGCCAGTTTGAAAAGCGTTTACTTCAACCCAAAATCAAATCTACGCGTTGGATACATCTAGAAATCCACTTCAATCCTACCTGGTGTCTCATTCGATCCTCAATCTTTTACTGAAAACCTCTCTTTGAGCAAACTTTTACTCATCCCATTACATTATTTTATCATATTTGGTGAAAAGCAGTGTTCAAAGGAACATAAACAGAACAGCAGAGAAACGCTTAGGCCCTGTGCAGGAGAAATTGCCGTCGTTTACTAAAGTAACCTGAGAAATGAATCAGTAAGATTGGCGAGCAAATAATCGTCATATATTTTATATAGATTATTTGGAAAATCGATGGAAAAGGTTACATATATTTGGAAAAACAAGCTGTCTCGACTTGAACCTTTGACAGTGATTCAGACTTTGTGCAATTTCTCACTTCTGCTGATGTTCAAATTCAGTAGTATTCATTGTTGTTTGGCTTTCCCTGGAAAAATCCGTCTGTGAACTCTCAATGGTATATAAAAAAATAAGTGCTCTGATATGGCTTAGGGTCTATAATCACAATTTCAGCTTGTAACTAGTTCAACTCTACAAGTTTGTTTAGGGTATTCCGGATACGCTTTTCACTTTCTGTTTCATGCGCATCTTTTTACATGCAAATCATCTAAGAAATGGTATCTAATGTGCATGTGCATCACCTGACTGTGTCCCTTTAAGGCCTAGTTTAGACTTATAATCGTACGTTAACTGCAAACAGAGCATGTGAGTTGTTGGTAATACACCTATATTGGCAGGTTATTGTCTTGCAAGCAACTTGGTCCAGTTGTACGACTGAATTCTCACCAATGAAATGCAGCTTCAGCTATACATAATGTATTAAAATTATCTCTTTGTCATGGACAGCATAGGGAACCCACACTCTTATTTGTAAACTGCAAATGGAAATCAAATGAGAGATAACGTGTAGATTACCTGTTCTGTTCTTGAATCTGCTGGGGAGCAAAGTGAAATGGAAGTTCTATGCTGCAAAAATGATGTTTGTGTCGGCGCTTTGTCAGTAAATTTCACAAATGCTTTATTTTATGTTTTTAGTCTGGCATTTCATTTCATTTCATTTGCATAATTTTTTCATAATTTTCCCATCAAATCGAGCCATTTGTGCTGGACTTTGAGGCATGTCGGGCTTTTGTCCAGTACCTGTGGACACTGTTGTGCCTACCAACTAATTTGCATTTGAAATTGGAAACCTCACCAGGGTGACAACTAGCACTTACACGACGGGTTATGATGGGGTGAGGAGCCTAGTTAACAGGTCATTTTTCGCCCTTGCACCTGTCTTGTAAGAAATTCATTTTGTATGTCTATCATGGTTGTAAGTAAATACAATATGCAGTACTGCATGATTCAGTTTGTAAACAAGGAGAGTCCATTACCCTTTAGTCTTCTTCTTAATTGTAGTCAAAAGAAATTTTGCAAAAAAGGGGGTAACTGTGGTCATTGGTGTGCTATTTAAAGTGAATGTGAAGTGCGACCTGTTGCTTTGAAAAAATCATTTCCTTCATGCAAGATGTCACACCCCATTTTCTTTGACACCAGTCAGTGGCATGCTATATGAATGTAGCTGTCAACCTCCCACGTCTTCAAATATTGAGAATTGATTGGGAGTGGCTGATAGATGACATCATATAACGCACCGCACATGATGTCATTTGTGCAAAAAAAACTCGTTGACTCCTACTGTCATGAATATTTCTAATGACGCAAAACGTGCAAAAAAGATGTTGTTGGCCTTAGACTGGTCTTTTAACATTATTAATTTTGATCTGATCGGTTTACTTCCCACCAATCACATTATTGCTTATATTATTACAATGGCATACTTGAGTTTATGAGGGAATGTTCGATGCTAACATTACAAGGCAAAATAATATTTGAAAGTTCATTATTGGAAAGTCGAGTCTATAAGAAATGGTAAACTTTGTGATTATCCGGGAGATTTCATACAGTTACTCTAATCTTGAGACTGGGATATTCGGTCTAAAATCTCCTGGATTTAATCCAGGAGTTGTCAGCACTGCATGAAGGTGAAGCATAACTTGTTGCATGAGATAAATAAGCGTCACCTTGGGCGTCAAAAATTTTTCCTTGATGCAAGAAATTACGCTTTATTTTCTTCGGCTAAACAGGCGACATTCAATTCTCACATGACATAGCAAGTGGATTTGGAGGGTTGGATTATGGGTATATTTTTTTTTGGAGGGTTGGATTTCAACTAACATGGACTTCAAAAACTTTTTTGTTTTCAAAGAAAGTAGTGTCCGATAGCTTGGGGCCAGTGGATTTTGCTATCAGGCTAGTGAAATCTGTTTTATAATATTATTGCAGTGATGTTTTTCAAATAAACAAACATTCACAAAAAGCTTTTGGGGCTAGTTGAAAAACTGTAAACAAGCTTCAGCTTGCCTTCCTTTGCACAAAGTGCTCTCCCTAGAAAGCTGTTTTTTAATGTCAGCCTGTGGATCTGCTCTGGTGGTTAACAAGGAGACTTAAGAGCTGTAAAGCTGTACCAGTGCTTACAAATTAAGGACTAAAGCTATCGGTCAGGCCCTACATGTAGATTAAGACATCAACTTTTTCATGTCTTTTTTTTGCAGCAAATTCAAGACAGATTCTGGAACTTTGTTTTCTACAAGTTCATCTTTATTTTTGGTGTGCTGAACATTCAGAAATTCAATGAAGTCATGTGGTGGACGGCTTGGTTTACATTGTTGGGTTTCTTTCATCTTTTTACGCAGCTTTGTAAGGACAGGTTTGAGTATGTAAGTACCATAAATAATTATCTTAAGTAATATTCGTTAAAACTCTGAGGTCATGGTTTAACCCTATCATCTCTGAGAGTACCCCTACAAACACAAGATGAAATACCAAACTTGATTTTGCGTTATTTGGATGAATACACAGTACCATTCCTGTGAAAGTCACAAAACCATGAAAGCCAGAAACATTAATTTTATGGAATGCTATTGCAGGGTTTTCAATTAGAGCCGGTGGCCGGCGAAATTCTCTGGCTATTTCACTTGAACTCGCCACCTACTTTTCTTTGGAAATTACCCCAGTTTTTTTTTTTTGAGAAATTGTAAATGCCGAGACAAGGAATGTGTTTGAATAACTTGAAAATAATTAGTTCAAAGACATCACGTCTTTACCACATTCAATGCATGTATAAGAAATATAAAATGTAAAAATAAAAATGTTCTAGAAGTTTTAAAATAAAAAAATAGAGTAATCATGTGCTGTCACTGAATAATTTAGCCAAAATTTAATGGTGTCTGTGTTCTGTTCAAACACTCTAATTTTTGCTCCAGAATGCTGGAAATGCATTCTGTGCATTCAAATTTTTCCAGAAACTCATGCTTGCAAATCTTATCAAAAACCCTGTATTGTGTTGCAATGAAACAGCAAATAAGAGGCGAGAAGACTAAACCACAAAAAGGAAAGCCAACAATTTTAGTCTGTGGTTTTGAGACTTGCTTGCATGTCCTGATCTTTGTTGTGAATGGTCACTTCACAATCAGCATTCCTGAAATTTCTCAGGTGTTCATGGTTTTCTGCATTTGACAGTAAAAAGCACTGCAAGTAAAAGTGAAAAAAAAAAGCACTGAATTTGTCGAGGAAGGGGGAATTGTTTTGAAGACAAAAACTTCATGTTGGCTTAGGCATGATTATTGATACAAAAAATTATACAGATCTATCTCCGTGGGTGTTATCTGCATAACTTTTCGTATCATATCTGGCTCATCCAATAATGGCAGTGTTACTGTCTAATAGTCCAGTTTGAATCTGTCACGGCCTCTGAATAGAAGCACCTGTTGTGCTAAAATTTACGTGTACTGTACCAGTTGGACCCCTTCCACATTTATAATACAAGAGCCTGGTTAGCCTAAAAATTGAAACAAGTCCTTTTTTTATTCCAATTTTCTAAAGTCTATATAAAGATATTAGTGTACTCTGAAGGAGGATTTCAAAATTCACATGATCAGTGCTTCACATTATTTTTCTAATTACATGTATTGTCATTTGTATATAAATACCTACTTGGTTTGCAGATTTTTTGCAAGGAATACATGATTATTCAAAGTAGACAGACTGCAAATTATTATAGTAGTTGCTAAAAAACTTAATATATAATTATAGGCTGGATAATTTTTGTCTTCAGAAAATAAGAACCTACATGTACATGTTGAGAACCTAAATACAATGTAGCCTAAATTTATGCTAATATTACCATGTACAGTGTACAGTTGTAAGAACCTATTGTACGTCTTACTTTGGAGCACAACTGTAGTACAGGTACTGTATCGTGTGAAAGTAATGCTGGAGAGGATTGTGTGTTGTAATGGCCACACATATTCTTACGTTACATGTAGAACAAGTTAAAACAATGTAATAAATATAAATAGTACCATGAAAATGCACTGCTAATGAGGTTTCATTTAAGTGGTCACACCACATGATTTGATCAACTCAAACATTAGAACCAATTTATACAGCATAATAAATAGTCCTGTCCACGTTAAAACAGTACTGGAGAGAAATTAGTTAGAACTTGTACCAGTCACTGTATTATTGAAATTTTATACTACTTTGTCTGAGGTACGAGAACAATGATCTGGGAGGGTTGCTGCAAATTTGGGGGTATGCTGTGACCTTGTCGTTCTCAAACTTTGCACATGTCCTTGTTGCTGTGGTTGTTGTTTTAAGAAGTATTGAGGAACATTTCACTCCAGTGTTGGTGATAATTTTTCTTCCAACTATATGCAGTTTTTGTACACTGTAGAGTACAGTATATTTATTACAAGTGATCTTGCTTTTTCAGTTGTCATTTTCACCAACCACGTCACCTTGGTCTCATGCAAAAGTGATTGGATTACTCAATGTTCTGGTTTTATGCTGCAATGGCCTCTTTTTCATCTGCCTTTTTATTGGCTGGCCAGATGGCATTCATACGTTTACATTCATGTTAGCAGAGGTAAAATAATAATATTATGTTATTATTACAATAACAAGACAGTACATGTACATGTATTTTTTTTTCTTTTTTTACATTCCAACAGCAACTGTTGGAATTGGAAAGAGAGGAATTTGTTCAGACAGGTCAGACTTGAATACATGCCGACCTGTGCAAACAGACACAACATTGTTAGCCAACAACTCCCAACATTTGATTACAATTAAAATTTGTCTTTGTGTTCTTAGCGCTAAAATGTTTGAAAATCCAGACATTTCGGGACTACTGTCCCTTCATCAGTGGAAGATGCCGTTACACTGAGCACGCGCCATTTAATTCCAATGTGGCAACATTGTTGGATGTCACATGTTGCATCAGTTTGCACACCCTCACAAGGCCGTGCTCTAAGAAAAATTGAAGGAATCCCAGTGCTCTGAACCTGTAAAATCCAGGGTGCCCAGTGAGTGTAGCATAATTATGAAGAAAGCAAGATTTTCTGGTCTCTCAGGAGCGAAAGTTTAAGGTGCCGTGGGCCACCACCCAGGAACTGCTAGAGCACAGCCTTGTCCTGTTGCATGTTGTTGCATATTGTTGGGAGTTGTTGCGCAAAGTTTCAAACCTGTAAAACCTTTGAGCCAACAGCGCCCAAGATTTTCTTTTGTTCCATGGTCGCCAAAGCATAGCACAGTGTTCCTGCATCACACATAATTACCTTGGAGACTGTAAGCAAAGCAGTGACTTTGCATGATGGACCACACATGATGGGCTAACATTGCTGGGAGTTGTTGCATCCATTTGCACATCACTGCCAACATGGCCCAACAATGTTGGGAGGTGTTGTGTCTGTTTGCGCGTGGCTTAAGATTTACAGCCTTTTCTTTCAAAAGGGATCAGAGAATTTACTTAATCTGTCTTTATTGTACCAAACAAAATACAATATTATTGCATTTTGCAAGGCTAAACATTATGACTTACTAGTACCAGTTTCTTCCCCTGGGACCTTTCACTAACTTGTTCTCTTGCCCTTGTAGTAAGTAATTAATAAATGTGATAACTAAACATTCCTTGGAAACACTTGTGATTTTTAACTTTGGTGTTTATTTTCTTGTAGTGTATGCTGTTACTCATCAAAGTGATCCATGCTTTGATAAGGTACGCACAAGTACATCATGAATGCATAAATGAGGATTGAGGGAATTTGGTTTAGTTAACCCTTTAAGTCCCAATAGTGACTAACATCAATTTTCTCCTAACGATATCCATACAATGTCAAGAGATTTGGTTATGAGAATTAATAAAATGATCACCTAAGGGAAAATGCCTTGATCTTTCATCAAATTCTCTCAACTTATTCTTGAAGGAAATGTATAGAGATCAGTTTGGAGAATTTGTATGTGGATATTGGGGCTTAAAGGATTAAGTACTATAATCGCTTGCCTCTTTTAGTCCCTTGAAATTTAAAGGTAGAAAGATGTAGATCTTGATGCTCAGGCAATGAGGTCAAATTGTTGTGATAAATATGAACTATTCTCCTATTGTTTTGCTTAACTTTTGGCATCCATGCTTCATGATTTTCTAATTCAGTTATCCTTGTTGGTGTTAGTCTTGCGCGGATAGCTTCTTAACCCTACGTGAGTCTTGGCTCCTTGGAAAGGTGGATATGGCTATACACTGGATTAATCTCTATCCATTAGATTGTAAACATTGATTTCCTTATTGCTCATCCGCTGGATAGTGATTTATCTGTTAAATGAATAGCACTATCCAATATTTGAACAACCAGTTGGTCCATTCCATTTATTTTACCCAGTTCTTAATGGGACAATGGCTGATCTAGTGGATGTGTTCAGAAGCAGTGTAATATCTTAGTGTGCATTAATTATTGGTTTGAGATCTGATTAGTTCACTGGATTTTGGATGCATCTCATGGACATTACAGCTTAGAATACTTGAGTTGTAGTTTTGCAGCACTCTGTTAATATCAATGTTCCCAATTCATTACATTATTTAGATATGGAATCCATCTGTGGGACATTGAACACACCACAATGTGGGAAGGAAGAAGCACTTGGAGTTACAACACGGATCTGATTTTGGATTTAGCAATGTACACAGTGGATTTTGCACATCACTTACACATGCTGGTGAGTGTAATAATTAAATTATCTTCTAACAACAATAATGTACAGCAGAGGTATCAAAAATTGCCTGATACAGTATAGGCCATGGACATGTTGAAGTATTTCATGCATGCGCGTTTCATTGCACATGTAAATCTGCCCTAAATTAAGGCATGCAATAATATTACAGGAAAAAAAACCATTTAAGACAGGTATACATTAAAAATACATGAATAATAAAACATGAGGAAATTCAAGCAGATTATCATGAACTGTGTGTATAATGATTATTGTGCACTGCTTGTAGATTGCATGTACTGAATACATTGTTTTCATTATTGGCAGCTGTTAAGCAATGAACTTATTTTTTTAAAAAAGGTGTAGTATGAAAGGGGTAAATTTTGCTAGATTGTATAAAATATGTTCTAGGTTTGTGGTGTATCTTACAACTGAGTACCTGTCTTACAGCACTGGCTGTCCATGGTGTTGTTTGTTATCACTCTTTAAGCTGATAATAACCTCAAGGAAAAGCTATGGATATGTACAATTCACTATAGTTGTTACATGCTCTTTTTTCTGAGCTTTGTTAATTATTACTTGCATCAAACAGAAGTGAGCAAATAACATTAAAGCTTTGAGTGTTAATGAAGTAAACAAAAGGATGTCTCGTGTTTTCTTATCAAGGTTAACTCAACATTCATCACCCTGTTTCCTTTGAAAAACATTATGTATAATTATAATGGAGCCCACTACCACGATTTTTTTTCAAAGGACATGCTTTACAAAATGAAACCCTTTGTTCAAAAAAAGCCTCCCCATTCTAAAGACTTTTGTCTTTAATATCCTGTACAAATGCAAACAGTAAATAAATGAGTTAAATCGGAAGCTTTTGTTGTTTGCAAAGTGAACTAGGCACGAAGGCTTTAAGCAGAAAGATGAGATCTATACATTTTGGATAACCTGAGATCAGGGTATACTAATTTACATTCTCGTTTATTATCGTGTTTTGATTTATTGAACCAAACGATTTCACGAGTTTTTTGCCCGTTTGAAATTATTTTGAAACAAAAATTTGTTAAAGAGAATGTTACGCTTTGTTAGTGATTTGGTCAGGTTTCAACCAAAGAACCACTAAAATGTGGGCCTGATTGCATGTAACTTACAAAATGGGCCTCTATTAATTTTGGATTAAAGTCTGCCTTTCCGAGCAAAAGACGTTTAGATGTAATGCCCTGTTGTGTTAAACAATGGATCTATACATTTTACCCATTACATTGATGGTTAATGAACCTTTTAAAAATCCATTTCAGCTGTGGTCAAATATCTTCTTAAGCATGGCCAGTTTAGTTCTGTGTATGCAGCTTCGGCATCTTTTCTATGAAATTAAGAAAAAGCTGGCCAAGCACAGGAACTACATCAGAATTATCAAGTGCATGGAAGCAAGGTAAATAGAATAAAATTAGAATACTCAAGATTTTTCATAAAGGCAGGGTGTTCTGTGTCATATGGTCTGTAACAAGCTCCTACATTTGTCACTTCCATACATCCACTAAATAGAGGACACTCTTCCTACATGTGTATGTTTTCCACTGGAGATGGGACGGCCATTTTAGCAATTGCAGGGCAAAACCAAGGTACAATGTAGTACCATCATTATGAAATTGTGTATATAAAATGTTAGTCTAGAATTCTCAAGCTGTATACTTTCTATTTGGATTGCTTTCTGGCGATTGCACTGTCATATGTAGGTTGTGTTATTACAGACCTTGAAAAACACATTCACATGAATTTTGTATTACGTTTTTTAAAATAAATTCATGGTCAATGTTAAATCACCAGATTTCCTTTGGCTACTGAGGAAGAGCTGATCAAGAATAATGATGACTGTGCAATTTGCTGGGACTCAATGGCAGCTGCAAGAAAGTTACCTTGTGGTCATCTCTTTCATAAGTATGGCTTCTTTTTTGCGTTATACCTTTATTGCAGCGTAAAGCCAGCTAAAAATAACAGGCCCATGACACTTACACAAAGTTATGTAGAGAGGGGGTTCCTCTCTATTTGACACTTGTATGGATATGTACATTTTGCAAATTATTTTGTAGGTAGTGTTTGATTTGGTCCATTCATACTTCTACTTACACTGTATTTAAACTCATCATCAATAGATGAGCTTGGGAACTGGTGCCGTAAAGGTTGGACGGGAACCTGAGCACCTCAAGCATAGCAAGGAGGTATCCACGGCAACCCTGCAAGCAGGAACCACTGCTGCATGCAGCTGCCAACTGGCATGGTCATACTGAAGGAATTCACTGGAAAATACTCACCTGACCCCATACTTACCAACACACAAACCCCCCAGAAAAGGGAGGGAAGGGCTGGGAGCCAGAATCCGCAAAGATTCTCTTTAACACAACAGATCTGCAAAGATCAGCTCAAAATGCCAGCGTGAGATGCAATGTAAGTCACAGGATAAACAAAGGGCCCTGTGGTCACCCCACAGATCACATGCGCCTGAGGAGGAGACTGCTGACTGCATTGGCTTGCAATTTAACTTTGCATAAGTTGCATTTAGACATATTTATCTTCATAAAAATTGATTTAATTCTGGGCAGCAAATTAAATAGTTGATATCACAGAGTCTGTAGATACAGAGTATTGGTTTAGTTGTTGTAACTGTGGGCATTTCTTTGAGATTTACCTTGCCTTTTTTTTTATGATGCAGTTCTTGCCTGAGATCTTGGTTGGAAAATGACACATCCTGTCCGACTTGCCGTCAGTCATTAGCTAGTGATCTGCAACCAGAACAGGAAGAGCAGAGACAACCAAGAGGAATGGCTGCCTTCATGATGGGACGCGGCCTCAGACGAAACCACTTTTTCCACTTTGATGGTACAGATTTGGATCATATTAATTTTATTCATAAATAGATAATTTATTTGTTCGAAACCATTTTTCCTCTGAAATAGCTAAGAGTAATTGTGTTAAGTTAAAGAAATATGTGTCAAAGATTCCTTGTTTAGATGATCATGCGGGAGGATCTTATCAGGTAGAAAAATAGATCAGTTTGGAGACCACTTGTTCTCCTGGGATGTAACATACACCAAACCTTGGTCATATAAATCAAGACAACATAACGACTTTCTGCCATCATATGTATTTCATTATGGCTGATATTCTCTAACCTGTACATGTATAATTTATCTAATGTTTTATGATTTTCAAGTATTATTATTGCTTACAATGAACCAGTATACTGAAGTTAGGAAAAAAAATCCTTTTAAAACTGCTGGACACAAAAAAAGTATAGCGGGATAATAATCTTTTTACATTCATGTGTTGTAGTTCAATTTTTTCCTTGGTTTAAATTTTATTTTCCTTTGTTTTAAAGTCATTATCATACATTACCATACCAAAAAAACAAAGGAAAGTAAAATTTAAACCAAGGATTAAATTGAACCACAACATGTGTGTGACTTCCTGTGCATTCAAAATTAAAGTTATCAACCTTACTAAGTATCCTAATGCAACTTGTGTGTTGAAAATGTTTTATCAACACTGGTTTCTTTTGACTGAAACAAATGAAACTAAATTCTTCATGAGAAGTGCCTCACACCTATCATAACTTTTCTTTAAAAGGTTCTCAAATTGCCAGCTGGTTCCCAAGCTTTTCTGTGGAAGTGATGCATACAAGAGTCAATAACTTAATGGAAGGACAACTACCTGAAAGTCGCATCGAAGCTATGGTGAGAATAGAACGTTCATCTAAACTGTCAGGATCTAAAAGTGAAGTTTTTTTGGTGCTAAGAGTCCTTTTATCCAGACCTTTTTTGTGTTTGTCTGTTTGTTTGTTTGTTTGTTTGTTTGTCTGTTTTGTTTTAATTTATTTTTATTATTAGCTGAGAGTCACATGTCATACATGAACTGAACCTTGACGCTTAGTTTCTTATGAGTTCCATGGGGGGGATCTGCTAATTCTAAAAGAGGGCAGTGAGAGACTAGAGAGCAAGTTCATATAGTAACTATGCACACGTATTTATTGGTTATAACACTATAAGAGCATCCCATTCCAACATTAAGGCTCTAGAAGACAGATTTTACTAAGAGTTATTTAAAATCGTCCCTCAGTTTTAGGGGGGGTCCCCCCCCCCCCCGTTCCTTGGTCCCACTGTAATCGGTTTGGAGCTCAGAGGTTCAAGGATCCAGCCAGCATTCTGGGAAGCCTTAGATCGCTATTCCTTTTACTGTATTCAGGTGCTTCTCAATCTGTCTCAGGTTTGTGCAATTGTAAATCTAACGTTTTCTTAATTTATTTCTGTTGTATACACTTTAGGCACATCAAGTTCAAGCGATGTTTCCACACATGCCATTCAACATTATCATGGATGATCTGAGACACACCCATTCTCTGGAAGTCACAATTGAGAATGTTCTGGAAGGAAACATTGCTGTTCCATCTGTACGTGTTTATGTGAATACAGCTTTCTTTCTGTGGTTAAATCTCCATTTGTTCGAGTTTTATGCGACAGGGCCCCTTTTGTTTTATAAAGGACTTTAGATAAAATGGTAACTTCACCCACAGACTCAAAATTTGGAACAACCTTATAAGACTTCTTCAAAAACTCACTAAACAAAAGAAAGTAATGTTTAATGAGTGTCTTTATATCTGATAAATACACGGCTAAACTTTGCGTTCAATTTTGTAGACCAAAGTAACCCAAAATCTGAACATTAATGCAAGAATGAGTTGATCTACAGTGTATATCAGAGATTTTGAAGCAATTCAAGAACCTTGCAATTGTGTATTATCGGTTGGAAAAACTCTCGGCTTCGTCTCGAGTTTTTAAACCTGATAATAGTACTCCTGCTCGTTTTTTAAATAGTACATAATTGGAGAGGGAGAAGTCGCTTCGTCACCTACCATGGTAGTAAAATTTCTGGATGACAACAAACTAAAAACGTCACTTAAAAAGTGTATTCACGCTGTTTCAAAATTCATTGATCTTATTCAATTTCATTTATTTTGTCAATTGTTGGCGAAATTTTCTGAGGTTGAATCTGAAAGAACCGTATCTAAGTTTAGAATAAGAAAAAGAAAATTTCGTGTTGTGTTCATCTACTCCATAACGCGGGCGCTTGAAATTAGAAGTTTCATGTCGCAGTCGTGCAACGACGGCTAAGAAATGTACAAAAAAGCGTGATGCACGTGCAAAATTAGTTTTGCTAATCTAAACCTACTGCTTTTTTACCAGTCTCGTTGCCTTCACCATCCTCGTTGCTTAAGCTCCCTATTGTTGTGATCTAGAAATTTTGGTACCATGGTAACGTGACGTCATACTATTCCTCTCTATTGACTCAGGGAGTGAAAATGATATGCTAACCCCCTCAGTCTCAAGACTGTCTAACATCGATTTTCTTTTAACGGTATCAATATATAATCAAAAGAAAAGGTGAGAAGAATTAATAAAATGATCTCAAGGGGGAAATGAGTTGATTTTTAATCAAATTTTCTCAGGTAATTCTTTGACGAAATGTAGGGAGATCTGAATGGAGAATTTGTTTAATGTATGTGGATGTTGGGTCTTAAAGGCTGATTTCTTCTTTACGCAGGTGTGGACTCCACCTGACGATCAGCGGACAGTGGAAGATTCTGAATTACTACAGATTGCACAGCCAAGTATGACAAAGATCTTACCATATTAGCTTGATTCTTATTTGTGTAAGGCACACCTTGCCAAATTAAGCGTTATTCAAAAGTTGTTTACGTTTAGACGAATGAAGACAAGAGCAATTGGCAATGTGTATAACAACAAGCCTTATGACCAGAATGACAGCAAAAATGGTTCGGGTGACAGTGATTTTATTTTTGTATTTGTGAAAAAAGGAAAGAACAGTCATCTAACACAACGTGGTGTACACGCACAGCGTAGTTGGGGCAGATACATTTTGAGTGGACCAAGAACTAATCTTTTTTAGATCCTTTTATGTTTTTTACGTGGACTCTGATGCTGATTCAGATCACTTTAACTTACTTTTCAGGTTCAACCGCTTCATCAGATAACCTTGATGACACTGGAAGCTTGTCCGCAGAGGAAGAAGATGTTAGTAGTTCAAACACAGAGAAAGCCATTGATGAAGAGCTGCCCGTGATGGAAGAGAGACAGCAGTCGTCTTCAGTCGAGGAGGCGGAGGTGAAAGAAGAAAGCAGCCCACTCACTCAGGAAATAAGAACAGCAGGGAGTGGATACACAGCTGCTGCTGCATCATCTTCAGCCGAGTTCTCTTTACAGCCTTCTGTTAGGCATACTATGCTGCTAAAGAGGAAGGAAGCAATGTTACAGCAAGCAAGGAGGTAACTTAACTGTGTGTTTAGCTTGCTGTTGGTTCTCTCCTTTGCTCCGAGAGGTTTTTCTCTTGGTACGCCGGTGAATACAGCCGTCTCCCCTCCCTTCTCCCCGCTCGGGACTCCTGGTACATTCCTAATTTGAATTCGATCTGGAACACACATTGTCAAGCAAAGTCTGGACAACTCCTTTGCTAAGTCGTGAGTAAACAAGTGACGCTTACAAGTTTTTCTTATGTCTGGTGTTCAACCTAGTAGGGGACATGGTGTTCTGTTGCTGACATACCTGCCAAACAGCTAGGCAAATCTTTAACAAATGAATAAATAAATAAATTGTTGTTGGTTCTCTCTTTTGCTCTGGGGGCGGGGGTTGTTTTCTCCGAGTACTCTGGTTCTCCCCCCTCCTCAAAAACCAACATTTCCAATTTCCAACTCGATCTGGCCTCGGTTGTTCAAAGGCTAGATAGCGCTATCTCTATCCATTGGATAGTGCAGTTAGTGTGCGCAATATATCCTTATCCGCTGGATAGTGATTAAACCGGTGGATAGCGCTTTCCAATGTTTGAACAACCGGTGCCAAGAATAGAAGACGAAGAACTATTATGTGGGTGTGCTACCCCTAAATTATTTATTGATTTATTCATTTGTTTATATATTTATTTAAGGAAAGATTGTGTTACTTGACAAATTGTCGATTCTCTTTTGTTAGGCGGTTCCTTGAAAGGGAAGATTCAAACAAGTCAGAATCCTAGGAATAAATGGAATGGTGTATAAAATCATCCATTGCTGATGGTCCCAGGTCAAGAGGGGAAAAGAGGAAGTGGTTAATCTTATGTCAGTCACAGATCGTTATATCTGTTTGTAGATGCTGATATCAGTATACAGCCACTTTCATGTCTCTTCAAATGTTTGCGTGACAATAAAGGTGAAGTAAACGGGAGCCATGGTATACCTTAAACGATACAGAAAATTTGTGATATACCTAAAATAAATTGATAGTTCTAACTTAAGCTTATTTCTACCTACCCTGTTTCCGTCTGGGAAAGCAGGAAATGATGAAGTTTTATAATAATGCTTCTTTGTCACCAGATCAGGACCAAATCAAACTCACCCTTTTATAAGTCCCGGGCGTAACTATTCATAATACAAACTTACCCACGATACGATCGTAATACTGAGATTTCAGCAACGTTTTCAAAGGGCGTATCCACTCCGTCATTTTGAATGCGCAAAAAGACTTGTGAAACTAAGGTATTTTGGAAAATGTAGTCAGTATGAGTGAGATTTGCTTTACTTCGCTTTGTGCAATTTTGCTGAGCAACTCTCAGACGATGGTTTAATTTTAGTGAAAGTCACGCTGCTTGGATACTTCGGGCCACGTTAATTAGCACGTAGACTTAGTTTAGTTTAGGACCAGCTGGAAGTTGAAAAACAAGACCACGTAAAAGATTATATTTAGGTCCTGTCTGCGCAAGCAAATTTTGTGACAGTTTTTATATGCTCGTGTACGTGAAAAGAAAGGTGCTTTGCAATCTGTGAAAAATGAAGTTGTCTAAAAGTGCTGCTTCACTTTTCTGCGGTACAAAAGCTGTGACATATTCATTTTTGAAAATGTTTTTTAGCTCCTTCTCGCACCTTAGCCATGTTGTGATGCATATCGTCACTGTGTCGAATCATTCCTGGCGAACCTAGGATTAGAAACGAGTGGCTTAAACTGAATTGTCAAACAAAATTTGCTCGGTGCGGACGGGCTTAACCTTATTTTCTCCGATTAAAAGTTGTATAGCTTGACATGGGTTTAAACCATTCAATGTGACGGTTGCCAGAGAAAAGAATATGCTACAACTATAGCTGTGGTGTTGGTCTGTAAGCTGGAATTATGTTGCAACTGTCTGAATTTCTGTAACTCTGAACTCTGCGAAGTACTTTATCATCGCTAACTTATTCTACGACAGAGTGGCTTTTGGGGAGTAGTATTTTCCCCTCCCGAACCTATGGGTGCATTTTTCATGAAACACGAAACACTTGTTTTCTTTCGTCAACTTGTGCTACTATAATCATTAATGTTGGTGGGGCAAACTAAGAAAATTTAAAGACACCCTTGTATTCTTTATCAGTCGATTGTAAATCAAAAACATCAAGCTCTTTTATTTCAACGAGTCCCCTTCATTTCTCCCACTATTGTAACAAACGTAATATTTTCTAATTAAGCTCTCTAGCTTAGTGCCGGAGTACACTTACTGCTTGTCTTTTGTAACGTAATATTTTTCTACTTAAATCGTTATTCGATGTCTTTTAGTAAAAAAAGGTTCTCGAAAATGCAGCCGCATTTCGTAAGTTAAGGGCTGGTGTAGACATACGAAGCAAATGTAAGCTCAAGGCCACTCCCCTTCCGTCAATTGAAAGGTTAAGGGAGGGGTGGGGAGTTGCAACCACGAAGGCGATGCGTCCACAGCACGGAGAACGTCCCAAAAACTATGAGATTGATAAGGAAAACAGTGTTTTGTACACATGCGTTTCACATTTTGTTACATTTCGCAAGCGTTTTCTACAAAACTGCTACGTCAGTTAAGATTTAAGAGAACGTGAAGATTTCTCGGGGAATATGTAAATAGTGCAAAAACAATAAAATCTAAATCTAAATCTTACATTGTTTAGTTGAAAAGAAAATGTTCTGGGTAGTTAAGTCATAAATTGGAACGATTTCAAAGTGATTTAGAACAGTAATACTGCATTTTTATTACCACGGTTTGCTTAGCGTTGCTATCGTAGTTGCTAATAGTTACCAATATTATAATTACACCGTTTCGCCACTTCTACTTACTGTAGATAGGTTTGTAACATTCTAGAGAGAAACAGGGTACTTTAATACGACTTGACTTCACTTTGAGTTGTTTACTAAAATCATCCCTCATGCTAAAGATCTAGCTTAACGATTTGGTACGAGTTTTGCTAACTCTATACCTCGAGTAAATCCGAGGAATTAGTGCGGGTATTAAGCTGTTGAAATAAAACACTAGTGTGAACTTCAACATGAGTGAAAACCTCTCAGGTTTATTTTTCCTTTGTAATAAAACTAGACTTAAATATGGTGTTGTTTATTTGGTCTTGTAATGTAATTCTTATGACTTGGCATCCTAGGTCGTACAAACCGAGTTAAAAACAAAACAAGAATGCTGTTACAGCGGCGTCGGTCTCGCTTGCTTGGAGATTAGATCGAGAAATGAGGCAGCCTGCGTAGCAGGTGCTTGGAAGTAGTGGGCAACTTCCAAGCGCCTGCTACGCAGGCTAGAAATGAGGAGGCGATTTATTTTACACGAAACAGGATTTACTCGCTTAAGGTTTTTACTTCCTACTTTATCGACGTCGATACTTTCTATTTGTTTCTGAATTGATTTAGTACGCGTGTTAGCGACGACCAGAAATACGTCTGCGGTCGCAGGCTATAGGCGTGTAAAAATACACGAAAATTCAAAGGCCTCGATTTCAGAGAAATTACATCATTGCCAGAGATCAAAAAAATGAATTTACATGGCACGTCAATCATCGCTGATAATAAAACGCATGTTCATCACAAGAGTCATTGGCATACAATGAAAGTTTGCAACACCCGAACATCACAGGTTTGCTTATTAAGATTCCTATTTTTTTTTTTTCGACCACTCAGTAGTGTTTACTTGTCCAAAGTAATCAAAGCTTTCAAGCGATAGAATTCGTGGACCGACGCGTTTCGGAAAAGCTCGAAATTTAATCTTTCCTAAACATGCGTGGCTTCGATCACGCCGCGATTCTTAGTCCCAGTTTCCACGGTCTCCGCAAGAAACGCCCGGCACAATGACCTCATTTTGCGTCCAAAATACGACGAAAAACGCGTTGCAGATTATGAGCCTCGCTGCTTAGGCAAGCGAGACTAATAGGTTGGCGAGGCCCAGAGCCACTTTAATTTTCCAAACTCTAAGATGGCTCTAAGGCCCCAGGCATTTTTTAATTAACATAGTGGAAACTGAATATTGACAAGCTCATTGCCATAAAAACTTACCCATCTCAATACCCCAATTTATCGGGACCGTTTTTATTCTATCAACTTCAACCTCACGTGTCATATGTTGCAGGAGATGTGAAACACATTAGTGCTGAAACCCGTATCAGCCGCTAATGGTTACTTGGTATTGCAGATGGTGCAATCATAAGATGATGATGTAATAGACTGCGAGCAGTCTCTCTTTTTCTTCAGATTTAGTGAGAGCAATGCACGCGCGCGGGAGCGGCGAAGCCGCGAGACGCGCGAAACGAGGGCGGCATTGCGTGGCCATTGCGTGTCTCGCGTTTTGCTCGACGGACTACAGAAAAAAAAGAGACTGCTCGTAGTCTAATGATGTAATAAGGCACTGAACAAAATTCACACCACAACACAAAAGCGAACTAACAATGGTTTCCGAGACCCGAAGGCAGGTCGGATTCATCGATCAACATCCACTGCAACGTTGGTGCTGTCGACTTTCCGAATTACACTCAGACGGGGGGAGTTGGGGAGGGGGGATGCGGCTGGTTAGGGGCTGATTACATGAACCGGGCAGGCTTGTTTTGAAAATATATAAAATATCAGCAAGTCCACGGCAGCAAACCAATGGGTGATGCCGGATCTCCCAGTTGTAGACTTGGATCAGTACAATTAAACTTGTAGAAAAGCATGAAACGGCAAACTGATCCTTACGGCATGGCGATGAAGAAGTAGACAAAAGAATAAAACAAAAAATATATATATTTAAACAACAGGTCAGTGCCGTTTAGCTAATTTATACTTTTCTAGCCAAACTACTAGGTGTAAAATTCAGTTGGACAGTGATGAAAGCCATGAGGATAAAATTGAATGGCAAGGGTTGATTTCCGAAGGTCACATGATTTCACACTTTTTACCTCTTATTGGCCATAATTTTTTGTTGGTGTATTACTGGTTTGAGTATAAACGCAACTTTTACAAATATTGCCTTTATTACACTTGGGTCCAAATGTTATTACAGGTAGGACTTTTATTAAGCTTGGGTTTAAAATATTATTACCGATAAGACTTTCTTACTCTTGGGTACAAATGTTGTTACAGATGGGACCTTTATTACACTTGGGTCCAGTTATTACACTTGTGCCTTCTACAACTTAAAATGAGGAGCGTGGCTGTCATTTATTGCTGGTTTTCAGTGTCACGCCATTCAAATTAAATCAAAATAAAAATCGAAACCGTTCAATAGATAAAGTCCAGAATCTGGGAAATGAAAGGAGGTAAATATGCAAAGACCCTCGCCAAGATTCAGGTCAGAGGAATATTTCGTATACAAGATATCCGAAGAAATGTTTTAACCAAATATATAGAGATTTGTATCTAGCCTCTCACACAGGCGTTTTTATGGGAGCTCGTCTTTTATCCCTCCCCTGTGGGGAGGGATGAAAAACAAGCTCCCCCAAAAACGCTTGCGTGGAAGGCTAGTGCCCATCCGGAAGGGCACCAACATGGCGGACGGAAACAAACAGAAACATCTGTTACCGAGTTTTGCTACAAAAGCATGAATTTATTCTTCGAGGAACTCATAAACACTAAAGTAATACTTTTTCTAATACATAAACTATTTAGAAAACAAAATTTATTGAAATAAGTCATTTTTTAACCAACATGACATCTCTCTTGGCCGATAGTTTTGTAGTTTGAGTTTTAGTGACTAAAATTCAAACTAAAAAACTATCGATCCTACCGAGATTTTACTTTCACGATGTATTAGAGCAGCTGAAAACTAATTTTCATACAGATTTTCGCTTCAAAAAGGTTCTTAGTTTTGTGATAGAGTACGCTTGAATTTCTAAGCTTTTGCGTGATGCGGCATTTACATGACGGCCAAGAGAGCTGTCATTTAGGTTTAAAAAAATGACTTATTTCAAGAAAATTTCGCTATTTAAACAGTTCCTGTAATAGAAAAAGTATTACTTTAATATTTATGAGTTTCTCGAAGAATAAATTCACGCTCTTGTAGCAAAACTCGGTAACAGATGTTTCTGTTGGTTTCCGTCCGCCATGTTGGAGCTCATCCCGTTGAGCACCAGCATGGCGTCTCCATACAAATCTCTATAAGTTTGGGTAAAACATTTCTTCGGATATCTCGTATAAGAAATATTCCTCTGACCTGACTCTTGGCCAAGGTCTTTGTTTATGTACCTCCTTTCATTTCCCAGATTCTGGACTTTATCTATTGAACGGTTTTGATTTTTATTTTGATATATTTCAAAATGGCGTGACACTGAAACCCGAACAGAACAGCTTCTGGTTATTGCGGCTCCCAACGTCAATTTTCAGAAAATATCTGTTCGAAAGACGATTTGAAATCTAGAATTTTCGGAACATTTTTGTAAAATGTCTTGCTTGCATGCCTCTCCTAGGCTTTTCGAACATCTTAAAAATGGTATGATGGCCCATTTTTAACGGATTTTTACCCCAAAAAGGTCACCTAGAATTTTCGAGAGACTTTTCGTGTGGCCGAAATTTTCGAAAAGTTAAGTTTTGGTCCCTATAATTTTCGGATCACTAGACTTTCAGCTAGGAAATCCGAAAAGATAAAAAATGTTCTGGGGATAAAAATATACCTTTGAACTATATATTCTCGTTGGGTATCCCTGTGGATGTAGCAGCTGCTGAAGAGAAGTCACCAATGGTGCGTTTCCCTGACCCCAAACATTACTAAAACAATTGGAAGAATGACATGTGATTGTTTCCTGCGACCAATAAGGAGAGACCTTCACAGCAGCTCCTACACTAATCACTGAAGTGAAAGAAGGACCGGAAGTCGACCAGCTTTCCGAGAATTGGACTGCTGATGATTTCGTTTACGCAGACGGACATCCCTTTGAAATTGTACGACTGCAGTTGAATTAAGGTTTCTTTGCCAGCTGTTGGATTGCTACAATCACCTACTAGGCTTGTTTATCATTTCATCATGGGCCAGTCGAAAAACCTGAGCGTGTTTTCGATTGTTTTCGTCGTGTTTGCGACAAAAATATCGTGTGTGGAAGATTTACTCGGCGAAAATACATGCAATTGGATTTGTAAATCTGAAAGCAGCGGTACAGACGTCAAAGAATTTCGGAAGATCATGTCTCAAGGAAAACTGATGAAGCTGAAAGTGGCGTACAATGAGCGGATAGACCAAGCTTGTGCGAACGAAACAGATGCTACTAGCAACACAACTACGTTCGCGGAAGTTTGGGTCAAAGAAATTGACGCTTCCATTGGAGTCATAGTGTCTCTTAGCTACACTGGCCTAGCCGAGATTTACTCAGGTCAGTTTTTGCTTGGGGGGTACAAACAACAAATGAATGTTTCCTGTGTCTTTAAGTCAACATCTAGACCTGGAACAAACCACCCATCACCGCGACTGGCTTTCTACACTCCTGACTCTGTCATGTACTATGTCGAGCAACTTTCAAACGGCAACTCAAGGAACGCTTCGTTCCTGACCCTTATAAGAACAGAAAATCAAACTAGAATAACAGTCAATGTCCCCAGTAGTTCAGCCAGAGACAGTTCTGCTACGACCAAGGATAAGGAAATAACTGTAAGTGATGAATGGATCTTATTAACTGTCATGATTTTGATTGGATTTGTTCTGTACTCTTCCGCGGTTTTGCTTTTGTGTCGTCCATCAGAAATAACAATACTTCTTTCAAAGGGGAGAACAAGGCGGCAACGATCACATGCTCAGGAGAGAGGTGACGATGAAAACAACTATACAACGGAGAATGGTGACGATAGTCCCCAAGAACATGACTGGAGAACAGAGGATGATGTGTTTTCAGGCTCTCGTCGAGAGAGAAATGAGAATGGTAATGATAGGCCCCAAGAACATGATTGGAGAACAGAGGAAGACGGTGACGATAATCTCCAAGAACGAGAGAGAGCAGAACACGATGTTCCCTCGGCCCCTCGCCTAGTCGACATAACTGATTTCACGCCGCGAGATTTAGACTCGGAAACTAGGGAAAGTGCTGAAACCCATATTTCCAGAGAAGCTGAGACACCTGACGGAGAACATTCAGAGATGGTGGCGTCTGCTCGGAGGCCCGTTCCCTTCAAAGATTTCGGCGAGAAAATACGTTCTCCTTCTGTCCATTTGCCAAGCAAGACCCCAGAGGATCGAGAACTGGGTTCCCTTGACGACGGAGCTATCAGCAGTGATGAGGAACAATCCTGTGTTGCCGCAGATGATAGCCTGGACCCAGCTAGTTATTCTCTCAGAACACAGGATAGAAATTTGATGGCTTCGGCATCTAGTTGGGCTGAGCCACATCCTGTTTACCAGCCGATGGAGCCATTTGAAAACGTTAATGTAAACGGACGCGATGTTTCTACTGAGACAGAGAATAACAGCAACAGTAGGCAGAATGCGGAGAGGTCTAATGAAGAAGCAACTGATGCTTATCCCACCAACTCAGTTGAAGATCTGAACCTTAATAATACAGAAAACGACAACACAAATGGTGAAGTCACTTGTACTGCCGTTGATATTTTTAATTCGTCAGATACGGTTGACCACAATAGTACCACCAATTCATCACAACAAGCCATTTCACACGGGACACAAACCTATGCTCGTATGATTATTGTGGGAGGACCCTCTCCAGTAAGTTTTGGAAGTTGGATAGGTAACACGTTTTTCTCTCAGTTAAACAAAACCCTATTCAGACGGTGGGGAAAATTCATTCTTATAACATTTCTCCCATTTTTAGCTTTCACAAGCTTGGGGGATTTCATTTTGCGGTTCCTACCAAAACTCGATCCAAGGATTGGTTCTTATTTACCATATCCCCACCTAACTGGCTCTATGTTTAACTATCTCAAAAATCATGACCCTATTCTTCTTTTTTGGGTTATATTTTCGTTCATTTGCTATTTTATTAGATCCGTTTTTATACATGGATTAATTTCAGGTAAATTTCCAGCCACCAATACTTCGTGGACGACCTGCTTTGTTCACAGAAGGCATTTTATGTGCTTTGTTAATGACCTTGTTCAGTCACTTCCATCGCAGTTTGCTCTCCCTAAGTCATTTTGTGGGTGGAACAGCCCTTGCCAAGGAGGGCATCTGTTTAGCAAAGCATGCGAAATATTACACATGCTTCATGATACTTGTCATCCCTGTCACGTTTGTAAGAATTCTCCAATACAATGTCCCACAGACCTTCAAGTTCCAGACAACATTTTGCATAACTTGAAGGATTTAACAAATGTTTTCATAAATCATTATAACTGTTTTACCCAGTGCCTTAAAATCGCCGTGCAGGACCTCACTTACGTCCCCGAAGAGGTATGTGGTAACAGATCATTGTTCCTTAAGATCGTTGCTGTTTTGCTCAATATCTTAATTTTTAGCGTTCTTAAGGTCATCTTTTCCGCACTAGCTGTTATAATCCTGCTTTTGGTGGATGTGGTTTTGTCATCTCCATTGTTTTGTCTATGTCATGGCAGAAGGTGGATTTTGAAAGAACGTTTTAACAACAGATTTCTGGGTTCCAGTTTTATTCTCCCCACCCTGGAGATTATTCTCGTTGGTTTTTCTCTTGTTTGGAAAGTGTTTTTCTCGTTAAGCAGTGCTGTTATCGTGAAAATTGTCATTATAAGTTCCATAAAGACACTCACATATCGCCCACGCGAACTTCTACCGCATTTTGCGGTTGTTATCCTCCTCTTTCATTATTTTTGGAGTTGTTACAGTTGTTTTAAAAAACCGTTTTGTGACCTGGTCAGCAAACTGTTCACCTCTTACAGGAAAAAATTTGATGAACTTGAGAAGCAAGGAGGACTAAATGAGCTCATTAACTACAAACAAGGAGAGTATGCTAAACTAATTCCAAAAGAATTGTTTAGTTATGCATGCGAGCATGAGTTGATCTGCATCCGTGTGAGAGACCGCGTGGCCATACTGTTGTTAAAATTAGTATTGCCGTCATTGCTACTTAGCTTTGCTTATCCGGCCATTCACGCACAAGATTCTGAGTCAGGTGGGATTATCGTTCTACTAATAACATTTTTGGCAAGTAGCTATAGCAAAATAAACGATTTTGTCAATGAAGGTGAGCCAGAAGTATCTGAAGAAGATGCCGACAAGGTAGTCGATGACTACAACAAGAAAAAACAATAATTTAATACACGGGTGTCGTTATAATTCGTCATTCCAGTTAAGCTGCTTTCTTAAGAGTTTCCCGAAATCTGTGTAACTTGTGTGAGATAGAAAGGAGGGTTTGTTGTTTAAATCCTGTTGACCTCTGCTGATCCAGGGTATGAGTTGTACCATCTATAACAACAACTAATACCTAGCATATGATTTTAACTTATCTACATATTTGTAATTATATATGTGTCAATTCACTTTTTTACAGTTGTAAGCATGAAGAATTTTAGAAGCTAAGAGAGATTCTACAGCCTTAAATTCCGATTTAACTCTTTAACTTAATTCGATAGGGTATTGCCCTATCAGCCATCAGTACCCTGTGTAAATATAGTTGACAAGACTTGACTTTAACAAGTGCTTTTAATTCACCGAAATTTGTATTCATGACGCTTTTTATAACTTAAGGTTCTTATTTACTTACTTAATAGTGAGAAAATATTTCCTTCAAATATACAGAAGAAGGAGGATAATTTCTGCTAGATTTCAAGGAGTGCCCAAAATGGGACTCAAAGTTTTAGTATTAGACTAAAATTAATATTAGTAAGGACTTTGTATCCTACTTATAATGAAGTACTATAATCATAATCAGACGTCAGGTATTTGTTATAATACTTTTTTGTTTGTTTGTTTATTGTTTATTTTTCCTCCATTTATTTATTTTACAAGCTATTTATAGTGTATTACAAAAAGATGCTGTTTGCAGAATTAAATATCAGGTTACAGGAATAAATGGAGAGGGGAGGATATAGTAAAACTAATTACTTGCCCTTTGATTAAATTGCAGTTTTATTTAGGTTAAAAGAGAAAAAAATACATAATAATAAATACATGTACAGTTAATGATGTATTGTTTCATGATTGACTGAGTGCCAGGTTTCTTTCTTACTCCTCTCATAGCCTGGGTGACAGGCTTAAAGGGGAGAGGGAAGGGGAGAAGTAAATGCACCCTCTCTTCCAACCCCCCTCCCTTTTTCTCCCAATCCCCTACCCATTTCGACGCGCATCACGGGATTTGCTCCAAAAGCTAACACAGCTTATCTGGGATCAGGGTTTGTACTAGGCCACAATATGAACTGAAGCACACACTGCCAAGTGCGCGGAATGGCTAGCACTTTACGCATGCTCACAGATGTACTAGTACTTTGTACTAGGCTCAGTCTCCAGCCTTTGGTGTCTGGATGCACCCGCGGTATATAGTCGGATGGGGAGTACCGCGGGATCATCGAGACACCCAAGGCGGAGACTGAGCCCAGGTTTGTACTGAGGTCATGGAAAACCTGGAAAGTCATGAAATTTAAGAATTACATTTCCAGGCCCGGAAAGTCATGGAGAATTGAATTTACGACTGGTAGATTAGTTGCTGCAGAAAAGACGAGTAATTAAACATTAACATTAACGAAACGCATTTTATGTGCTCGTAAAAGTGCTGCTTCCCCCCTTTTTTATGGTATAAAAGCTGTCACATATTCAGAAGTCGAAAGTAGTATTTTAGCTTCTTCTCGCATCTTAGCGAACGCGCCATGTTGTAGTGCAGGTAGTCACCGTTTTGAATCACTTCTGACGCGCTTTAATACTGCTATAATATGACTTGACTTCACTTCAGTAAGTCAGTTTACTAAATTGATCATCCCGTATGGTAAAAATTTAGTTTAAACTATGGTATGACTTTTGCTTACTCTATTCCTCGAGAAAATAAGAGGAATTAGTGCGGGTATTTAGCTGTTTACCTAAAACACCGGCGTAAACTGCAAAATGAGTAGTTATGAGTGAAACCCCTCAGAAGGTTTAGTTTTTCTCTGCAATAAAACTCGACGTTAATATGGTGTTATTTCTTAGTCTATTTAAAATGTAATTTTTATCGCTCGAAATTTAAGGTGGCTCAAAACTAGCTCCCAACACTGATTTTTTTATTTATTGGAAATGGAATCTTGGCGTTCTTATTGCAATAAAAACTTACCCAACTCAATTCTGCGATTTATCGGGGCCCGTTTTTCATCTATCAACTTCAACCTTGTTTGTCACGTTGCTGGATTAATTGAATCGCATCAGGATTCATGCTTGATCGGTAGCTAATGTCAGTGTTACACGACCCGTGTAACTATAACTAACTGAAACTTCGGCGTTTTGTCAGCTTTCTGAATTACGTACACTTTGTCGACGGGCGCTTATTACATGAATCGTCCGGAGAAAACCTTTTTCCAGGTATTTAAAATACTTATACTGATATCGTTAATTCCAGCTAACCTGGCTGGCTAGGTTGTCATGTAAGGCACTAAGTTGACTTTTTTGAGTTTAATCAACTAATCAACGTTCCACGATCTTCACAAAGCGAGCAATCCCGGCCAACTTTTTCAATCCCATGCAGTCTCCGTACGTGACCCCTCCGACATGCAAACGCCTATCCAAAATATCAACTTTTCCCAAAATATAGTATAGAACCTAACGATCACCTCTTGCGAGCGACTTTTTTTTTTTTTTTTTAACATTTTCTGTTGTTTTAAAAACACCGACCGTGAGCGATCGCTTGACACATGGTCAGTAATCTCTTCCTCGCAGCCTCGGGGATGAAAATTGAAAAATGCCGCACTACACAGCTGTTCAGCTGACCTTTGAAAGGATAGCAAGCTCTGTTATTTGATTTTGAAATATGCAATGTTCGGCTTTTTTTTTGAAAAAATAATTATTGCTTTTCAGAAAAAACGCCGAAGGAGCAAATATTGTCTAGAAATTTCTAAAGCTCGAGAAAGGCTAAAAAATCCTGGATAACCATTCCACTCGTCTAAGACATTAGGTGTTTTTCTAGTATTAAACATACCTACGATTCTTGGGGGTTATGTTTCTCACATTTTATTACCGAGATATTGCGATGATTGTCAAAAAAATGTCTTTTAGAAATTTCGGTATAAAAAGAAAACGGCCCCTAGAATTTTGTAATGAAAGTTCGACTACTCCATGCCGTTGATCATGAACCTTCGACCGGACCTTGATCAGGGTCTATCTGATGAGACTAAAAATTCAACCAAAACTGTGGAGACGACCAAAGTTTCGCCCTAAGACAGTTCCGGTAACAGATTTTGAAATAGTTTTTAGAGTAGCTCCAAATTACCCAAAGAGGCTTTTTAATTAAGCATAGACAAAACCATTTCAGACACGCACTTCTGACTTCTTCATTTGGTGGAGGAAAAATGACAGGCATATTAGAGCGTGGTGAACCTGTGCTCTGCCCCAGATCGACCCCAGGCCACCCACCTGTCAATTTTTTTATGTGTGTGCGGTGTGACTCGGACTGGTGTGTTAAAAGTGGACTTTGCTTAGACGCGTACAGTCTGCATAAGCGTTTACGATTACGTTTTGTTTGCTCATCTTCATCGTATAAAGACGTGAATTTCGAAGAGAGTTGAGGTAGGTGTTTCCTCTTCTTTACTTGGTACACTTTTACGTTCTTAAAATACAATAGCGTGTAAAACAATTAGAAACGTTCATGCTTGCAAGCAGTGGAGCTACACATCCCATAAATAGCTAGTAATTTCATCCTCATAGACCGATTTTGATTTGCAAAAAGGCCATGTCGTTTTCAGGGATAACCGAACTCGACCGATCACAGTCAGTCAACTCATGTGCTACATGAAAGCTTAGATTGTAAGAGATGTAATTGCGTTTTCAATGCATGCAAGACTTTATTGCTCATCTTGCTTTGTGAGGAATCTTTTTGTTAACTCTCTAGAGAGACCAAAAAAACCCAGAATGAACCATGGATTTCTTCCTTTAAAACCGTCATGATAAACTTTTGGAGTTGGAATGAGCTGATCCTTGCGAGTTTTGGACCAAAATACAAAGGTGAAATAAATATGGCAACGATCACGCGAAAGGTCAACACTGGCCATTCCATGAGGATCATTCATCAGCAGGACCGTAGCAAGGCTACACTAACACATGCAATCCGGGAATGGATTCCCTAAAAGGGGGTAGAGGGGGGAATTCCTGGGAATTCTTGGTGGGGGTGTGCCACTTGTTTCTCCAAATCCTGACCCTATTTTTGACCAAAAAATGTCATTATTCACACTCGAAAAAGCACTTTTACAAGTAATTTTTATTCACTAGTTTACAGGTTAAAATAATATACAAATATTACCTTTTTACTTTCATTTGACGACACATTTCAAGAGCAGTAGTAGTCATCCTCTGACCACAACACATGATTGTCCCCAAAATTACTCAACATGTAACTAACCCGTGACGTGACAACAGTTTCTGGCATTTAGCAATAAGTTTAACTTTTTCGACAAGCTTAATGCTGATGTAATACTGCAGGTGCAATTGCGTTTCCGTTGAAGTCTGTATTTTACATTGAAGAGGCTTATTAAACATAGTCACATTATTTTGATGTAAGCAGTTAAGGAATCAAGCAAATGCAGGTGCAGTTCTCTCTTCTCTTTGTACTCCACTGAGCCTTGGTTCTGATCTCTTGCGTAGGTTATCTTGGATAAATAAAATAATTTATTGAAGACTGTCGAAGACAACCCAGAAAAGACACCTTGAAAAAATGATGACACCATTCAGTGATATAAACTTCACTGTAGGTTTAAATGTCAAGTCTGTCTTACATAACTTACCTCTTCCTAAAAAACCTAATTGTCGGTGATGTCTCAGATTTTGTTTTTCTTCTCGCTTTGCTGTACCTTGGGTGTTTGTATTCATTGCTGAAAGTGGTATGAAGAGTCTTTTCACTGAAATCAACTCCTCAAGTCATACAGCAGTATTCTGTGCCCAGATAACTTATGTTTTTATTAATATTTTGTTATTGCTTATATAATTTTTTCAAAACAGTCGCTTGGAACCTTCTTTTACACATTCCATATTCCATTTCATTTTCCTTTTCTGTTTCCGTTTCCATGATTCTGTGTTTTATTGCTGACCTATGCACATACACTTGTGCGTACACTGCTGAAATCTGGAAGAAAATGTGTTTTTTTTTTATTAAATTCCTGATCGCATTTTCATCATATTAAATTGGAATGAATGATAAATTTTTCTCATTATATTGGTGCCTTTGTGTTAGTATTTCATTTATCATTATTTTTATTATTCCATAACACTCTAGAGATGAGTAAAATAAACAATTAACTACTGCATTTTCCTTCCTATTTATTTACTGAAACTGTCCTGCAGAAGATGCACTCTGTGGGGGAGCAGCCCCCAGATCCCCCTACTATAAAAATCATTTGCCTAACACATAATTCTGTGTATTAAAAAAATAAAAATGTCATCTAAGAGTCATTAAAGGGTCGTTAATGTGTGGGTTAAAAAAATGTAGCCACCCCATGGGGTGTACCACTAGAAATTATGGGAATGATGGAAGTCTATAAAAGAAAAAAAATTATTAAAGGAAAGTCGACCGGTAGGTAAAACTGGAATATTCCAGTAGGGTCAGTGGTGGGGGAGGCTAGTGATGGATCAGACCAAAACCTTCCTTGAGGTAAATATTGCATAAAATATTTATGCAATCCAACGTAAGTTTTCATAGCCCTAAAAATAATATTAAAAATCTATTAAAAAAAGCTTTTGTAATGCTTCTAGGTAACTTAAATCCTGTGGCATTCAGGATAAACAGCTTACTATGTTTAGTACATGTAATAATCTTCCATGATTGTTATGCAATAGATCGCCAAGTTGCACCATGACATCAGAACTCCCCTCATTGTCTGGAAAAGTGTGCATTGTGACAGGAGCATCTCGGGGTATTGGTAAAGGTATTGCCTTGATATTGGCCAAGGCAGGAGCCACTGTGTATATTACAGGTCAGTTTGACTTTTCAGGAAATTGTCTTATGGTTTGATAAATCCTCTGTTAAAGGCTCCTCTCTGAAAGTCAAAGATGCTGAAAGGTGTGTACTCCTGGAACATTTTGGCCATTTGCAGCATTGTTCCCTGAATCCCTTACCCTATCATCATAATATATTTATCAAAACATAATGTGATTTCTCCTACCCTGTTTCAGACTTGACCTGCCTTTCCAAAAAGACATTATTTTAATTAGTCAAGCTTGCTTAGCAGCAAGACTGTAAAAATGCAAGCATTTCTTTTTTGTTTTTTGTGTGTCCTCGCCGAATAAGGATCACGGTCCCAGGTGTTACAAGCAGAGATCGTGGAAATTGGGGATTAGAATGGTGATGTGTCCGACAACATATTACTCGGAGTACCATACATGTTTTGTGAAGAAAGCTTAGGAGAGATTAATGGGAAAGATGTCAAAATTTTCCAGAATGGGTGGGTCCATGAATCCTATTGCTTGAAAGCATTGATTGCATTGGAACAAGTGAATACTTTAGAGGTCGGACAAAAAAAAAGAAAATTCTGGGAGTATTCCCCCCTGTTCACGAAAACAATTAGCACCAAAATATAGAGATGTTAGGTTTAATGTTACTGACTCCCCCCCTTCCCACCAAGAAAGCTGGTCAAGTGCCATATTGTTAATGTTTGTGAAGTTATATCAGCCATATAATGACTAGACTTTGTCCTACTAAGCTAACGAAAAGTTATTTGTTATTAGCGACTTCCATTTGTACTGATATTTATTTTTTTTTTTAGCTCTGCCCACATTTTGCTACTGTAGGGTGGATTTAAGGTTATTTTAAGGGGGTGGGGGGGGTGGTTAAAGTTTCACTAAGCTGAAACTGTGAATTGACTTAATATTTCTAAATTTAAGTAGACATGACAAAAACCAACATACTTGTCCAATACTCTGATAAATTTAAGCTTGGCTTTGTTAAATTTCTCATTTCTTGCCTCGTTCTTTATTGTTATGCTTTTGTACAGTATCAAAATTTGTGAAGACAATACATTACAATGCCATGCATAAATTTGTTGGAGTATTGGACAACCCTTAAAACCTAGGGAAAATTAACTACACAAAAATTAGCTATTAATTTAATGACTTTCTAGTGATTAAAAGACTCTTTCTAAGGGCTAATAATGATTTCCTGGGGGTGTTACCCCCAGACCGGGCCCCTAGATATTCCCACTTTCAGCAGACATTTTGGGGGCCCCTAAAAAATAAATCCTAGATCTGCCCCAGATATGTATGAACATGTAGTTTGTAAAAGTAGTATTTTTTTTGGTAGGAAGGACTCTTGAAGCCACAGAGGGTAAGCCTGGGTCACTGCGGCAAACAGCTGAGGAGGTATTCAGATTACATTCTGTAGCTTTTGCAATTGTCTTTTCATACTCGCTCAATACCAGAAAATTCTGGCCTTAATTTTAATGTTGAAGTTACTCAGCAAGGCTGCAAAGAGGGGCTGCTCAGAAAGGATTTGTTCAGGTCACCTTACATGTAGTTGGACAAACCAGAAGAGTGAGCCTTTCTATGGGTATACCTGTGGATGTCATTTTTGTCAAACATTTTCCATCAAATCGTCAGTTTTTTTCAACAAAATTGTCGTGTATGAAGAATGGTTAAATTGCATGGTAACGCTAAGGACTAGCACTCTCAAAAATGAGAAACCATGACAATGACAAAGGAAACTGTAACAGGTTTAATCAGCGTAACAAAAACTCTGAACGTAACCTGCTGTAGCACACTTTTTGGAAGATTTCTCTGCTTTCATCGCACAACTGTTATATGTTGTCAAATTTTGCCAGAATGCAAATGTGGTCGTAGTTTTAATCTCTAAGAACAACATCTTAGAATCCTTGTTTGATCAATAGTGATACTTGCGACTCAGTTTTTGTCCGAATTACCCATGGAGAGGTTAATTGTTGGGCATAAAGTATATGTTGTAGTTAATTTTTTATCTCAGGTAATTTTTGTTTTTCTTTTGTTTTTGGGTATGGTAATGTATGCTAACGAAGTTGAAACAAAGGAAAAATAAAAATTACCTGAGATAAAAAATTAACTACAACATATATATATCATGTTGACTATTCAGTTAAAAACTTAAGCTTCAAAAGGACAGTCTTTGGTATAAAATGTGAGCTGTCCAGTCATCACTTTTCTATGGGTACTTTTAGAATAGTAAAGAAACAGTACAATTTAAATCAATGAGCAACATTCAATGTTAAAATTTGCAGTTAAACCATTCGCTGAAATGTAGTGGCTCACAGGAAAACAACTGTAGATGGAATGATTTATACAACTGATTACTTTTCTGTTGTTATATTTTCTTAGAAGTCAATTTTATGTTCATCCTGCAAGAATTCTTATGAACCAGTGATTAATTTTTTTAGATAGGGCAAGAGAGTTCTGGACAGTGTATACCAGTTAAGTGTGACCATGGAAATGATGAAGAAGTCCAAAAGTTGTTTGATCAAGTCAACAAAGAACAAAATGGACGATTGGATATCCTTGTCAACAATGCCTTCAGTGGAGTGAAGGTATAGACTTTTAAATTAACAAATAAATGATAAGTTAATAAATAAATAAATACATGTACCATTTGAACTGGTAGCACATCCAAAATATTTTAGGGTTCGTACTCCTTTGAGCTCTTCAAATTCCTTGACTTCCCATGACTTTTTCCATGACCTTAGCTTTAGCTCTCATTTTAAAATATTTTCAAGACTTTCCTTGTTTCGGGGATATTTTTTGACCTTACTCAATTCAACAGATACAAACTGTTTGTCCACCAAAAATGCGTGCCGTTTAGTTACTCATCTCAATCTTACATTGTCCATACTTTGACATTCTACAGTAACTAATTCACCAAACATAACTTTTATTTTCCATGACTTTCCAGGACCAACAATTAAATTCCATGACTTTTCCAGGCCTGGAAAAAAATGAAGTTCTTAAATTTTATGGCTTTCCAGGTTTTCCATGACTGAACCGTACGAACCCTGCAATGTGTTTCTTTATCCTCCTTTCTGATTTACCGGTAACATTGCAGAGTAGATATAAAAAATGTTGTCTTGTTTCCATTGCAGAGACCTCATTCACCCAAAAAGGCCACATGTGAATTAAGTTTGCTGTTACTTTCTCCTCCTAGCCTGCGAGCAAGTTCTCCTGGGGCAATCTGGCGGTGGGGCAAAAAAGGAGAGAGGTTTGAAAGGTTTCAGGCCAAAAAAGGAGTCTCGCCTTTCAGCCTGTAAGCAAGTTCTCCCGCGGGAACATAACATCATTGCCTCATTAAAAATCAACCAATCAGCATTTCGCATCCCATTCTGGGACGCAGATATTCAATTTTATGAGATGCGAGTGCAAACTCCCCTTTCCCTTTTCCCTCTCCCATCCCCGTACCCCCGGAAACCCCAGGAGAGCTTGCTCGCAGGCTAGGAGGAGAAAGTAACAGCAAATTTAATTCACATGTGACCTTTTTGGGTGAATGAGGTCTCTGCAATGGAAACAAGACGACATTTTTTAAGGGAGAGGTGGGGGGTTGTTCTGGGCCTGTAGGCCTTTTTTTCATTTTCGCGGCACTGAAACCGGAACCCGCACTTGAAAAGTGTCTGGCATCGTATGCTTATAGTGAACATGTTACTGACAGTTATTTTTGTGTTATGCTTAGCCGATTTTTGATAATGCTGGAAAACCATTTTATGAACAGGTAAGGATTTATTTTGATAAGTGGCAGTTTTGAAGAATTCTGCTTTCACGAAATATTAATCTATATTTCTCTTGGAGGTCAAACATTTAATAAACTTGCAATTGAAATATGGAATACATTTCAAGCTCATAGTCTTGCCAGTTAAACAAACCCTAAACGATAGTTTTGCAACCGTCACTGGCTTCAGTTAAACGTGAAAACATGTGCAACTTTCTTTCTCGTTAGAAGCGCTTAAAATTCTGATGATCGACCTGGAACTTAACTGACCATTTAACATGCATCTCCGTAAATGTCATCCATTGCCGCATAACTCGTACACTTATGCAGAAAGACCTAGGTTAATAAGACATAACAGAGAGAACACTAGGCAAAATCTTTGGTCTAAATGTTAAAAGAAATTGCCAAAACGCAATCGAACCTGTCGCGAGAAATTTTCATCTTCGGAATCATGTCATGTTGTTTGAAGTGTTTAGAGCATAACGGTGCTTATAGAGTATTTTCACATGACGTCACGGCGGCCATGTTGGTGTCTTAAAGCAATCCTGTAGGAATTGAACTCTTTTCTTATGTAAACACTCTTTTGTTCCAATAAATTTGCATAGATGCTGGCCACGTGAGTGAAAACGCTCCATATTTGGAATTCAAGTGATACGAAAAACGTTTTTAAATTATAGCGAATAGCATGACATGGCCCCCTTTACGAATCTGTGGTTGCACCCAACGTGTTTCTGTCTTCCAAGCCTCTTTTATTTTCCTCTGTCTCTTTCTCTTCCCTCCTTCTTTCCTTCACTCCTTTGTTCACAGTTTTCGTCTTTTCTTTAGCCTGCAAGCATGTGGGATCAATTGAATAATGTGGGGCTCAGGTAAGCACATTCATATGTTTAAGGAATAGTCTGTTACAGGGATTGTTTTATTTACACGTTTCAATACTTTCTTGACTCTCTGAATTCAGTGGCCACCTATGGTTTCACGTGAGACTTGATTGAATTGCACCACGGGATTGTTTTTATTTGCGAGGTTGCAGAGGACCCTGGGTCAAAATTAGTCCGCCAAAACAGTCCCATGACGCACTTTGACATTACAACTCGGACCCAGCCTTTTGCGAAAACTTGCTCAAAATGGCTAACTCCTCCGAAATGACTTGTGCCCCATTCACACCGAAACTTCTTTATATAGAGATTCGTTATATCGAGGTTTCACTATATCCTCCTTTGAGACTGTTCATGAGATAAGTTTGAATGCTCTTCAAAACTGGTGTCCTGTATTACCACTGTTCAATCGGCTAAAGAAGACCAAGGGATTTGGTGACCTAATAAAATTAGTCTTCGCCCTGGGTTCTTTACTTAAGCAATAGATTACACCTTCTATGGGTTTACTGGCGTGATAAGCCACGTGGAATGTTGGGAGAACACTCGAAAAGTGTTCGAACACTCGAAAATCACGAACCGAGGCGAGTGATTTACAAGCTTTTCGAGTGTTCTCCCAACATCCCAAGTGGGTTATCACGCTTGTAAACCCACAGAAAGTGTGGTCTATTGCTTTTATAAAATAACTTTAGGTAAACTATGAGTTTACCGGCGCAATAAACCATAGGTTTTTAACCAATCAGAACGTGCGTACTATCGTAGTTATTTTATAAAAAGATATAAACAAATGGTAGAGCGATTTTTGTTTGACCTTGAGATGAAAACACGCGAACAAAACTGAAACAACAAACGAAAGGAAATAGAGCGATTTGATTGGTTTATCGACCGGATACAAACGCGCGTGGCTTTTGATTGGTTAAGCGAACTCTCGGGTGAAAAAATTTCATGCCCTAGAACTTTCTAGAAATCAATCGATACTTCAGTTTGACCTCATACTGCAACACGATTGGCCAATCGAACAATGTCTTCTCCATATTAAAATTTTATTTGGCGGGAAAACGAAGAGTCCATGTTTTGATCTTTTCATCCATTGGCTGATAAAACAAATAACGGACACTTACCAAAACCATTTTTCAAGGTCATGCAAAAATCGCTCTATCCTTTGTGTCCCTTTTCTCCCTCTAGGTCTAATTACATTGCCGCGTGGCATGCAGCCAAGATGATGGTTCCAGCAAAGCAAGGACTTATCGTCAACGTTTCGTCGTTCGGAGGACTGAGATATCTCTTCAACGTTTCATATGGTGTAGGAAAAGCTGCGGTAAGACACACTACAGTGGAACTCGGTCAATACTAACACCAGAGGGACATGCCATAGTGTCCTTACAATCCGGGTGTCCATATTAAGCGAGCTCTCAGAAAAACACCTCACGGGCACATATTTTGTCGATGCAAAGAATTAAGCAGACATTTTAACGAAAAAGAGTTGTTTAATTACTTAACTATCCTAAAGAACTATTTCGATCGTATGTCATTGTCTCAGACTAAAATAACCTTTTAAGTATTGTTCTTGAAACACGACATCGTACAATGGAATCCATGACTTTACGTTCTATTGACGCTTTTTGTTTGCGAGGCTCAGCCAGGCGCACTGAATATTAGGCAGACTTTTTGAAAGGTTACTTGCCTGTTTTTTGTAGGTTTTCATTGGCAAGACATTTAAGTATAGACAGTGCGCAGAAGTGAACTGTCCCCTATCGGGGTTGATGATGTATGAGAGTTTGTGACTCGGGACACAGAAAAGTGTCCGTTGTCCGTATAAATCGGTGCGGTTTATGAGAAAATATATGAGCTTTTTGTCGGGACAAACAAAACTGTCTGTTATATACCGGTGTCCCTAAAGCGGGGTTCCACTGTACTTTTTTATGTGCCTTTTTACTTAAGCACCAAGAAATTGTTTTTGTCGGTTTGTCGTATAGGGGGGATGCAAGAACGGTGGGTGAGCTGTAGTCTTCGGGTGCTTCATGACTTTTGTAACAAGTGTGGAAAAGACTACTTGATACTCTCGAGTGCGGGATAGATAATCTGATGAAAATGGCAAGCAATTGAGAGGTTTTTAAAGTTAAAGTTCAACAATGCTATGGTCTTCCTGAATTAATGCGTTTAAGACACTATATGGCAAAGCTAACATGGTACAACTTTAGCCTACAGATTTAAATTGAATTCAGTTCTATTAAAACTCAAGGGAACTATATTTGCGGTAGTTTTTTTTTTCTTTTTTTTCCTGGGAGTTTGTGTTTGCGGCAATCAATTGAGAACCTTTCAAGAAACTCGCCAGAATTTCCAAGCGATATGTCTTGACTTCTGCCGCTTAATCGCATGTTGTTCTGAATTATGATTTAAATATTGGGTCCTATTTTAGGGTCACCTTGAATGCATCAATATTAGGTATTAAAGCGTTGTTATCTTACATAGAATGATCGAATGGCTGCGGACATGGCTGTGGAGCTGAAGAAACAGAATGTTGCCTGCGTGTCACTTTGGCCTGGAGCTGTGATGACTGAACATGTCAATGACTTTTTAAGCCAACCACAAGATGAGATTGTAATTTTTTTTTATATTTATATTTCTTACCCCCGAAAAGAAGCGTTTTATCAGGTCTGAGGCACGATTCGTAGTCAAGTGTGTTTAGTTGTACTAAAACAAAAACTTCAATGTTATTTGGACGCCTTTACAAATTTTTTTCTAGATCTGTTTATCGACCGCAATTGTCAACGAAGAAAGCTAAGGTGTATAGAAAATAGCCGTTTACACGATTTAGGAACAGATACTCATCAAGTAAAACTTCCGCCTTGCTTGTGTAAAGGCAACTTTTATAAGTTTCTGTAAATTTTAAAGTGGAATTGCCGTCATTGACTTACCACGTATTTTCGGATGAAGTAACTCGAAATATTACCAAGACTATTGTTATTTTCCAAAATTCTTGAAGATGATCGTTATGATTTGTTATTGATTACACAAGCACGATGAAATATTCGGTTCAGTTCTGTTTTCTTTAAATTAGTCTACTTGTTGTTTTGTTACTTTAAAGTCCAGCAAGGCAGCTGCAGTTTTCAAAGATGCTGAGGATCCAACATTTTCAGGCAAGGCCGTGGCTTGGTTGGCTTCAGGTATCATTACAGTCGATTTGTTAAACCCTCTAATCCCCGATATCAACATAGAAATTCTTCAGACTGATCACCATGCATTTCCATAAAAAAATTAGTTCAGAAAATCTGTTAAAAGATCAAAGCGTTTTCTCTTTAGTGATTGTTGTGTTAAATGTCAAAATCTTTTCTCTTAATGACGTATGGATAGTTTGTGTTAAGAGAAAATTGAGGTTAGTCACTCTTTTGGACTGGAGGGGTCAAAGAAATATCGCCACCCTCCTTCAATCTTTAATTCGTGGAGTATTTGTTTATTAATATTCATTTATATATTTATTTATTTATTGTCGGAGACTAAACACAGACCTCCACGCTGTCGCCTTATCTGTCCACGAGTTATGAAGGCTTTGCACTTTGTATTGCAAAATCAAATACTCCTGGGAAGTCTCGAAAAGCTAATACATCATAAAAATCTTAAAGCAAATATGATATATTCTGTGACTGATTTCTGTGAGTTTTAACGACCAGTCGGAATGCCATTTTGAACAACAGTCAGTGGCAATTTTTCTCTTTTAACATGACACATTTAATCTAACCTGTGCTTCAATACAGCCGCTCTAAATACAGGCTATATCTAACGGACGGACCATTAAAAAACTTAGCGGGAGGGGGGCAAAGTACGAAAAATTATTCGTGCTGGGGAAACACCATGCCCCAATCGTTTCTGTTAGGGAAAATTACATGAAATAAATCATGCACCCCAAGAAACACTAAAAAATATTCATGCACTGACCTAAAAAAATTCGTACAAAAAATTCATGCGGCTCGAATGATTCCCCACCCCTCCCCTTATAACTTTACTAATGGTCCGTCCCTAACATTTGAAAGCTGCTCACTGGCTTGACAGTTGTGACGTTAATCGAAGCTTTTTGTTAGGGAATAATTGAAAACTTGGCTTTTTGAAACTGAGAAGCGGCTGCTTATTCATGATTTTTTTTAAGATCTAGGAGTATGGTGCTATTTAAGTCAGTTTTTAAAGTTTCCAAAAGCCGTAGCCATGTTGTGAATTACTCTTTTAAATTCATTTTACCATGCAATTATATATATATATATATTTTTTTTCAGCCCATGAAAGCCAATCGCTTATCGAATGTTACGGGTTTTGGGGGTAGCTTGGAAATTTTGAGCCCAGTGTAGTAGAAACAGCGGCAAAGTGAGTTTAGACTAGTCACCAGTCTTCTGGTCAGTCTCGCTCACACCCTATACTCTACTGTTTAATGCTAGTCCAGTTTTCTATTCCCTTTTCATATTTAATGATTGATTCCGATGATCAGTTTTTGATATTTCCACAACGTTAGATCCGAACATCATGAAGAAGAGCGGGCGCATTCTGTTAACAGCTGAGTTGGGGCGTGAATACGGCTTCAAAGACGTCGGAGGTGAGTTAATAGGGAGTTTTAGGGCCTGTTTACTTGGAGTTAAGGGACCCCAGATAGGTGAGGTAACCCGCCAGTCCTTATAAACTTTCATATGATCACCCCACCTATCATGTAAAAGTGATCAAACTAAAATGAGACATTATGTTGTCAGGCGGGTTACCCCACCAACAACAACTCTACACTTGTTGTTCAAAACTTTTTTTGTTCAATTTTGCCGTCACAGCGCGCCAACAGCGACCTGAGAATGCCTAGTTTTACGTTTGACAGAGGACTTGAAAAAGCGATTACGATTTTTTTTTCTCATTCTGAACTTGGATTTGGTTCTGAGGGAATCAATTCCAGGAGAGATTGCTTCAGCTGTCGCTTGCAGTTGACAAAGTGAGCGAGCTGGAATGATCGCGATGATAGAAAGAACGCGAATTTACTTTTTAAGCGACGCTCTTTTTCATTGCACTTTTCTGTTTGTAAACAGCAAATATGGCAGTGGAGTCCGTCCAGATCGATCGCTCATGAAAAATTGTTAGTCCCTCTGCGATACTCTAGCATACATTAATCAAAATCCATTTATTCTTTTAGGAGTCCAGCCATTGTCATATCGACAAGTCAAGAAGCTTGTCTCATATCAATATCCTTCCGTGTCGTGGATGATCCCTGAGTTTGTTTATGTTCCCGGCTGGTTAATGGCAGTAAGCAGTCATAAGTTTTGATGGCATTTATATGTGAGATATCCAGCTGTCTGTCAGTGGATGAAAGAAGTTTGTGACCACTGTTTAAATTCAGGCGCATTGTTGATTAGAGACGTAATTTCCTGATTTTTGGTGAATTCGCTGTAGAATCACAAGCTTTTTTGTACCTAATAATCCAGAAACTTCAATCCAAAAATGTAGTTTTTCTTATAGCGGGTGAACTGGAATATTGGCAATTTCTGGGTTGCCTTAAGCCTGTTTCTCAGCGAGACTATGTGCAAAGCCACTGATATAAAAGGACTTTTTATTCTCATGCAAATAAAACTCATTTTCACGTGAAAGGTTTTGCACTTAGCCTCGTTTTGAAAGTAAAAGTTTTTGGAACTCGGAAATGGCTTGGGTAGATGGATAATTACCCAATGGCCGTTTTTATTCTAAGGACGCATTATCCGTCTGGACGAACTTGGGCAAACATTTTGTAGTTCGTCTAGGTTATGCGTCTCTGGTTTAAAGACGGGCACAAGACGCATTATGCGTCCAGACGAACTACCTTTCATAGTTAGTCGTCGTTCAAGACGTATTTCGAAGGAAAGTTCGTCCAGACGCATAACCAGACGAACTACAAATGTTTGCCCAAGTTCGTCCAGGTCGGATAATGCGTTCTTAGTATAAAAACGGCCAAAGGCGCGTTACATTAGGTGTTAAAAGAAAAAAACCTCATTGAAGTGATGGTTAAAATACTAAAAGGAATGTTGAAAAGTATTGCATTAAGTTACTCTTAGTTTTAACATATTTAATATGTTATCACAGTTTTTAATATACTTTTGAAGAGTGTATACTGCCTTTTACAGCCAACGCTTATCGGCGGATTCAGATCTTTATGTAAGTTAGGGGAATGAGGTCCCCCGGGCCGCTCTCTTCTATATCAGCCGTTGACGCCAGCTGGAATGCACAAAGACGAAGGTTTTAGGAACTGGATAATATTTCCTCAGATAAGATACAACGCTTGAGTAAGTGCTCTTGACCGAATGCTTTTCCTTTTCCCTCGGCCGCTGGTTATTGGGAATGGATAATCTTTGCGTTTAAAATTTGTCAGTCGTGTTTTGTACGTGGCGGAACGGTAGTACACAGGAAATCAAATGTATATTAGCATTAATGAGAAAAAAATAAATGTATTTTCTTGGATGTGGAGAGTTTAAGATAGCTAATATAAAAGTGAAACAATTTATTGTAGATAGCTATTAAGCGACATATAGATTTGTGAATTAAACGTGCTTGATTTACTTGGTGAATGTTTTGTATTTTCTTCGTGGTAATCACCTTTAAAGGGAGTCTTCACTCCGCATGCCCTTTCCTCTGCAGAGGCCTCTTTTTGTCACAGGGAGGCTGAGGAGACTCGCCACTTAAAAAACGAGAGAGAAACTGGGTAGACTTACTTTCGCAAAGACTTCTGGGAATGTTGCTAGGGCCAAGGGAAAAAATTGTCCAATAGCTGACCGTCGCGCCCCCAGTAACGATCCCAGAAGCTTTTGCGGGACGCATTTCGGCTCCAGTTCTCTTCTCGTTTTTCAAGTGGCGAATTTAAACTCCTCGCTATTGCTTAGACCCAGACTCAACGATAAGAGGGAGATCCGGCTTCGAAAATCATTTTTCTCAGCCCTTCGGGCTTCTGTCTGGCCTAAGAAGAAGGTGGGGGACGGGCCCGGGCCCCGTCCCTACTCTTAGATCCACCAATGTCATCCAATATAATGATCATAACATTTCTGATTGTAAGTGAGCATCGGTGGAACCTACATCAGATCAACTTCTGAAACTGTTATGTAACTTTCAATTTCTTCTAAAATTTTTCATTTAATAGACTGTCAAAAAAACGCGATTGATTTATCCGCGGATGCTTCGAGGTGCGTCCAAAAATACTTTGTCCGTCGTCAGTTGATTTAATTAACCTTGCGCTTCCGTTTCTTCTTATCGGATAAAAAGAGCACGAGGTCTCTTGTTTATTTCTTTCGAAATCCTCAAGCCTTGTCAAGGCTGATTCTGACGGAGAATCAAGAGAGCAAAAGGCCATTTCCGAGTTCCAAAATTCTCACTTTGAAAACGAGGCTAAGTGCAAACCTTTCTTGAGAAAATGGCTTCGCACTTAGCCTCGCTTTGAAACAGAGGCTTGGGGCTACTAGGAAATTTGCTATTCAAATTCCACGAGTGCACGTTGGATATGAGACAGTAGATAGCTCATATCCAACAAGTGCGAGTGGAATAATTGTTTTATTAAAAACGCCCACAAAATAGAGAGAATTCTTCCCAACTTTATTTGTAAAACCAACCGATTTTCAGCTTGTTTTTAATTCTGAGTAGACGCGTACAGTTACCATAAATGGAGAGGATGGTATAATTAACAATTATTCTTTGAAATCGAGGTGAATAGTGGCTAAATATTTGCCGAGCGGCGAAAGCGGGGAGGTAAATATTCCCAAAGCCTCTATTCACCGAGATTGAAAAGAATGATTATTTTAGTATATACACACGAAGTGATCTCAACAAAATCAGAGAGGAAACCATTAAAAAGTACAATTTGATTGACAGATCAAATCACGCGTAAGTTTAAAAATAGATCTTTGCAGAATTTTCAAACACGGCAATTCATAAGTTTATCATTTCGCGAACAACAGCGCAATGGCTTAAATGGAACCGCTAAAAGTTTGAACTGTTTCCTTAATTACCTGAGAAGAAAAGTGGAGCTTTGTTGTTTTCTGTTGACTCGCCAAGCTTATAGCCAAAAGGGCTTGTTGTGTCGTTCTTCGCATGAAGTGCTGACAAAAACGGCCGGCCGGTTGCTCGAGGTAAGCCGTTGTCTTCCTGTATCATTCTTTTTCCTGTTTACTTGAAACGTAGAATTTCTGCAAACATTTCCTTTTAAATTTGTTTGTCATAAATAAACTCCGATTTTTGAGCCAAAATGTTCTTGTTAGGAAACGCTGAGTTCACGAAACGGCTTCTTCTACGCGAATACAAGGGACTGGAGTTGTAAACAATCCATCGAGCGCAAAACTCAGCTATAGTAAATTGAAAAACGCCGTATTGGATCCATCCAAGCCTTTTCTTGCCTTAAAAAAGTCAGCCCTAGGATTTTGTCGAATTTTAAAAGATCGTTCTCTAAAAAATGGGAAAAACACCGAGCTCACACATTATCCACTCGCTAGGAGGTGAATAGTCCGAGATAGCGAACCAATCAGATTGCTTAAATCACCAAGATCACTGAGTGTGTATATATACTAATGCCTCATACACCACGATGACTAAGCCAATCAGAGCTCTAGAATTGTATTATCCAATGATTTAGTTTGTAATAATTTCACATAGACCATAACGCATCTTGTTTACTCCACAAAATTTTGCATATCTATTGTTTCCAATTTCTCCTAACCTGAGATCAGGCGTCTTTTTTTTTTTTTTTTTTTTTTTTTTTTTTCTTTGGCTCGAGAGGGAAAAAAAATAACGCCTGATACATTTATTTAACAAGCAGTCAACCGCCCCCTAATTTACATAATCTAACGTTTGCTTGACCTGTCATGTTTTTAGCCAATAAGCGTTTACCAAACGGGAATCAAATTTTGGCGCGAATAATGTCTCTTTTGAAATCAGTTTTAGGGAAAAAAAAATTTTTAAGTACGTCCGTGTTCAGATGGCGCTTCGTAAAAAAAAAAAAAAATAATATGTTGTTTTTGTGATGAAATATACTGCTAGCTGGAGCTGTCGTACCTTTATGACTAGCTACAAATAATAAAGAATTTACTGGTTAAAGCTCGTTGACTTCGTTCTGTACCGAAAGCAGTGGAAAAAAATTAGGCTGAAGCACCATATTTCACGAACTGAAAGGTGTTGTGAAAGCGAAGATCGCTCAGAATAATTCGCAGCATGATTTCTGAAGGAGGAAATACAGTCAAACCAGGTCAAGATTCCATTCATGAATTGATTATTTGAAAAGTGAACCCACTTGTCGCTTCTGTAACTTGTAGCCGGTATCAAATTGCGTTCAAATGATCGGTGAAGTTTTGACTGTAACTGTTTTGGTATACGATGAGATGGTAAATATTTCAATGGATGAAACTTCTATTTAGGCATTCTTCAAATTCAAGAAAACTGAGCGGGCAGAAATTTCATAACGAACTCGCGTGTGTATTCACTGCTCATTACGCAAGCAAAAATGCAGACTGAAATCAACAACAACTAACGGATGGCGTCATTTTGGCCAATCGGAACAGCGCAAATCATCCGCATTGTTTCCTATCCAATCAGAAAAAAGTCCAGATTCTGGCATTTTTACATGTGATCCGACAAAGAAATGTATCATGCCCTCTTCCCGTGAGAGACATAAAGGGATAATAGGGAGAGGGCATGATCTCAGGCTAAATTTCTCCTGGGTATTACAGTCGTCCCAAGCGAAATCGAAGACAACGGTTATGCAGAATTTTGGGGGGTAAACAAGGTGGATTATGGTCGATGTGAAAATGGGGAATAGCCTATTTCTCCATTAATGCCTTAGTTAGTATTCACGTAACAACATTTCAAGTAGTATAATTTATTTTCTGTACTGTGCGGAGGGGCATGCTCATTGCTGTGAAACCTACCCATTGGGCCCAAGCACACTCGATGCGGCAGGGGTAATTGCAGAACGCCAAATGCCGAATGCAGAACGCCGAATGGCTCTGACGTTTGGTGATTAGGGTTAGGAAAGCTGAGTAGATCAAATTTCAGGTCAGTTTTGCCAGTATAATAACCTTGAATAAAACCTGATTCACTCAGCCTCGTTCCCGGCGGTCCTCGGCTATTTCGGATGTGACCTGTCAAGCTTGTCGGAAAAATTCACCGAGGACGCCTTCGCGTTATCGTATTCGGTTCCAAGTCTCCTCTGGTAACTGGGATAGCGCGAACTGGTCTGGGTACGAGGATGTGACTCACTCAGTTTCCTAACCCTCATCACTAAACTTCAGAGTCATTGGGCGTTTAGCTTTCTGCAAAATACCTCTTCCGCACTGGATGTCTTCCCCAGAGCCGGATATACATGGTGCTGTGTGCAGGAATCGAACTCCTGGAATGAGATTAAAGCCCATCAGACATTGTGGGACTGTTTTGGGGACGCATTTTCAACATGGCGGAAAATTTGTCCCCCCCAAAAATTCCCACAATGCACTTTGACAACCATCTCGACCCGGTCTCCGGCGCAACCTCAAAGTGGCGAATCGGAGTGTCGACTTTACTTGCACGCTGCGGCAAGGTGAAGATCTATCATAACAAATAATGTTCCAAAAAAAAACCTTCTCAGTAATTCATTATGAAGAAAATGCAAAGAAAACTAAAATTGATTGAGTATTTTCAAATTTGATTAAATGTGACTGGGTTTTTGTAGCTCCATTTTTCTGGGAAAAATCATCAAAACACTAATAATTAAAACTGAATCAATGCGTTCACGTTTGAGACTTCCCATATCGTGCCATATTGATAATAAAATTTAAAAAAGCCTCATACTCGTTGTAAAAACCTGTGAACCTCACGAGTGACGTGACGTGTTGGTTCTCTCCTTTGCTCTGAGAGGTTTTTCTCCGGGTACTTCGGTTTTCCCCTCTCCTCAAAAACCAACATTTCCAAATTCCAGTTCGACCGGGAATCATGCAGACCGAGAACCACCCAGCGGAAGTGCTACCTCTACATCATTATCGTCATTATCGAGTGACGTAAAACGATTTAAATACAATGAAGCCAGTAAGAAGTCGACACAATAGCTAGAAAACAAACAAAAACTTCACAGGTTTTTACACCGAGGAAAACCCTTTGTAAAGTTTTATCATTGAGTTTTTTTAATAACGGTTACTCCTATAAGAGAGAAATTAGGCTTCACAATTTTTTTTTCTAAAACAAGCGCTTGTCAGATATCATTTACAGGAGCAAGATTTCCCTACGTTGCCAGTTTTTCCTAATTACTTTTTCCTTTCCCATCGAAAGCGGTTTTTCCGCCGCACAAATGGTTCTTTCGCTCAAGACCTTTTCAAATAGTTTGTTTGAAATGTCAATTAACTGTTCAAGTCCCAAATGCCCTGACGTGTAAAAATTGTGGTAAACAACCCTTGTTCTTGCTACATGGTCACGTGCAGGAAGAAAGTCCAATCAAAAATTGTTATTCAAATCAAAACGGTGCTCAGCGCCACATTCAAAAATTGATAGCTTCGGATGCGAACATGCTGGCGAAGGTCCCTCATGAAAGAGAAATAAGACGCTCTCACATAAACTGGC